TAAGGTTCGCTAATACTAAATTATTTAAGAGATTAAATTTAAGCTTAATCGAAGATAACGAGAGAATCTCGCGAGCTATTAAGAAATAATTGATATATAAAATAATTAAATAGAAAGAAATCGATTTAATAAATAATAACTAGAACTCGAATCTCTCTAAGTTTGAAATATAAATACTCCGCGTCTTAGTAAGTAGAGAGAATAGATAAAAAAGATTAAATTTTAATATATTATCTATAGCTTTACTATAGCGAATAAAAGAAGAGATAATCTATAAAGAGAATAAGTATCTATAAATTGATAAAGTTATATTAGATAAAAAGAAAAAATACGAAGAATATATAGCGTAGTAAATAGAATAGAAAGAGTTAGTCTCTTTATCTACTAGGCGAATTAGATAAGAATTAATAAAGAATTAAGTATCGCTATAGCGCTTAAAATTCTAATTATTTAAGAACCTATATCTTAGAGATTATAAATATTATTAATATTATAATAAGATATCGCGATAAATCTTAAATCGATAACTTTTATTAGATACTTAGGGGTATCGAGTTTAATTTAAATTAAATACTCTAGAGACGTCGTTATAATCGATAATATCGTTTAATTTAGATACGCTATAAATGCTAACATTACTAGCGAGATTAATTAATCTAGAATTTTTATAGATATTATTATAATTAATAATACTATCTAGCTTAAATAGTTCTAAAAATCTCTTTAATATATATTTAATTGGCCGAATTAAACTTTTAATAGATATTATTATTATTAATAATATTATCTATCTCGAATAATCTAAAAAACCTATCTTATATATAATTCCTCGAATTTTTAAATATATACTATTAAATTAATAGCTTATAGTCGCTTTAAAATCTAATTAACTCGAATAAATACTATCTTAGCTTACTAAACGCGAAGTTTACTATATTTAGTTATTAAACTAGTAGAAAGAATTAAATATAGATAAAGTTTACTTAATAAACTAAATCGTACTAAATCGTACTTATAATACGGACCCGGCGGAAATCGTGCGGAAAGAAACTTTTCAGATTTATAGATGAGGGCTATTATTCGAGTAGCGAGGAAATCTAAAGAATAGAGTTTTAAGTTTTATCTTAGCGTAGTTCGAGGAAGAAATTCTTTTAACTAACGTTACTATATCAAAATACTATCGATTCTCTTAATTTTTTTATTAACTTATAGCGTATATTTAACTTATAATTTTATACTATTTAAATAACTTAAACTATATAATAATTAATTGATTTCAAATATATTAAATATTTGAGATTCCCGTAGCTTTTGCGAGGCCGGCGCTAATTATCGATCATCGGATCTTATTTTTCAAATTTCGATATATAGCTATTTAGGCCTCTTTATCCTCGTTCTCCTTCTTATCTATCTTCTTATTACTTCTATTTATAGTCTTATCTTTTAGTAGAATAGCTTCGGCGAGAGCGTTTAAAGAAGTATATAATTAATAACTAGCTTTCTTTATAGAGGTAATAGTATAAAGTCGTAGTATCTTTATAAAGTTCTTTATCTCGTCCCTTAATCGTGTAACTATTTCTCTTAAAATCTTTATCTCTTTCTAATTAGAAGGCGATATACGACGTATTTACTTTAGTATATAGAACTCTACTTTAACCTTTTTCAGAGCGTCTATAAAGGTCGCTTCTTTATTAGAATTTCTCTAAATTTGCTAGGTAAAATAAGCCCTTCGTAGTTTATCTGTATTATTCTCTATTCGAATTAAACTACTTAACGACTAAGGCGCTTTAAAGAATAATCGATTAGCTATATCTAGATGAGATAATAGCTCGATTAAACTGGATAAGCGAGGCTAAATAGATTAAGTCTAAGTATACGCGTACTGCTATGAGAGAAAGATTTAAGACTATTAAAGTATAGGCTAATAGAGCGAATAATCTTAATATTACTGCTACTGAAATTGCTACTACTAAAATTACTACTATTAATATAGATTATACTACTATTACTAAAGGTCTTACGTTAGCGAAGATAAGGTATCTAATTTATTAAGTAATATATTAATTAGTATAGAGATAGAAGTAGAAGTAGAAGTATTAATAATCGTATAAACTTTCTTCTTAGTCGATTTAACTTCTTTATTAATAGCTTTTACCTATTTAGCTCGATCCTATTAAGTTCTTAATCGCTTTTATATTTTTATAGGCGAATTTACAGTAGTAATACTAGATTTCTTTTCTATAGTCTTATTTTATCTAGTAATTTAATCGCTAGCAAGTAGATAATATAAATCTTTAGAACCGTCTAGTTACTAGTAGTAATACGATCTTTTTTAATAATCGAGCTTATCGTATAGCTATAGCTTTATAATCTTATAATCTTTAAATCTAAGCTTTCTATCTAATTTCTTTATCTTCTTTATATGCTAAATTTACTTAGCGATAGTACTACTAGATCGAGGCGCTTTCTTCTTCTTCTTCTTCTTCTTATCGAATTTAGATGATTTAGAATCGTCTAATATAGTATCGAAGTTATCTAAAGAGGTGTTCTAGTCGATAATTCTACTTTTTTTCTACTTCTCTTTCGTAGTAAAGGTTTCTGATTTAGAGGAGTCTTCTTTAAGATTATAGATATATATAATTCTTATAGTAACCCCCTTTCTCTTTTCCTTAACTAGTTATTATCTCGCTAGGTTATCGATATTCTCCTACTCAGTAATATCGCCGCATTGACTATTTATAGCCTTGATATTTTCTAAGAACGAGAGTGTGATAATGACGCTCTTGAGGATCATCTTATAGTCTTTCTTTTTCGCCTTCTATTTAACCTCTTGAATAGCGATTGAATTGAATTCGTGGAAATTGAATCGTTTGAAGATAGTAGAACGGGCCTATACCTCCTTCCCTTTCTATAGGACACTTATACTAATGGAATAGATTAATGATTTTATAGAAGGATTGATAGGTTGAACGGTAGGAGGAGGGCTTTATTCGATTTCATTAGGCTCACCGATAAGGAGGGAGGGTCTCTTCGTCGACTTAGGTTTTGGGGTAGATTTCTTCGATTTACGCCCCCTTTGATGGCGTCGGCGACGATTGCGGCGGCCTCCTCATCAAATCTGTTAGGGGGCCGCTTATTCCGTGTACTGGTAGCTATATTTGACGACAGCGAGGTATGGGGAGGGTTGTGGGAATGACAATATGGTGGGCATGTCTATAGTAGGATTTTGGGTGAGGGGGGTGCTAGCCCCAATGCTAATTTTCTAGTTTCCCAATGATTACGAAAATAGGGGTAGTGTGTAGTTGAGCTTGTCTTGCTCCATGTTTTTCTCGAACCACCGCCAAGCCCATGCACGAAAATGAAGTCGATGAGAGGCTCGGAGGGAGTATAGAGGAGGCTCAGTCCAAAGGATCCTCTTGGGTCATCCACGCCATCGCTGGTGGAGGCAGTGGTCATTAACGTACTGGCAGAAGTCAAGTCGGTGTCCTTGTGTCGGAAACTCAAAATCGACGCACTCCAGCTCAACTCTCTCACCGATTGGATTTCGAACTTACCGGCAGTCTCATATGCATGTAGAATAGTTATTCTATTGTGATGTTCTATAAAGGATGTAGAAGGATGGAGGAGGACTACCTATTTATGATGTGAAGCCCACATTAAGGCCATTTACCACTTAACATCTATTGGAACTTATCAGTATAGCTATGCTGGCCTCCTATTGGCTGATTCCAACACCTATGCCAATGGGTTCTCACGAAAAGGAAAGCTGTATGAAGGTACGATTAGCGCTTCAAAAACTCCACGACACGCAACCTTCGATCCCATCACACCAATCACCTTCCACATATAACAGATTCTAGCCCACCAAGTACCTCTGGGAAACGGAGTTTCGCAGATTGTGAAGCGTCCGATCCTCTTCGCGAAAGCTGCGTCAAATTCTTCAAACAAGTACTCGTATATGCCCGATACCTGATAATGCACGATCTAAAATCCACTTCAGTAATTCGCCCTTTCATAATAGTAATATAGATTGAATAAAAATCAAATAATAGAACGTAAAATAAGGTTTCTAGAGCTTCAAGAATTATATAAATCGCAGTTATATTGATAACGTTGAATATTAGTAGGGTAAATTACAAATTCATACCTTAAAACCTTAGATCCTTATATATTCATACCCCTAATTACATTTTCATACCCCTTCACCAAATCTTGGGGTATGAAAATGTAATTTACCATTCTTTGGGGTATGAATTTGTAATTTATCAAACTAGGTCTTTGAGTGCCCGGCGTTTAACGCCCCTAAAGAAGCCCCGGGAGCCTTAAAAACCCCCTAGAAAATTGAACCCTAAATTTATCGCGGATTGGGGTGAGTTAGAGATTTACAATAGTAAGAGCTCGCCTTAGCCTCGGAGCGAGGTTTCGACAAGTTACACGGCGAACCCTAGAGGTCTTCAGTTCGGGGCTCCCGGGGCCGGTCCGGGCTAATTCCGCAGCCCCCGAAGACCTAACCTCAGCGCACTATGGTAAATTACATTTTCATACCCCAAGGAATGGCGAATTACCGATTCATACCCCATTGGGGTATGAAAATGTAATTAGGGGTATGAATTTGTAAGGATCCAAGGTTTTGGGGTATGAATTTGTAATTTGCCCAATATTAGTGTAATAAAATTTATCTGAATTCTGTAAGCCCTACGCCGCGGTAAGCCCGGGGTGAGTTTAAGACCGTGCATTACCAGGTATCGGGCACTTCCGGGTATATACGATATCAAATTTGAGCGGCGTCATACACATTGGTCGGGTGCCGGCGCGCATCGAATATCACGTCCTCCAGGAGGCTAGCAGACAGGCTATCTATCACTAGTAGCACATCCTATAAAATCCGAAAATATCTATCTATCCGTCGACTCGTCCATTTGTCTCAATCTTCGAGATTTCAATCTTTCCATTTTGAAAAAGTAGAGGTCCAAAACCTCTTGACAACTGTGGTATCAACGATGGCTTCCGAACCGCCCCATCTGACCATCTCAGCCGGCGATCACAAAGCATATATGGAATACGCCCTGGAGCGAGCCCGCCTCTCACCGCCCGCATCCACCAAATTCTGCGTAGGGGCCGTCCTCGTCGACGCCGACGAGAACGTCATCCTCTCCACAGGCTACTCTTTAGAACTACCGCGGGACTCCCTGGGCGATCCCGGCAGCACGCACGCGGAGCAGTGCTGCTTCATCAAGGTGGCCCAAAAGCATAACCTCCCCGAGGAGCGTATTGGGGAAGTGCTGCCGAAGAACACCGTCCTGTATACGACCATGGAGCCGTGCAATAAGCGGTTGCGTGGGAATCGGACATGTGTGGAGAGGATCTTGCGGCTCAATGGCGCGATAAAAGTGGTTTATGTGGGCATCAGGGAGCCAGAAGTGTTTGTCGGGGAGAATGTGGGGATGCAGAAGTTGAAGGATGCGGGAGTCATTGTGGAGGTCGTAGAGGGGATGCAAGATCGGATATTGCAAGTCTCTACCGCTGGACATGAGGTTGAGAAGAGTTGATGGCTGCACTAAAGTCGGCAGTGCTTTTGCGCAATGCTCTCGGTAAAACCTTGGGCAATTTTTTAAAGAGGACGGAGCTGGACTTCGGGACGTTATACGGTGGGGTCTTTACATAATCCAAGAAGACCTCCTTGCAACGAGCTTCTCCCTGGAGCTATCCATATCTCTTATGCAAGCATTCTATAAATTTTTGTCAGCAACAGCGTTCCTTGCAGGGCCACAAAACTTCGTACTGTTCTCTGAGCGCCTGATTTTGGGTGAAGAGGGCAGATACGTGCGTATTGAATCTTCTGTTCCAGGTAAGGCTCGGGAAAAGGTCCAAGATAGGCGTAGAAATGGCATCCTCACAGCTTGTAGAGATCCAAACGTCCGTCGTAGTCCTCTTCAGGCGGAGATATTTGATTGTAAGAATGGTATGCTGCCAGGTATTCGGCGCCGAACCTATTGCAAACGGGCCGCCACTGGCCAAACTCATCTTCATCAAGCGGCTGCATGTGAGCTTAATGATTTCTGTTGCGTCAATCAGTCTACGTCAGCACTTACATTCGTTATGAGCGTAGTAATTGCATGCATCGAAGATGAGAGATTCCCCCGTCCCCACGTCGATCCCCGAATCCGTGTACCAAAGATCGCCGTGCACGAGCGAGGGTTTCAAAGACCGGCCGTCGCTCTCAAGTGGTCGCAGAAGACGCGATATGACCTTATCGAAGAGCGCTGGAACTAGCGTATCAAATTCGGGATCCGGTCCCTTGGCTTCGAGTTCGAGATTGAGAGCCCGCCTCATGCTCTTCGCAAAGTAAGTCTCCCAGCTTGCTTCCCACTCATTGTCCTGGGGCAAATTGCCGGTATATGTTGTCACATCGAAGCCGGATTTGTCTTGCGGGGACTTGCTGTTCTAGTGGAGCGCTGCCAGCCGGGCGGTGAATCTGTGCGGGTCTGGCATTTCGTCGATCATCTCTCGGAACTCGCACAGGAAGAAGTGCGTGTCCGGTACGGTTTCGTACGTTCCCCAGGCTATCGGCTTCGGCGTGAAGTCAGGCAAGAGTGCGTGGGTTGCGGACATCGACTCGAACTCCCCATGCAATCATGTTCTTGCCACGCTCTTTCGATATGACCTTAATAAAAAATGATTGTGGTGTCCCGTCGGCCAGATCGACGTCAATACCGCCAGTATCAGCCCAGAAACTGACGCCATGGCTTTCAGTATATACCACTCGACAGCCTTCTGGTAGTTCTGGATATTGTTTAGCAATGAGTATATGAATTTTGGCGAGTGTGACATCTCACCTGCGGCGACGCTTGGATCAATCTTGATATTTCCTCCACCAAACTCCAAACCTCCAGCACCGTTATAGTTCATTGATATGTAACGATTTATAGTGTTGACAAGATCTGAAGGCTCAGTCAGCCAATGTCGGTGACCTCTTATCGCAACGGGTTTTCCGTTGGTGGTATGATAAAAAGACCGCTTAACCCTCTTCTGTCTGACTAATGCAGTTGGAGAAGGCGGAGCTTGACCCTCATCCATAGGAGACTGGTCCGAAAGCTTTCCTTTATCTTTATATGGATGCGCTATGCATATATCTTTAGGTTCCCTGTTTGATGAAAGGATAAACTCTGCGCCGTACCATGAGTTGTTGTTCGCTCCCCGAAAAGAGTCTAAAAGCACTAGTCAAGAAATCAACCAAGCGCTTTTTAGGTGCATCGAAACGGATACGATGACCAAGGTATTTTATTTTTTATTTTTTAATCCTTCGACGGCAGTGTAGGAGAAATAGGCCTATTTGAGCTGAAGATAGTGTTGTAATTGGGGGCTTGTATTGGCTTTAGGATTGCGGAGTTTTGGATTTTGGATTTTGTTGGAGTGAGGCTGTTCTTCGTCGAGGCTGTGCAGGGGTCGCTTACATTTTGTCTAAAATCTGCGCAACAGGAATGGGTAGCTATCATTTCTAAGAGCGTGTCGATAATTGAATAACGGATTACTTGAAGATCAGCTCTTTCCACCAAGATCTTCTGTTGATGTCAAGTCAAATAGGCACTACGTACCTGCAAGGGTAAGCCTAGTACAGTTGAAGTCTAAGCCACACAGGCCAATGATCTCAAAGCTATGTTTCAAAGTCCGAATGGTGTTGTATATACCAAAATATGGGCAACAGAGGATCCGTTGGGGTTTGAAGCGATGTTTCGACCGTTGTTTGGAGATCCTGCAAAGCGGCAAATTTGGCAATGGCACTAACGAGGACGGTCGACTTGCAAGTATATAAGCGGGCTTGAAACCCTTTGTCAAAGCATTCTGAACTTCAGAGCATCATCGAATTCACAATACCTTGACTTTAAAGCATCTTCAACGTCAACAGGTTTCCAGCTTCAAAGACCAAATAAATTTATCTCTATCCCATTCTATACTCAAGATCCTGAGACCAGCAACCCGATATCATGCATTGGACACTCCTACTTGCAAGCCCCTTTTTTCTCGGCACCTTGGCCATGCCTCAAGATCCATCAATCAAATATCACCTAGAGGCGAGGGTCCCTGAAGAGGATGGTGCCGCTGGTAGTGAGATTGGTAATGATAGTGGGGGTGGAAGGCCTCCTGGTCAAGAACACGGTGATGGCATGACTCCACAGATCCCTCCCGCCCAATACCAAACAGTAGAAAAGTGAGTTCATAATACCTGGTCATCCCTCCTCATCTCCATACCGCGCCACCCCGAGCACGTGCACTCTTTCCCAACACCACACCAAATAACCTATGAGTAATTCTACTGATCACCTTCACATCCAGCTACGGCTGCCATTCCTTGACCGAGTATGCTTGGATGCCGGAGGAAATAGATGGCGTGGTAAAGTCGCCCGGCTGCGCGAAAACCGGCAAGATGCTTAATGATTGGCCAATGCCCAACCCTGACGGCAAATGGTACGACGAGTGGGCGACAGATTTCGACGATAGCTCAGACTGCAATCTCTATCTTGCCTGGGCACAAGGTGACAATTACTGGATCGCCTTTGCGCGTGACGCATCAAACCACCCCATGGGCGGGATTGCCCCACAAAACCGCAGTGCGCTCAACCCGCCCGGAGTCTTCAGTCTCGGAACAGGCGGATGGACAATGACAGTAACGGAGGCGACAAGCGACTTTTCAGTGATATCTCCACCTGACAATTCGGGCTTGAGCTTTGTCTGGGCACATTCAGGCGGGGGAGATGGTGAAGTCGCATGGGCGAGCAATTATGCTTTTGATGACTCGAACGATGGGAATCAGGGTGGGTGTGAGTATTCCGTGGATCCAACTAAGCCGCAGAAAAGCCAGGGTGGTATGGTGGGTATGAGGTACTGGCAGTGCCCGTTTCTGTGTAGGGTTGCACATAAGTAGAGGCTATGATTGAGCTTTTTACATGGTATGAAAAGCTGAGGATGCAGGCAAGAGTGGTGGGGGAGACATGGTGTGCGGGGCCTTGGTACTGGAGTAGGGAGGTTTAGCAGTTTTTACACAAAGAATTCTCTTACACAATACCAGTTGCCCTACCCGTCCCCCGCTCGCTAACCTAAATATGTGCTGGCTCGTAATTACCTTATACCCGACCCGCTGTACGACGCTAGCTGCGCCACCATTTAGGTGGTTTGCCAGCAATTCGATGCAATAACGACATATGTTCATCATTCGCCGACATTAAAGCATTTTGGCACAGTAACCGACTCCTGGTTCGATGACAGTCTGGTTTTGGCAAGAACTGATGTATTTCCGGATGATTATTAAGTGGACCAAGACCGACAAAGAAACATCATTGTACGAAGCTCTTTGCCTCTGCCCACATTGAGACTTTGCAAGAGTTGGGCAAAGGTCAGATTGGCTCTTTAGGGACTCACAAGATCAGCCGAGATAGGACATACCCTTAATTCAAAGCTGTGCGCTTATCCGAAAATACCTTTCCTTCTGGCCGCACTAGCGATGGGGTGCCCCAGAATGCTGGTCAAGATGCGTCTCTGATGCAAAACTTGGCAACCACGTAAAGAACATACTCACCGCACCCCACAGTCCATGATATCACCAAAATAACCGCCTCTCAACCCTTGCCTGGTACACCATTCGCGAACGATGTGCCGCAAGCGGCTCCCAACGGCTTTTGACTTTCTCAAGTAGGAAACGAGCCAGCTTCTTCAACGTTTCTGACCAATGGAGCTGTGACGCTGTCCAATTTTGTGCCATCCAACATCCCGTCATTAATGCATTCACCTGTTGGCGCTTAAAAATTCCGCGGATGTGAATGGCCACAGCCATGCGGATTTGGTCCCCGTGATATTGAGAAACATAATCTCCGAACTTTGGTTTCGACTAACAGGCAAATATTTCAGCTGGTGGAATATCACGAGGAATACTTACTCTGGTATCATGGTTGTGTCCATGGCCCAACGTTCCGGATGGAATTGAACAAAGCCTCACAAGTAACGGATGGTGTCCAATTGAAGAGTCTCGACCTTCGGTGGTCTGCTCTTCTCTTTTCTATCATGGCAGCAAGTCTCAATTGCGCAAGCCACTCTGTGGCGCATTCCTGGGTTTTTCTGAAGGCCCAGAAATGCCATTTAAGCAAGCAGTGGTACGAAGCCTCTATTTCGTGCTTGCACCTGGGAGACTATACGTCAAAACTCAATGTATACTCCATTCAGGCAATTCAGGCGTTGAGTATGTCAGCTCATACAATTGGTTTTTCGAATACACAGTTCGTTATCTTCGATGCAGCCCTCAGAATTGTTCAGAATCTAGGTTTGCAACGGCTTTGCATAAACGCAACGTGGGGGCCGTTGCGTCCAACGGTGTTCTCGGGATCATTGAAGCTTGGCGGGTTAGGGCCGTAGATGTGCTGGCCCGAGTGCCTGTAGTCGGACATCCAGCAGTCATACTGCTCTTCTTCGATCTCCTTGCAGAGCTCGGGCCAATGGCGGAATATTGACATGGCGCTGGGTTGAATGGTCAGATTATCCTCTGATCAGTTGGCGTCAGCAATCGGCGATCAATAAGGATTGGGGTTCTCCGCTAGAGTTAGCTGTCCATTATTGCTGCAGCTCACCTGTGTAGACTGGTCCCGCACTTCTCTCCAAAATCTTGATCGAAAGTCCTTTCCGCCAACACTGCAATGCAGTCATTAAGCCTCCAATCCCCGATCCGACAATGAGGACTGAAATATCAGTCTCGGCTTATTTCTCCAGCTTTGATGCCATACCAGTGGCAGCATCGCCATTCCCAATGCGAGAAGTACCATTAGTTTCCGATCGATTGGCCGAAGAGATTGAATCTGTTGCGTGGGGTACCATGTTGCTATGGGTCTGAGCTATGGCAATAATCTAGGAGTGAACGGATTGAAGAGAATTTCAATGTAGGCTTGGCTAGAGGAGGTGTCCCAGATAGAGGCCTTGCTGATGGTTGCCAGTCAAAATCCCCACCAGCAATTTGTTGAAATCACATCAGCGAGCGACCCATTGCGCCCCGCGCCCATCACCCTCACCAGCTTGCCACAGCTTCTTCCATCACGGACTCGGTGCTATACACATAAGTCCGAATATCAAACCTCTATCTCGCTTAGGCAGCACAGCACAGCTTTCGGACTCATTGCACAGGATTCATGCGAGGCGGGGCTTACGGCGCATGCTTGATAATGGGATGGGTGCGGACGAAATGAGATGTCTCGTACAGCCGAGGGGTGTCATGAGAGAGGATAGGCCCGAGGGCTGGCGCTGGAGGTTCAGAGACGGGTTCGCTCGGCGGGGTGAAAAAGTTGGGGGGTGAGCTTGTTTTCCCCTAAACTCTGTTGTGAACGTTCCGTTTCCCGTAACTGGGCCGGTAATATGTGGTTTGGTGGTATTGTTACTTATTTATATTTTTAAATAAATTTACTTGCATATTTTATTTAAGGTTAGTTTTTGATGGGTGGTTATTAGTTTTGTTAGTTATTATGGTTATTTTAGATGTTTCTGGGGCTAATATTGTACTGTTTTTTTTCGATAAGGTGTCTATGTGGTGCCTTCCCGCGGGTTTTGCTCTCCCTGCCGCTTTTTCCGATCAGAGAAAAGCCTGCCCGACGCCCGTCAAGTAGTACCCGGCCGATCCCAGATTGGAACCCGGTTAGCGGCTACATGCCAAGACTCCTGCGCCAAGGTCTCGGATAACGCCCCGCCTGAAGGATTGCCTGGACAATGCACTTAGATTCGCTTCGGAACCGCGACTGACTTGAGACCAATTTGGGACTCATTGCCCCTATCAGGCCCGATAGAAGTCCCTAGAATTCAGTCTATACGGTCCCAGAACAACGTTCTAGGGTCTCTTGTTACAAGGTCGCCTTCCGAAAGTAGGGTTAGGGCTGCTACTAGCGCGGTGCAGGATTTTTGGTGCCGGCTACAACGCTGACCTGCAGCGAGTACAGAGTGCCATGCCATTATTTATTGTAAAGCTTGGCAGTGGACATCATCACGCCAGTAGCCGTTCTCAGCGTATAATGGAATTGTACAGAAATGTTAGCAAAGGGGTTGATTACATTTTGCAACGGATACCTCACTTTGCATGTTGTGCAAAAGCCAGCCCAAGAGACTATTTCGAGTCCTTTGTGTTGAATCTTCCTTTCAGCCTTCTGTTTTCTGGGACCAACAATGCAAACACAAATCTCAGGATAGGAAACTCAGAGCTAAAGGGCACCGAGATCCCAGGTCGTACTACCCTCAATACCTCGCACGAAGGCACTTGTCATGGCAAGAGCCAAACTTCAGAAGTGGATTCAACAATCTATCATCTAGCAGCTTTAAATGGGACATACATGCCCTTGTTTACGGAGGGACTCTGCATCACCTTTTCCCAATCATGCATTGCTATACTATTTGCCTCACTCAAGCGCACTTCCTCGCCTCCCCGCGGCCTCATCTCGTTCTCATAGGCTGCAATTGCCATTACCCTCTGCTCGGATGAAAAGCGGCCAGAATTCCAGAACCCTTCAATCCTTTTGCAAAGCTCGTACGAATCCTTGAGCGCATGGTTGAGCCCTTGCCCTCTTTGAAAAGTCATCGGGTGCGCTGCATCCCCTGCAAGAGTGATTCGGCCGTTGATTCTCCCGGCTTGTCTTCGCTTGGATCCTTCTTTACCATAAGGGGTTGTCGGTTGGTGTCCATTCGAAAAAGCTCCTGAAAGGGTCGCAGAATTCTTTGGCCAATTCCTTCTGGTATGCGAGATGTCCAGCCATTGACTTGTTGTTTTCCACGTTTCGAGGCTCGGGACAAGACAATGTAATGGAAGAACGTCCATTTCTCAGGGTGATCGACATCATCACCGTCGTGGAGACTAAGCCAGCCAAAGTAGCCATTGGGATGTGGGGCGACCTGATAGAGTGGGTGAAACGGTGTACTCCGTAGGAACAAAGCTCGCTCTCGGGAGTGCTTCGTGAAGCACAAGCTTGTAGCAAATTCGGTGGGGGTCACCTTAGCTTTCTCAGCTCCGACGAGCAGCTCCCGCACTGTCGAATGTGTACCGTCGGATGCAACCGAAAGACTACCTGTGTCCTTTGTTCCATCTGCGAAGCGTGCTGTGACTTTCGTCTCATCTGCAGAGTATATGATATCCGTAAGACTCTTTTCCCATTTGATATCGAGTCCTTCCATCAACAGCTTACGGAACTTGTCGCGTCGGAGACGGTAAAATTTGCTCGATTTGATTTCCCCAATGCGCTCGCCTGTCTGACCATTAATGAAAGGGAGTCGGTCCGCATCACTTGTGGGAATGTTGGGGTCTACTTGTGTACCCTGAATCCTAGCGACGAAATCATCCGGCATCAAGGCCTCAAGAGCCGGTAGTGATGAGAAATACGCGAAGCCAATTTTCTCACCATGTCTGCATTGATTGGCTGGATGAGCCGGCCCAGGTGGTCTCTCCGACTCTCCGTAGGGGACCAGGACTACTTTGCCCGTGTAGTATGAGTACGGATCTATCTACGAATCGGACTATATTTGTCGCCCACCGAAATACCGCTGTTTTTATATCTTCGACGGGTTAGATAAATTTTTATACGCTAGTCTTATCGCGCAAGAGCTCAATCCAAGGAACTGACCCATTGATTTTCAAAGTGTCCCCCGCTGTGCCCAAGCACGAGATTCGGGTGCCGAAGCACTTCACCGTCAACAATCCCGGTTCCTGGAAGGCTGATGACCCTGGCAGATGACAATGGCTCAATTCAGAGTTGAATGTAGTCCCATATTACTCTTATTCCCCCTGTAAGCGTTTCCATTCACTCTAGCAACGTCTGCACGACTCCAACTACGATAAGATCTTCAGCCTCGATCGCTCTGGAAATGGCACCAATGAACGAGGAGCCTCAGCGGCTGCTATGTTGGATAGTCTGCGCCTATCGCAAGCATGGCATGGATGAAGAAGACTACCACAGATACATGAGCCAGGTCCATGCACCGCTTGTCAAGGTCTGATGGTTAAAGTATGGTATGATTCGATGGTCGATGGTAGAGTTCCAGCGCTGCATTCTGTCCGCTCTTCGTTCATCGAGCTCATGACACCGTTAGACGCATAATATATCCTCCTCGAAGCCGCTGATGGCGCATCTCGCTGGTCCACAGTATGTTCTGCTTCTATCTACAATCTATGTTCGACTCTTGCATCATCTAGCCATCATGGAAGTTCAATCATTACTAGAAGCCATTCTATTCACCTGGAGTCAACCTCACTTAATCACTGACAACAGCCGTGTGACTCTTTAGACTCCCATACATTAGCACCCGTGTTCGCCTGCTGGGCCGAGAAGGTTATTGATGGGTGATGACCTTGGACATGGGTGCTTTCATGAGCATGTTTGTCAATCCGACTGCCCATCCAACTCCAATGTCGGGCATCCGTCGGGCACAGTGCGGACGCACATCCTACACCCGATTCAAGATGCAGGCCTTCGGCTGTACGGACAAGAATCATTCGATGCATAACCCGATTGTATACTGCAATTTACAATTCCGGCAACGTTTCGTACAACGTCATACCACAATCGCTGCTCGGCTAAAACCTGTCATCGCTCCTTTGCCATGTTCCCTTCTCCCGTGTTGCAACCTTAGTCTTGGGAATATATACGTTTCGGAGGCTGAGAGATAAGCATTGAACACCGTTATCAAGCCTAGAGGCCCGAGTGTTGTCGAGGCAAGTTCCGAAGAGCCTGAAGAATTCTCTATTAAGTCACCTTCAAGCCCGCGCACGTAACAGTGACAAGGCTTCAACGTTCTTTCCATTCCCACTTGGTCACTACGCCTGCATAGATCCTTCAACATGGAGCCACCAACCCAGATCTTCATCTTTGGAGACCAGAAGAATGCATCTGATGCCGACTTGCGCCAACTTCTGCATGTCAACGACAATAGTGTTTTGAGATCCTTCTTTGAGCGTGTCAACTATGCACTTCGTGTCGAGATAGCACGATTGCCCGTCATTCAACAAGAATGGTTTCCCCGCTATAATACCCTCCTTGAGCTATTGACTGCCAGACGCCGTGGGTTTGGGGACAATCCGGCTCTTGGGCTCGCTTTGCTTTGCATCAACCAACTTGGCCGTTTGGTAAAGTATGTCGTTGCGTTTACTACTCTAAACGGCGGCCAATGCTAACTTCAGTTAGGTACTATAGTGAAGGATCACGGCGATATCCTCACAGCTCGACCAGTTCATGCCGTGGGACTGTGTACTGGATCTTTTGCAGCCGCTGCCATAAGTACCTCCCAAACAATTGCTGAGCTTCTTCCTGCGGCTATAGAAGCAGTCCTAGTTGCATTTCGAACAGGCCTAGGGTCTTTTGAAGCACGCAATGATATTGAACCCCGCTCCGTTGTCCCACCAATATGGCCGGTGATAGTAGGCATGCAAGAGGAACAGGCTGCTGCCATTCTTGATGCGTTCTTAATGCAAATGTAAATTCTCAACGCCAATTTTGAGACTTTTGTTGACTCCAGCAGGGTCTTTCGAAGAGTTCAAGACCTTACGTGAGTGCCGTTACTTCAACTAATGTAACAATCAGCGGCCCGTCCATGGTTCTCCAGCAATTGTTGCAATCAGAGCCTTTCTCCGCTTTCAAACCAACCAAGCTCTCGACCAATGCTCCCTACCATGCACCTCACATCTATGGGCCGAATGAGGTTGAAGCAATTCTGGCTCCATGTGATCAAGCAATACTTGATTCTTAGAGATCGAAATTTCCTCTACTCTCCAGTGCAGCGGGACAACGAGTCTCAGGACATAGTTACAGGTTCTTGTTGCGGATTGTCCTGAATGATGTTCTAACTCAGCAACTTCGCTGGAACATATTGAAAGAGAGCGCGACAAAAATTTGTCAAGCATCTCCTTCTTCGCGCGTCATCATCTATCCAATCCTCACTTCTACAGCTCAAAGTTTAGCTTCGAGACTCTCACAAACCACTCAGTCACAGACAACCATAAAGAATTCCTGCATGGCTGACCCCAGGAACGATCCGTCTTCAAGCCCGAGTGGCAAACCAGAACAATCGAAGATCGCAATCGTTGGGTATGGGGGAAGATTTCCTGATGCTGAAAGCATAGACAAGTTCTATTGGGATATCCTGCACAAGGGTCTTGATGTCCATCGAAAGATTCCAGAAGACCGATTCGACGTCGCAACGCATTATGACCCTACTGGCCGAAAGAAGAATACGAGTAAGGTCCAATATGGCTGCTTCATTGAGAAACCAGGCTTGTTCGATGCTCGGTTCTTCAACATGTCACCACGGGAATCTGCCAATGCCGATCCAGGTCAGCGATTAGCGATCACTACTGCATACGAAGCCCTGGAGATGGCCGGCTTTGGACCAGACACAACTCCATCAACCCAACGGGACCGAGTCGGCATCTTTTATGGCATGACTAGTGATGATTAGAGGGAAGTGAAAAGTGGCCAGAATATCGACAGTTATTTTATACCTGGTGGCAACCGTGCTTTCACTCCAGGGCGCATCAGTTATCATTTCAAGTTCAGTGGACCCAGCTTCAGCATCGACACAGCGTGTTCCTCGAGTTTTGCAGCCATACACGTAGCCTGCAACTCATTGTGGAGAGGTGATTGCGACACTGCCATTGCCGGTGGTACAAACGTCATGACAAACCCAGATAATTTCGCTGGTCTCGACCGCGGCCACTTCTTGTCATCCACAGGGAATTGTAACACATTCGATGACGGTGCAAATGGTTATTGCAGAGCTGATGCTGTAGGAATCGTGGTTCTCAAGAGGTTGGAGGACGCAGAAGCCGACAATGACCCTATCAAGGGCGTCATTCTTGGAGCATACACGAACCACTTCGCAGAAGCGGACTCGTAAGTGACATTTCCTACTTCGACTTTTTAGAAAGCTAACAGGATTTCTAGAATGACAAGCCTCCATCTTTACCAATATTTTGGATGTTGCAAACGTTGATCCGCTCGATGTGAGTTACATCGAAATGCATGGAACTGGCACTCAAGCTGGTGATGCCGTGGAGATGAAGCCGGTCTTAGATGTTTTTGCTCCAGGAAACCGTGGTCCTGAACATTCGCTACACCTTGGATCGGTCAAGGCAAACGTCGGTCACGCAGAGTCAGGATCAGGGGTAACTTCTCTGATCAAGGTCCTGAAGATGATGGAAGAGAACGAGATCCCGCCGCACTGCGGTATCAAAACAAAGATCAACCACAATTTCCCTACCGACTTCAAGGTGAGAAATGTGAAGATTGCGTTGGAACCGACTGATTGGAGACGACCGGAGCATGGGAAGCGAAAACGAACCGTATTTTTGAACAACTTCAGTGCTGCCGGAGGGAACACTGCTCTGCTTATGGAAGATGCTCCTAGCGTTTTCCCTATGGATCACCTCGACCCTCGATCCACTCACTTGGTGGCAGTTTCTGGCAAAAGCAAGCTTTCAATTCAGAAGAACATCGAAACTTTGGCGGCTTTTCTGAATGGCAACCCCGAACTGTCGCTCCCATTTCTGGCATACACATCAACCGCTCGCCGCATGCACCATAGCCATCGAGTTATCGTCAGTGGCCATGACCTCAGATCGACCAAAGACGCTCTGCAAGGCCTTGGACCAAGCGAAGACCTAAAATCAATTCCGATTCCCGCAAAGGTCCCCAAAGTGAACTTCGTATTCACAGGCCAAGGCGCCCTATATGCCAGTCTGGCACGCCAGCTATTCGACCACATCTCCTCATTTGGGGCAAGTATCCAGCGCTTTGATCGCATAGCGCAAAGCCAAGGATTTCCAAGCTTTGTACCCCTGATTGATGGTTCTCGCGGCGGCCTTCAGGAGGTCGGGCCAGTAGTCTCTCAAGTAGGCACTGTCTGCGTACAGATGGCCCTTGCTCAACTATGGATCTCTTGGGGAGTTTATCCATCCACGGTAATCGGTCACAGCCTTGGAGAATATGCGGCGCTTCACACCGCAGGAGTTGTCTCAGCTAGCGACGCTATCTTCTTAGCCGGAATCAGAGCTCAGGTTTTAGAAGAACGCTGCAACATCGGAACACATGCTATGCTCGCCGTCAAAGCGTCTTTGTCATCGCTCAGCAATTATGTGAATCGGCAAAGCTACGAAGTTGCTTGTATCAATGGTCCTAATGAGACTGTACTCAGTGGGACGATTTCAGGGATTGACTTGCTTTCAAACATTCTTACAGCGCAAAACATCAAGAGCATAAAGCTCGATGTACCCTTCGCTTTTCACTCATCTTAAGTCGAGTGCATTTTACACGATTTCGAATCCGCAGCGCAGGCTGTAAGGTTCAGCGAGCCATCAATGCCCTACATGTCTCCTCTACACGGAGAAGTCATTAGTGATAAAGGAATACTCGGCCCATCTTATTTGAGCCGTGCCCGTCGAGAGACTGTCAACTTTCAAGCGGCACTAGTCGCTGGCAGGGATGCTGGCACCGTTAAAGACGAAAGCATCTGGGTCGAGATTGGTGCTCACCCGATTTGCTCTAAAATGATCAAAGCGGCCCTTGGTTCTCACATACATGCCCTTCCATCACTTCGGCGCAATGAAGACGCTTGGAAGGTGCTGGCCAAAAGTCTATCGTCACTGTATCTGGCCGGCCTCGATATTCAATGGAAGGAATATCACCGGGACTTCAAACACGCCCTTAGGGTTCTTTAGCTTCCTTCTTATCATTGGGATAGCAAGAACTATTGGATCCAGTACAGCAACGACTTTTGCCTTACTAAAGGAGACGAAAAGTCCGCGGCGATCTCAGCTGCTCTCGTATCCGCAAATTCTATGCTGTCTACGTCTTCGGTTCAGAGAGTGCTCGAGCAGCAACTCGGTGATGAAAAGTCGACTCTCGTCATTGAGTCAAATCTCCACCATCCATCCTTGTCGGGCGTGATTCAGGGGCACAAAGTCAACGGGGCCTCTCTCTGCCCTTCGGTAAGTGTTTTCCAAAGTTTCTTAAGGCAAGTTGCTAATCCATCCAGTCTCTCTACGCCGATATTGCCCTGACTGTTGCCGACTACTTACTACAAGCGGCCAAGACAGATACGAAAGGGATCGGAATGGATGTGTCCGACATGACCGTCAACAAGCCTCTAATTGCCACTGGAAATGGGCCACAGCTAGTCCGCGCTTCGGCGTCTGCAGACTGGAATGCCCGACGTGTCTTGATTGACTTCTATAGCGTTACTGGCGATGGCAATAAGACGGCGAATCACGCGAATTGCACCGTCGACTTCGAGAACACCGATGGTTGGCTGAAGGAATGGAGGCGCAACGCCTACTTGATCAGAAGCCGAATTGACAGCTTGGAGCAAGGTGTCGAGCAAGGACAAGTCAAACGTGGCCTTGCTTACAAGCTCTTCGGCGCTCTTGTTGATTACGGTCAATGCTACCAAGGCATGCAAGAAGTCACACTCGATAGCGCACAGCTCGATGCGCTATGCAAGTACCAGAACTTGTTGGCCTCTGGAAGGAACTGTTTTTCACCAGTTGCTTTTTGGAAAATCCATGTAACCAGGCGGAGGAGCTCCTTTACCTGAGGTGAATGAATGGTGAAGATGTCAGACATCATTCGTATCGTATTTCAATTTCACTTCAATCAGTCTTTGACTTTGATTGAGTTGGTAATTACCATATATTACCGGGCATTGTAATATTCCTCTCTTCGGAGCCATTTTTGCGGGTTATCAGACACGAATAACATACTTGGCTGTCACACGCCACTAGCTGTGGCGGTGTGGCAGCGTGGCGGCGCTTTCGCATGCGGTTAAGTACTTTTGTCATTTCCAAGTTTCAAAGCTAGAGAATAGTCTCAGTGGCCCCACGCAGTGGTCTGAGCAGGAAACCCTGCCAAGACTTATTTTTTAGTGTATTGCCCGATATGTAATATTTATACCCTACGTATATATGATTCTTAATAAAAATACGCAACTACGTAATATGGCCTTTCTTGAAATTCTCTAAAAAAGTTAAATAAATAGTTAAATAGCCTCGTCAAATTAGAAGCTATAGTGAGTATTAAGAAGTAAGCTTTTAATTTCATTTTACTAAAAACTTAGCTAACTTAGCTATAGTAGCGATATTAATATTTAAGAACGTCGTATTAATACGTCTTAATAGACGCGTAATACTATATAGAAATTCTTTTATAGTATATAATCCTCGAGGTAACCGCTATAATACTCGCCGAATCGACGATACGGCGTATTAAGGAAAATATCGTAATCTCGCTAATTAGTTTATTACTTCGATTAGACGCCGTAATCTTCTTTTATTTTTAAACGACTGATTTATAAGAGTCGTCGCGGCGATATATATAAATAAGTAGTAAGTATATATATATATATATATATATATAAGCACGCAAGTAATTATATAGCTATCGAACTTGCGAAGAGTAGAGCGAAGAGCGAAGCGAGATAATTTATTCTTTTAGTATAAAGTTAGATATTAATAGCGGCGATATCGATAAATAAAAATATCTCGCACGATGTCAAGTCTCTTATAAATATATAGAATATAGAAAAGACGTCTTTGAATATAGAAAAGTCTACGTCGTCGTTATAAACGACCTAATCAAATATCGCTTAGTTATCTTCTCTCTACTTTTATATCCGAGAATCAAATATATAAATTTTTAAATTTCTTTCGATTCGAACTATTAAAAGTATTTAGACTTCGCTATTATATAGAGAAAGAATATTACTATAAGATATAAAGAGATTAATATCTAAAGTTCGAAGATATCTCGTCTTATCGTTATAGAGAAATTTGAATATCTAAGTATTCTCAATATATTTTATATCTATACGAGCTTGTTCTAGGCGCGCTAATCGCGTTAATATTATTTAAAATATATATACTATAATCCCTTTAACTTCTAAGTAAAACGTATTTAAGTTAATATATATTTCTATAGAGATAGTATCTTAAATACTCGACTTTCTAATTAAGAGTAATATAATGAATCTATTCTAATAATTCCTTAACTCGATTCGTTATATAATCTTCTAATAATACTAAATACGATACGCTATCGTCTAAGGTTTTTCGATAAAGATTAATCGACTAAAGGTAAGTGCTATAAGCGTTAGCGGAGATCGCGATTTTGAATTAGCTTATACGATAATAATAAGCTATTCGATCTTAATAAAAGGTTTAAATACTTAATTAGTAACCTCGATAGGTCTATCCCCTCGCGATTAACTTTAAAGAATTATATAATAGTCGTGAAAATTATTAAAAGTCGCGAATTTCGCATTTCGGTTAATTATTGCGGGTGTCTTATACAAAATAACGATTAATATAGCGATTCCAGGGTTTTCTACTTAGACTCTAAGGGAGGGGTATACCGTAATAAGCTTGCGATATGATTGGCCCCCGAAGCGAGGCACGAGTGTAGGGCTGGCCATAGGTACCCCGGCTAGCCGTGAGTCTGAATTACTACTAGCTAGAGAAGTCACTTCTTTTCCCCAAAACAGGATCTGATGCTCATCCATCGGGCCAATGGGAAAAAGAAGACGGTTTCAATGCGGTAATTGATCGGCGAACGCTCGGGTTTGCTACACCCTTTTTCCCACGTAGAACAAGCGAGACCCTCTGATATTATTCCACTCCGGCAGTACAGCTTACTACCAACCCATCGACTCTCCATCTGCCTTTTGGCCTACATTACCATGCTTGACCCTCTTCCCTTACCCCCCCCCCCCCCATTTCCTTGAACAACTCAAGCCTATGTGACCATTCTTCATCTCTCCAGCTAAGTCCACAGTCTCTGACCAGCCACGATTCACGATGAAAGTCTTTTTCTCCCTATCCCTTCTTTTCCTTCTTCAGAATCCTGCTTGCTTCCTCGTCACTTGTGCTCCGGTATCCATTGAACATCACGAACTGCCCGCTACCAGTACAGCAAAAGGCTCATGCAATCTTCACATACCTATCTCGTTACGATTTGTGCTGGAGGGGGAAGACATCTTCTACGCAGGAACCTTTCTATCCTCGAGTCATGCTTGACAGAGCTATGGCGGCCCAGATGAGCCAAGAGCAAGCAATCGAGTCACTCCTAAATGCAGCGCCTCGGTCAGCCACTGTTCTTTCGGCCTTGTCGGTGCAGCAGGAGGACAAATGTCCAGCGATGACGACCAAACCATCCTTGCATTCACGGACTCTTTTAGTATGTGTGTACAGGACACTCAAGGTCGTCATGACAAGCTTGCGATGCAGGGTAGGAAGCGTAATGGCGATGTTTGATTGGATAGGCTCTTCCGACGACGGCCTGATTGTCACAGGATTGATCCTGTCAATGATAATGCAGATCATGTTGGTATATTGGATTTGGATGGATGCCAGAGCGGTATGTATCCGGAAGCCAACCGACCGGATCCAAGCATGTACACTAACACATTCATTCTTCGCAAGTTGGAGCACGAGGAAATGGATAGCTTTCAATAACCGTCAGACTCTAGGGTCAAGAAGATCTTTGCAAAGGAAGGAAATTGGATGACTCTCCACCGGATTCTCCGACGCAGTACACACCGAGACGACCTGGGAGAATGTGCCAGTCCAAGGATGAGGCCTTGGCGCAAACAGGTATGATCATTATGGATGTTGCAGCGACGTCTTGACCTCGGGATGAAGCCATCGACGGTTCCAATCTTACCTTCATTCATTCATTGGAAAGGGCAGAGGTTCTAGTTCAAATAAGAATCTTCAAAGAAACATACTAGCCGATGCCGACCTTTGAGTTCTGCTTGGTCTGGCAACATCAGTACCACTTTCCAGAGACCTTGACAGCTAGGTACCACAACTGCCGAGAATCCCTCGAGTCTCCGTAAAGACTAGAGACTGTATGAATGCTGCTTAGGTCAATGTATTCACTAAAATACTAGTGATTACGTCGAAATCTTAATATACGTACTTGATAAGTATTTTTATGACCGGAAGATTATCACGACAGCAGCTAACATGAAATACAGTACCAACGGTAAGTTTGCTCAACGGGTAATGAATGGAAAAGGGTTTTTGGGGTCTAGGCCTGATCGCCGGGACGCCACTCCTGTTGGATGGAGGAGCGAGAGGGGATCTTGCCAATCGCCATGCTAGGTTTTAAGGTATGGAGACTAGTGATACTGTAATGCCGTGATCCGCTGCGGAGCAACACTCCGCTTCCTGTTTTGAATTTCGTCTTCAGATGCTTTCGTCAACTCTTTAACTACTTGACCATTCTCACTATCCGGGACAGATACAGTACTGATAGAAGGTCGTACAGTATTCTCGCATCCATGCCATTAACATTTATGCCATCGCAAGCGCCAATAGGACCTGTCCCACTCAAGCTTCAACAGCTGTTGTCTTCCCTGTCATGTTTCGCAAGCGGTACGCATATTAACCTTTTCCCTATCAACATCCAGGATGTGGCGTCGGCAAGCAGACAATCGTCGTTGATGTGATGCACAAATAGAAAATGACAGAACTTCCATAGGCGGAGCTCCAAGAAGCTGGACATCGAACTCTATGCCAGATTCAGGGAGAACCACCCTGATGTTAGCCCCGGAACTTTCCGTACCCATCCACCTATCAGTCACCGAGTCCGAACGCATCATCAGGTCCAGACGTAAAGAGGAGGCGTAAGTAATCTTCTCACCACCAACACAGTTTCTCCCAATGTACTTGCGCTACTCGAGCGATTTGCTGGATTGACATCGTGACTTGCAGTGATGCACAACATGATGACACAACTGTCGCACCGATATCTAGAGTCCCGTGGCTTTCCCTCGAAAATGTTGTCTCTGTCGCACCGACGCCATTCATGACAGATGAACCAGCCTTGAGACGACCACTGGTTGCTCAACGACAACAAGTCGAAGAATGTAATCAACCAACAGTCGTAGGGTCGAGTCAACCACTATCCCCCGCCACTGAGCACGATATGTGGTCAGAGTTTATCCTTCCCGAATCTCTGTCCACTTCTGAGGCTATCTGGTCTTGTGATTTTCAGGACTTCCCATCTCCTCTAACCCCACAAACTTCATTTCCGGACACATTATCTTCTGCCTCGCCAGATCTTCAGCCTCTGTCACCTCTTGCGTGTGAAGATGTCGCTAGTCCAGATTGCGTGGACGTCGTCGAGTCACATGAACCTGAGATCGTGGACAGCTTCTACCAAAAAATTGGGAGTACTGGGTCAGCCTTATCAGTGCAGCCCTCAAACGAGTGGGTGTTTGGATTCAGGTTCCTCAGCATGATCAACATCCACTGACATGATGACCCAAGGGCTCGCTTTTGCCACAAACTTCACGCACCCCCTGCTTTGATGCTAAAGGGATCTGGTGAAAGCCCCGTGACTTATTTAAATAAAGGCTCACATTATTCCATTTCAGTCGAAGATACGTTGCGTGCTGGACCCGACCCTGGAGAGGTAGAAAAAAAATACGTGGACCCTCACGAATCTGATCATCCGGACCACGGGGCGAATTCTCAGGTTGTTCACTCTGATGGCTTCTCGTTGATGTGGAGCGCAGACCACAGTGACATGAGACAATTTTCAATTGCATTTCGACTAAATTTCCGGTCAACGGACTTTAGTCACTGCAAAGGAGTCATGGGGGTTGCAATGCAACTCTGCAGTAAAACCGAAGAGATATCGACCACTTCAGTACAGTCTCTCAGACCGAATCTCGAGATGAGCTTTTGCAGGATCAAGTCATTCAGGAGTCATGGTGCAGAGCGCAAGAATGCCAACGATATGGCTATTGGGGAAAAACGAATCAGAAGACTGAAGCAGCAATTAGCGCAATCGCAGACACGCCAGACACCAAAAGACAAGAGACTTGGCAGGGATAAAAGCAAGACGCTGAGACCCTCAGGAGCACGAAGAAATCATGAGGATGGCATACTTTGTAAGATCAAGATCTTGCAACAGAACTGCACTTCAACCCCGCCGTACACACTCCTCGACCAACAAGGAAAGAAACAGCAAGACTGTGACTGGCCCCCGTTAGGGCACAAGGACAAACCTCCAGAATCGCCTGAGACTGGGCCGGCGTCCTCATCTTCGGCTTCACGAAGCGCGTTGATGCCGATAACCTCGAGACCAAAACACTCGATGTTGTCGTCACAGCCGACTCAGCTTCCTACTCCACCAAGGTATGATGAGTCGCAGCAAAGGACGTCGACACGAGATCTTCCAGAAGGGACCAGGAACAGATCAACAAGGCCCGGGGGAGTCAAAATTGCTTTGTTTTACATACGTCCAGTCGGTTTCAAACACGTAACCCAGATTGACCATTACATAACAGTATACCTTTTCGAGCGCACATCTTGTGATCTTACCAGGAAAATCGCGGAAGCAGTCTCGATTGATCCCGGGGAGGTGGGGCAGACAACATGGTCTACTGTCGAAGGTCTGACCATCCTAGTCGACGCCGACGTAGTCGCAAATATGATGGAGGGCCAGGAAATGCAGATCGAAGCGAAAAGCATCGCAACCAGGTCCGATTCTGGAAGACAGTTGAGCTGTGACTCTGCAGATGAGGTATATTCTTGTGAGCATGGAGTCAGGCAATGTACTCGAGAGCTACTTGAATTCAACCTCGTGTTTTGATGATCTCATGCGACCGAGCACATTCAACGACAGGGATAGAGATTGAGAGGGACGATCATACCTGTAATTTTAGGATGGCACAAACGTGCACTTGGACATTGATTGTTTCAAAAAATGGGGTGGAATAGGTGAGAACATAAAGACGTCCAAAGTTCACATTCGCGGTAAGGAAAATATCCCCAATATCATACCCTAAAGTAGAAATCTTGGCACATTTCATCACGGTGCATCACTTGTTGTGGACAGAGAGAATGCTGGATCTGCATTTTCTTCGAGACCAGAGCGAGGAAGGGAAAAAGTACGTGGAAAGTGCCATGTACGTTGCAAAAATCCAAGGGCTTTGGTACTTAGAAGGACTCTTCGAGCAGCACGATGCCAGGCCCTCGTTGCAAAGAACGAGCTCGTCCGCCTCCTGAATAAAAGTCCATGACTCATTCACCCTGCTCAGGGTCGACTTCCGATGGATGTGAGGCATCTTGGCCCGGATTCGCCTCCTCGTAATTGTAGTGCTTTGCAAATCTATAGTATCCTGCAGCAAGGATGGCACCGAAGGCTGGTCCAAGCCAGTATATCCAGTGATATCCCGGGAAGTTGCGATTTACTGCGCAGGGGCCAAATGATCGGGTGGGGTTTAGGGATCCGCCGGTAAAGTATACCCCTACAAAGGCACCATTAGTGACGAGAAGGCGGAGATTGCTGAGAGGGGTGGGCAGGGTGAGAACAAGCCCGTAAGTTCAGCAACGAAAAGCGCTAGCCCAATGGCCACTGGCGCCAAGAATGTTGCCTTGCTCTTCTCTGCCGCCAAGAACAAAACGGTCAAGACCAGTTCTGCGGTCAGGAACATCTCGATGAAGAGGCCTTGAGCTATGGAGGTGCTGTGGCTAAGGGTCGTGTTCACTGCTAGTGGGCCTGGAAACATGCAGGAGACGAGTCCAGCTGCAACAAGACCGCCGAGCATCTGGGCTGGGACGAGTAGGAGTCCACGGGTCCAAGGGAGGGTATTGGATATCATCATTCCGAGCGTTACCTGTATACGCTTCTCAGAATGTGTTGTAAGGGGCCACGATTAAGCAAGTGAATATTTACAGCAGGGTTGAACAGTCCGCCGCTGATCCTGTAGAACACCCACGTAGTGACAGCGAGGGAAAAACCGAATGAAAGGCTAATAAAGAGCAGCTGTTGCAGATCCGGCGCCGAAGCAGGAGTCAGAGTGTTGGCGATTTGAGTACCACCGAAGCCAAAAAAGAGGAACATAGTGGTGCCAACGAATTCTCCAGACATGGCGACGAGGTGTCCACGCACAGTCCTGGAGAGAGCGCCATTTTGTTTGCGCCTGCCGTTCTCATTGCCTTGGACTGGAGCTGGGTGGTGTTGAGAAGGCTCACCCCGTTGATGGTTGAAGAATTTTTGCATGCTAACGTAAAAACGAGCAAGGTTGGAGGCTGTGGGGAAGGGTTTTGAAAGAATAGCAGAGGCGTGTAGTGCGTCAGGGATGGTGGCCTACATATTATGTGGACAATGGATGTCATCATTCGGCGAAGCCATAGATACCGTATGTGATATAATGATTCACCAAGATTTGGTCTAGATTGACGGAAGCTGAAAGACTGGTGCTTGAATGACTGGCTATTGGGGGTTGATCGATCGATCGATTGTCGCACATCGCTCCGGATTCGAGAAGGGAGGGAGGGTGCAAAAAGAAAATTGGGAAAAAAAGGAAAAGACAAAAAATTAGCACGTACGGTACGTTGATTTCCATGGCTAGTTTCCTCTGGACAGACTAGTAGTAACGTTGAGAGTGCTTGTCTCAGGTTCGGTCACTATATGGAATAATTATGGATGTATTTTAAGCATGAGGTCTGACTGTAGTCTTGAGAATCAGATCCTGATTCCACGAATCATGTCATCACGTCACAAAGATTTGATTCCTCAAAGTAAATTGAAATTTTACGCTCCTATGTTTTCATGAAACACTGATAAGTCACTGTTTATTAATATAATAGACAAGTCACTTGCAGTTGAGTTGTTGTGATTGTAGTATCCAGCAGCGGTCGAGACCTACGTCAGGAATACGGTAATGAAAGAGCCGGGCATTCTTGGATGATGGTGCACCGCACAAAGTCATTCAGAGGGAGGGGAAGCACGAGTCTCTTCCTTTAGACAATGACTGGCTTAACATTCTGACGTATATTCATTGGAAGTGCGGAGAAATTCAGCCTGAAAATGATTCTATTTCATCCTTTCTACAGATCAATACTGGTCTTGTACATCTTGTTGAGATGGGTTTCGAAGGCCATTAGAGTATGGTGAATTGGTGATTGGAAACCCTAAAGTACAGAGCGCCTTGACTGCCTAGATAGTAGCGCGCCAAGTGGTCTTGGCATAATACGCGCAGACTTTCCAAGCTCACAGAGCTCCCATACAACAACAGTACACTCTTCATTTTGCCTTCTCACACCCATACATACCAGAAGTCTCCATTTCGTTAGATCATCCATCTCAACCCTGGTAAATTGCATCCCACCCTCCGTCACAATAGCCAGGTCCTTAAGATGAACCACCTTCCCCAGGCATGGGGCCGTGTAAGTCGATAGCTGGCTGATCCTGCCACGAGCTATAGCTGATACATAGTCCATGTTGCAGCCACGCGATGATGTCTATGGACCATACGATGCTTCATATCTCCAATCTAGTCACCCTCAGACCCACACTCAGCAGCCCATAGTCACAGGAACATCGGTCCTCGCGGTCAAGTTTAAGGATGGGGTCGTCATCGCTGCAGATAACTTAGGTAGCACCGCTTCCTCTGGCGAAACACCATGATCTGGCTAACGCCTCTTGCTTCTCCCACAGCTTCCTACGGTTCTCTCGCCCGTTTTACAGACGTAAAACGCCTCCGGCCCTTCAACTCCCGCGCAATTGTCGGCATCGGTGGCGACGTCTCAGATATGCAATACCTCGACCGGCTCCTCAACTCCCTCGACGTCACCGAGAATTACTCTTCAGAAGGGCATGGCCTTAACGCCAGAAATCTACACACCTACCTCTCAAAAGTCATGTACAAGCGCCGCTCCGACGTCAACCCACTGTGGAATCAGATGCTGGTAGCCGGACTCGATGGGGATGATAAGCCATTTCTGAGCAGCGTAGATCTATTGGGCACAACATTCAGTAGCCCTACGCTGGCAACAGGATTCGGAGCACATTTAGCACAGCCATTGTTGAGAAAAGTGGCGGATGACGAGAGCCAGGTCTCGGACGTGACAAGGGAGAAGGCTGTAGATGCGGTGAAAGAGTGTATGAAGGTGCTATTCTACAGAGATGCAAGGAGTCTGGATAAGTACTCGATCGCAGTGGTCACGAAGGAGGGCGGTGTGGAGTTGAAGGAAGATGAACAGCTGGAGAACCAGAGTTGGGCGTTCGCCGAGACCATCCGTGGTTATGGCCGAACGCAGGAGGTTTAAATGACGAGTTGACTAGCACTGATCGATAGAGCGGCATGATATCCTTTGCTCACCCCCAGCTTCACTTGTATCATCGCACCGCTACCCCGCCACGAAATGCCTTCGAACGCCCTCGTGCCAACTGCCAATTGAGAGATCAAAACTCAAGGACTTCCTCCAGCAAGTCCATCCCCAAGCCGCTATTACCCTCATCGAAAACCGACCACTCCTCTGCCGGATAGTCATCCACTCGATCTTGCACAACAGGCGCAAATTCTGGCTCTCGGTTTTCCTTGTCACTGTCCTCATCTGCAAACGGATCATCCTGTTCAACTTGTCCCGTTGGTCTCTCATCTTGCCCTCCCTCCTCCGCTTGTTGCTCGTTTAGTTCTTCATCCGCACTTTCTTCGCTCAAGTCCTGTTGGCCTACTCCAGCTGCGTCTGCGCAGTCTCCTTCCGCTTCGACCTCGACCTCTTTGCCTGGCCGGTCGTTTGACACGCACCCACTTAAAACTTGGTCATCCCCGCCAATTTCCGGTGCAGACTGAGTGGTGTCCTCCACTGCCTTCGATGTCCTCTTCTTAGCCGCCCCACGCAAGGCCTTCTTCTCCGCGCTCTTTCCTTCCCTCTCCGCTCGTTTTAGCCCCCTCTCCTCTCTTATCCTCCTCTCCAATCCAGGCTCGTTGTTCCAACCATTTCCATACCGCTTCCTCCTCTCGTCCTTCTCGCTATTCTGAGGCCATTGCGCATAGAGCGTCGATCCTTCCCCAACTTTGCAGCTGGAGAGTACTGCATCCATCGCTAAAAGTTTGGTCCGATACCTCAATCTGATGCCACAGAACGGAAGGTCACTCCGCAGGATACGAACTCCACTGGCCCGCCAGATGGACTCAAGATGGGCATCGACTGTCGCTTTGACTGCTGCGACCGTGGTATTGTCGAGATCGAGGTCCAGAGTTACGGTGTCTCCTGCTGGTAATTGGACGACTGAGGTGCGTTAGTGCTCTACCTTTGGGGGAAATAAAAGACGGGCGTCGACTGTGGAGCGGGTGACGTACAGAACTGGGTCATACTTAGAGGGACAGCTTGTACCGAAGCGCAATGGAGATTATCCGACGGCAGTCAAAATGTGGCCAGGTAGACTTTTGGAGAGCTTTGCTGTATGGAAGTATGGAGCAAGAAAAGAACATTGAAAAGCCGATTCTAAGGGGCATTCAATGAGCTATGCTCGGGCAGGCGTTGTGTTGAAGGGATGCACTTCTACGTGTGGCGAGGTGATGTGTGTTGAGCTGCGTGCCGGTAGGACAGACCTAAAATCTACGATGTTTCTGTACGATGCAGACAAGACTCAGCAACTTTACAGTTTTGGCCTGCTTTTGATATGTTCAATTTTGTTCACGCAAGTCCCAATGCCTTCCAGGCTGACTTCAACAACATCCCCGTCCTTAAGCCACAACTGCGGCTCCCTGCCCATGCCTACGCCTTGAGGTCTAATCACAAAATCAGCTATTTTCGAAGTCCAAACAGGCACGAGCACTTACGTTCCAGTGAAAATCAAATCCCCAGGAAGAAGAGTCGTCCCTTGACTTAAGAAGCTAATTGTCTTTGCCACCCCAAAAATCATATCCTTGGTGCTGCTGTCCTGGACGGTCTTGCCATTAACCTTTGTCGAGATCCGGAGGGCTTGAGGATCTTTGATCAAAGCACTCGACACAATGCCTGGCCCATACGGAGCCCATCCATCGAAGCCTTTGCCCAATGCCCACTGGCCGCCTCCTCTTTTCAGTTGCCATTCGCGATGTGATACATCGTCACCGACTGCATATCCCATGACATAGTCGAGAGCTTTAGATTCCGGGACTTCCCTCGCCTCTTTGCCAATAACGGCGACGAGCTCGCATTCGTAATCTAACCCGTCCACTTCTTGGGCCATGGTAGGGATAGGAACATTATCGAAGGGCCCGCCGAGCGAAGTAATTGGTTTGTAGAATAGCACGGGGTACTTCGGCAGCGGCATGCTTGATTCTTTGGCGTGTTGCTCGTAATTGAGGCCGAGGCAGCGGACGGTTCTGACGTCTTCGCTGGCAAGAGGAGCAAGGAGAAGGCGTACATCCTGATCGGATTTCAGCGAGTGGGATGATACGACCGTGGGAGGGAAGCACGTACGGCGATTTGCTCCGTCACATCGTGTTTTCCGAACACGTCTCCCTTGATCACGCGAGCTTGCTTCGTTTTGCCTAAATCGCTGACGCCCTGTGGTAAGATAGCATCCCCATAGTATGTTCTGCCGTCCTTGGCGAGGAATCGGACCAGACGTGAGAAAGGAGGCATAGCACGAATTAGATGACTCAAAGCAGTCCAGCGACAGAACGGAGCGTTTCTAAAACTCCAATTGAAGCTCAAGTGGCAGATTGTAGAATAATTCAGGTGCATTGACCGTGCCGCTCGTGTCTGCCATTGCATCATTTTGGAGCGGGCCTTGTAAACGCCGTTCTTTGAGTAATCCCCGGCAGCGGCATTCTGTTGCGGCTTCTTGCCGTGGTAAACTCTCCCCCCTGAGCACTCGTTATTCCGTGATATGAGGCTCTCGGGATTGCAGAGAGGGGTTTTGTCACTCTACCGCCAGTGCTGTACGTTATAATTTCCGAGGCAATTCTTCCCCATAGTCGTCAAACATGTCTCTAGTTCTCTGTTCCTGAGACGTGTCTCGCGACTCAAAATTCCTCCCAAAAGAGTAATGCTGACTGCCGAAATCATCAAGTGAGAGAGATAGAGAAGAAGCCAGCGGTTCGTTGATTAAACTTATAAAGTCTGTCATCAAAACGAAGAACATATCTAACCCGTCTTAGGACGTGAGAGAAAACTTCAAGGGCTTTGCAAGGTAGGTGCCATTTCAGAAATCATCTGACCAGCTCGGAATTACAAGTTAACATCATCATAGGACCGAGTTCGAAAGGAGCATTGGGCTGGACAAGAAAGACTTCGCTGCAATTGAGTATCTCCTACGAAAAGGCCAGAGGCAGCTGGAAATCTATTCCTCTCCTGGAATCAGGAATATAATAAGATGATGCCAATCAGGTTGGTCACAAGTTGCAACTTCGGATATTTCTGTGCTAAGATGACGGTATCTCAGCTCTTGCATTCATAATCATCGTATCAGGTGGAAATAGCAGTCATAAGATATAGCACCCCAAGTATCCCTACAGCGCCACCAACGCCATCGCTAAAATTCAAGAAGCTCAGACGGCACTCAAAGCTCTCCTCCCTCACCATGAGGATACTCTCGATACCGATCACTGGGATCTCCGCCAGGTATGCAAAGCCCGAGCCTCCAGAAGTAGTCTCGATGAGCAAAGAACAATTGCCATATGCGAAAGCGTGGCGGTACTGTTAAAAGACCCTTCGTGTCCTTCCACCAGTCCTTGAACCCTTCTATATCGGCGCCTTGTTCAATGCTTGGCATATTCGGACCGCTCTGACCTTCGTCGTGGACTTCCGCACCGGCTATACAATTTGGATCTTCGTCACCCTCACAGTATCTCAGGTCCTTGGCCTCCGGAGATAGCTCCGGCTTCGAAATGTAGACTTCTCCAGCGTGCATTTGATAGCCCCATTCTGTTAAAGGAAGCAACGGCACCGGGTCATCACAATGTGTTACTCGTCTGTACCTGCCAGTGATGTCTGTGTGACCATGATCCGAGAAAGACTTGTCGATGTATTGCATCAGTCCTTGGTTCCCAATTCTTGGCTCACCAAAGGTTGTTACTTGGGGGTTCCAACCCCGAGACTCCAAGTCAAGAGACGCAAGAGCTGCCACCGCCCCGCCGAGAGAATGTCCTACCAAGGTTACCTGGTAGTCCGGATATTTCTGAACGAGTTCATCGAGATGGGGTAGGATATGAGGTCGAGTATGCCTCCATGAGGTCATGAACCCTGCGTGGACAGTGCAATTGGTACATTCTGCCCTTTGCGGATTTATTGCTCGTTTCCGCAAGCTTCTGGCATGCTTGCCCTCAGCCTCGTCCTCGTCACCTGGATAAGGCATATACTCCTGTGGAACCGTTGACAAGTCGATGATGGTATTCGCTACTGAATAAGTTCCGCGGAACGCCACAATAATCCTTGGAGGCGATGGAGGATGAGAAAGGACAATGTATCCACAGCTGTCCGACATGAAGGGGCCTGTATTCCATGTCTACTCATAACCATAAACCTAGGCGCAGGCCGAAGAGCAGAAGTCGGACGCTTACCGTTATCAACTCGAAGCTGGGGAAATCCTGGCATCGGCTCGCGCATAGGAAAGGCTTTTGAATGCCTATCCCTGTCACTCCGACACAATAAGAAATATCGACTATGCGTGATAGCTCTTCCAGGTCATTGAAAAGCTCTATGGATATGTTGGGCTTCGAGATTGCTGGTAGGTCCTCCACCAAGGGTGATTGCAAGGAAGGGACCCCAAATGCTGGAGAGAGGGATGAGAAATAGCATAACAATAGGACGAGCCTCAGAAAGCGAGACATCATGTTCGAGTTGGTCGAGGAAGGAAAGTGAATGAAGGAGGCGTTGCGAAAACGTCACGGTTCAGGTTGCCAAGACCTGGGGTAGCGCCTGGATCTTGCCCGAAAAAGGTATAGTTAGTGCTCTTGTGGACTTCGCCCTACCTTACCTTTCCCATAACGCTATCCGGCGTGCTCGTCCTACATGGAGGTATCAAAGGTTTATGAACGCATTACGGGTTAATAGGTATGAGTGCAATAGAGTCTTATCAAACCAATCCATCACCAAGAACGCCTGCGCCAAATGTCAAGCCTTACAACTCAGGTCGTCAACAATTACGACCCGACCGCATGAGCGAACACCTTCGCAGCTAATTCGCTGAGCAATTTAGCCTTGTCGCCTTGGGGTAGCTCCTACAACCTCGTCAGAAAAGCCCACTCCTTGCTCCATCGAGGAACAAGGAAAAGCGCAATCCACTCACCTGGAACACGCTGTAGACGCTCTTCCCTCTTGCATCTCTCACTGCTCCTAACCTGTTCCCCGCCACTGCTCCTGCGATAGCCCCTGGGAAGTTTGCAACGATGAAGCCCATAGCTCCACCACTAAGACCTCCTACCATGCTCCAAAACTTGTTGGTAGGCTTCGCTTCCTTGCCTTCTGCCATCCCTTCCTCTCTCAACATCTCCTCAAAAATACCTCCGAACTGTTCATTGCTGAAGTGTTCTTCTTCTTGTGTATTTTTCGCACCGAAACCAAACGCAGACCAGGGGAAGCCACCAGAGCCACCAGATGGCTTTTCTTGGCGAGGTATGTCTTCAGTGTCAGGATCGCTGTCTTCGCCACCAGTGGGAAAACCGTGGTAAGAGCGGGCTGAGTCGTAGTCGCGGCGACGAGTAGGGTCTGAAAGTGTGTAGTATGCATCATTGATTTGCTGGAATTTCTTGGTGCGGGCCGGGCGTTCAGAGGAGTCAGAGGGGACACGGTCGGGGTGCGATTTCAAGGCTTGTCTTGACGAGACGGTTAGTCCGCAACACTAACAGCATGGATACGTGGACATACTTCTTGTAGCCATCTCGGATTTGCTGTTGGGTAGCTTGGGGTGGTATGTCGAGGATCACATCTGTACTTGTTAGAACTGCGAGGGGCAATACGTGGTCCGGTCGTACAGTAGTCTGGAGGCGCGTCTGGAACAAGATTAGCAGGCTATTCACGAATCAGGACCATGAGAATGGCACTTACTGGACATCTCTTTGAGAACGGCTGCTCAAGGCGTGATGCCTGTTATTGCACGTCAAAGGCAAGCTGAGAGCTTTGGACAAAAAAGGCTGCCTAGGACGTAGGGGAGGACAGAAGAGTTCGAGGCGCGCGACCAGAGGTGGGGTCCAATTTTGAATGAATACTCGTAGTCTCAACGGATACGTGTACACAATTCAAACGAACATGGAAGCCTAAGTGCACATGCCACATGGAAAGCAACCTGAATGACGTATCGTTAGCGTTATGCCAAGCAAATGGAAAGCTCCGAACTCGAAGGTCTCGCCTCGCCTACGGTACTGTACCTATAGGTACAAGTGTAGGGAACTAAGCCTTACAGCCAGCCCGTATGCAAATTCGGATTGACGAAGCCGAGATGATTTTGAGATCATAGGGTATCTTGGTGTACGAGTGGCTGTTTGTTGTTCTTTGCATTCATCAGGGACTCTGATTGTATGCAAAAATATCAACATCGCTCCTGGGGAGCGAATTGAACTCTGGGGAAATCCCTAGCTAGTCTTGGCAGGGCGCCTTGGCTTTCAGCGGCCCATCAGCCCCAACCTCTCTCTTGAAACTTGGAGCTTCGTAGCTTTTCTGAAGACTTTTGATTCTACCCAGCTCCATCTCACTATCGACCAGCAATGGCATGGTTCTCCGGTCCCGGTCGCTCCTCCTCTCCGCGCCGCTCGTCCGCCTACTCGCAACGTCCTTCCAATGACAGCAAAGGCTACTACTACAGGACCTCCTCTTCACATTCTAGCCGCGCGCGACCCCGTGGAGGCTACGTCAATCGCATCCTTTCCCAAATAAAGCGCTACCTCCGTCACCTGTACGATTACGCGCGCGATCATCCGGTCAAGCTGATAATGCTTTTGCTACCATTGTTGACGGGCGGGGCATTGGCGGGGGTGCTGGCGAAGTTTGGTATCAGGTTACCGGCCGGTTTGGCAAGTATGGTGCCGGGAGGTGCTGGAGGCAAACAAGGATTTGGAGGAAGAAGTGATGTAGGCGGTGGGGCCGGTGTACAGGGTTTGATGAAGATGGCGCAGATGTTTGTGTGAGACCAGGACGGGACTGTTGATACTGATGGGCGTGGGAGGTAAGTGTTCCGAGCTTATACCATGACTACATTGCGACGGGCCAATGCTAATTGGCAAGGAAGCGAGAGGCCTGGTTCAGAGAGGCAACCTATTCATTGGATATCCTCCTCGAATTATTATACCGTTGATGACTGACATGAAATGGCGAGTTCCACAGCTGCCTTGACGCAATGGATTAGACTGCAATTGTGAGGGTGGCCTTCCAGGAAAGATGTCCAAATCAATAGCAGTCGGAGTATGCGCAAAAAGCCAACTTGCTCTTTTTCTAGCTTGCAAAGTGCTGTACTGGATAAAACACTGCCCGTTTACGAGTACCGAGGTGGCATCCTTTGACTATGCATAAAGCAAGTTATATCGGCGAACGAGAATGCTAAAGTCCCCCACGGTTTGCAAGCCTGTACATAATCAATTGGCGCAACATTGAACGCTTTCTACCTCTAAGCTTAGGTCATCAGGCCGCAACTAGGAAGGGATTTCTTTGTGGAGGTCGCTTTCATCCACGGTTGTCGACTATGATTTTCGATGGCCGGAGGTGTAATACGTCTCGTCAGTGCGCCTTGCCATTCCTCTTGACACGTTTTCGTGCTGCTCCATTCCTTGAATCTTCCTTTATTTCTGGGTCTCCATCCTCTCCGTCATTAGCAGTCTCCAGATCCTCCAATTCAGATTGCTCATAGTTCGACTGAACACCGGCAATGCGACTCTGAATCTTATGATAAGTCCACACCGGTAAGCGGAACAAAACCGTCCGCCTGAACGTGGGCTTGGGTATCTCCTCTGGATCTAGCAAAAGCTCCACCCTTTCACCGTTGTCATCCTCTTCTTCCACATAAACGTTTCCCACGGAATCCACGATGAGAACTTTCCCATTGCGAGCTTGAACTTTCTTCTTAGCCCCTTGGGGCCCCTGTTCAGGTTCCGACTCAATAGGTGTAGGTGTACTTGTGCCACTCCGCTTAAGCCCCTTGCCTGTTTTCTTGTCTTTCTCCTTTTTGTTTTCTCTCTCCTGCATGCGCTTCTGGCGTCGATTAAGCACCGCCGCACCGTTCTCTTGCGCCAAAGAAGCAGGGGGGCTAGCTGTCATTCCCGTCATTGCACCATCAATGCCAGGAATCCCTCTGACTCCTGAGTCGTCGCCCCAGGCTGATCGTCTCGCATCTCGAATGACCCGTTCGGCGTAATCTCGTTGTCTCTGCCAGCTTACATACATAGCCGCGTAATGGACCAATCCTCCTCCAAATGCAAACAGGCCCACCAGCACTGATCCCAGACCAGGGCGAAAGCGGGCGTAGTAATATCCAGTCCCCCTCCATTTGGGGAAGCCGCTGCTCAGGAAGAAATTGTATCTTTCGCGACCAGGTCCTTTCAGAATCTCGGTGATAACGCCGAGTCGAGCATACCGCTCGCTAGCCTTCTTCACCGCGGTCTGAATTTCGCTTTCCGTGGGAGCTTTGTTAACGTGAACGCCTGGTTCCTTGTTTTTCAGTCCGAGTAGTGGCTTGGAAGTTGCCTTTGCCTTGGAGGCTATGAGCGACTGCTTTGCCTTGTCGGGATGTATAATTCTGGATTTCTTCCTGTAGGCTTTGACGATCTCGTCCTGAGAAGCGCTAGCCTTCACCCCCAAGAAATCTAGAGATTGAAAAGAGTAAGCCAACATGAATACGATTACAATGGTAGGAAGGTGTGAGTAATTACCGTAAAAAGTCACCTCAGGACCCTCGGAAGCCTGGATCTCGTCTCGAAGTCGGAATATTTCGTGGTCATCCTTAGTAAACCCAGCAACCAGCGCCAGCAGACCGCTGCAGAGCAAAACAAAGAGTGACAGTTTCATGTTTAAGGAACGTGATGCATGTGTGCCTGAAGCTATAGCACAAAAGCTCCCAATATGTGTGTACCTGCGTGTACCTCTAGTGGCCCTTTAGCTTGTGTAGTAAAAGTAGGTCGTGGTCCCAATCAAGGAATCGGGCAGGTGGGGAGATCCGAAATGTAAATGTGCGAATAATTCCGGTACACAGTCAACTTACAAGAGAACTCTTCTCCCCACTCACTTCCCTCTTGATTCTCAAGAAAACTGGGCGGTACGCCTAATGGTTGCCGCGGATGGAAAATATGTGATGAGCAATTGAGCATGGCTGAAGTAGTTCGTGGCTGAAAGGACACAGACCCTCCATCGAAAATAAGCCTAGGAGATAAAATCTGTGGGACAAAGAACACATTTGCTTTCTTTCAACTCCACAATCCTTTATACAACCACCTGTCTGACTATTCGCTACCATTTCCACCGAAAATTGTGAACAATTCCCACTTCTAGTCTCTGTAATCACTAGCTAATCGAATACAAAGAGACCAGAATAACCCTCTTTCCACCCCGTGTTACCCTTGAAAGTCCAAGAAAACGAACCAAAACCAACACCTTCACTCATTCGGCAATGTCGCGAATCAACATCCCCCTCGAGGCTCTGACCTCTCGCCTTAATCTCGGATCCCGCTTTGAAGGGGTGCGGTCGCAGTCGCTGACGTCCCGATTCGCCAACCTCAAGCCCATCTCTGAGTTCCTGGATCTCAAGCGCCTCTCCAAGCCTGCGAATTTCGGGGAGGTTCAGAGCAGAGTCAATTACAACCTGTCATATTTCTCAAGCAACTATTTCGCAGTAGCCCTGATGCTCACAGTCTATAGCTTGCTTACCAATGTAGCATTGCTCTTTGACATGGTCTTCATGGGCGTTGGACTCTTTGCAATTAAAAAACTTGATGGTCGGGAGCTCGAGTTGGGCTTTGCTCGTCTTACCACCTCCCAACTATACACGGGCCTGTTCATCATCGGTGTGCCCGTCTTCATCTGGGCTTCCCCAATTGCAACAGCCTTATGGCTAGTCGGAGCCATCGGTGTGACTACACTTGGTCACGCATCCTTTATGGACAAACCGATCGATACAGCTTTTTCCGAGGAGGCGGTCTAGGTGGTCGGCCGCGAACTCCAAAAGATTCGCCCTTATGGGGAAGACCATCAGGGGCTCGCCCGGGGAAGAGAAGGAGTGGGTCGGACAGGCAGGCACAACAATGGGAAGAAGATAGACGATTTGAAGAAGTAGACAGCGATGAAGATGACGGTCAGGGTGTTGGGTTGGATGGGGCGTTCGTTAGCGATGAATTGCGGTTTACAGGTGCAAACTTGAATCAACGTTCACGTCGTCGACAGGTGTATGGTGATAGGATGTCCTCCGAGTCGTCTGGCGATGACTATGGCTCGGACCATGGAGCCAGCGGTACCATGCAGATCGCTCTTAGGGACAAGGAAGAATTATTGGTGCAAAAGGCTTTGGAACGCATACGTCGTGCACAGATGCTGGGGAGAACAAATGTTAAACTGAGCCAGCCTGAGATAGATGCTCTCGAACGCAAAAGAAGAAAGGATGAAGCTGAGAGTGCACGTAAGAAGCCAGAAATGAGAAACGCCGATCGACGTCGAAGCAGCGGTCAGTCTCGTGATGCATCTAGAGAACAAAAGTCTAGCAGGAGAAAGAGCAAAGGGTATTTTCCTGCCTACGATAGCGAATATTCATCCGGTTCCAGAAGAGCTACGCTTCCTGGTATTCTTGTCCCTGGTCCAGCCGGCGTGCCTGCGTATTCACCGCTGGGATATTACCCGCCAACCACAGCTCCACAGGGTGGATCATCGCGTTCGGGTTCTCGATCAGCAAGCTCGCACAGCCTCGCACAGGCTTCACCTCCGTTGCCTCGTGCACACAAACAGCGTTACTCCTCAGGTCCTGATCCTGCTCTGGCCTCGCCAGCACCTCGTTCACCACAGTCGTCGCGACGTCTTCCGGACGACCCGAACTGGATACCTCGGCCTCGCTCAGCATCTTCCGTATCCAGTCAACCCTACCCGCCAGATCAGTACATAGCATACTCGCCTCCGATTCCGCAGATACCGCATCAGTACAGCCAAGGCCGACGAATAGTGTCAAGTCCGCAGCCGGACCTACAATACCCTCGCATCAGGGGAGAGCCTCAGGCGCGCGCTTCCGAGCCTTCCGCGCTGCGCCGAGAACACTCTCGCCAATCGACTCCCGAGAGAAGTGAAAGCGAGGATATCAGCGCAAGTGATGATGACGAAGGTGACGGCGTTCAAGTAGACGTTGTACCTTACAGTGAAGGCTATGAAATCAGCGTGCGTCCTGAAGGCGCCAGGGAGAAGCAAAGAAGAGGCCAGCGATAAGCGTGTTCGGAGTTTTGGGGTTCCGGAGACAAATAAAGATAGGCTTGTATAGACGGCAGTTCACACACAGCGTTCCTTCGCTTGAACTTTGACATCGCTACCAAGCCAGCATGTTCTCCTTGACTTTATCCTGTGTCCTCTCATCCACCCCAATGCGCTTCAAATACTCATTCACTCCGCCATAAACATTGTGGAGATGTCCAGCTATCTCCTGCACAAAGCCGGCCGGACATGCAGCAAATTCCTCGCCCAATCCGATCCGCCTGATCTCCTCCATTCTCGACTCCTTCTCGCTTTCCAATTCGTTCTCACTAGCCGTGTAGTCCGCACTTATCGCTCCGAGTGGAACGTTCAACAACAACAGAAGGAGTATGACAACAAGGCCAGTCCTATCCTTTCCTTGGGTACAATGTATTAAAGCAGGGTAATTGCTTGATTCAGCAAGGACTGTGAATATCCCGCGGAGTTCCGAGGTGCCATGATCAAGGCTATCTTTCCCCAATCCAGTCAATCCGCGTTCAGCCATGACTTCGCGACCAAGAATAGCAATGGCCTCCACTCTATACCCTAACACCATGAGCCCCACGAGTTTGCTGAGGCTCAACCATCTGAGCTTCCAGAGCAGGGCGCGCGCGAAGGATCCGCCGTTCAGGTTGATCTCGTGGTATGTAATCCCCGGTATTTTTAGTGGCTCGGCCGCCTCGTCGTTAGCCGGAGCGAGAGCCGCTGAGGTGTGGACTTGAGCGTTTCGTTTTTTGGCTTGATCAAGGTGCTCGGTTGTGGAGCGCAGGTCGATGATGTTGTTGATGTGGTATTTTGAGGTCAGCGCTTCCCGGTCCGATTTGGAGGCATTGTCCTATGCTCATTTCATTCAGCGTCACTTCTTCAAGGCAAGGTCTAACTTTCAAGACGGGTGTGAAGAGTGACCAGAGCCGTTTTCTACCAAAAGACATGTATTGCGACTCAGATTTGGGTAAGAAAAAGAAGTACTCGGGACTGTACGTACAGGGAGCGCGCTGCGGTAGATGCGGCCTTGTCGAAGACGGTCGTTGCCTTGTATTTCATTAATTGTCTGGGCAACGTCTCGGAAGTTGAGGATGTTCTGTAGGGAATCTGATGGCATGTCTGCTGCTGCTGCTGCTGCTGCTGCAGTAGGTTCAGAGGCGAAAGATCAGACTATAGGGCAACAAAGGAGATCGAGAACGAATTCCATCACGCCTGCGTATTGACAACTCGTAAAGCGCGGAAAGTGCGATCTCAAATTTCCGACTTCAGGGCTGCTAAGTACTCATGTGAGTGAACGAGAAATAGAACATGTTGCTACAGGGAGGATCAATCCTGGCACCCAGGCACCTTGCTGATTTTCAATCCCCTGCGCAATTCTCGATCAATTAATTGAAGGCCTGTGAATATGTAGAGTAGAGTATAATAAAGTAGGGTAGGGATTCTCAACATCTGACTGATCGTGTTGCAACTTGCTGCTCGTAACTTGCTGCTGTTCACATCCAATGGCCATGCAGCCTCCACGTCATATTTGCCTGCTAGTGGCATCTGGAAATTAGGATCCCGCCGCTGCAACCTCAACTCGACTCTGAAATAGTAACGTTCGAAAACAATCGAACAGCCCGTCTTGCCTTTGTCCTCTGCGATCAATCCTGACCCTTGCAGGCATCGCATGGAGTCTCTACCCCCATTCCAGCCTAAACAAAACCAACGATATCATCTATAGCCAAACTTTGTACTCACATCATGACTTCCGCCAAGTCGCAGAAGCTCGAGGATCAAGGTGAGCAACGATGTGGAATCCTGACACGTGCTACTTTGTTGTAGGCTGACCTTCACAAGCCGCGACGGCCGCTTTATATGTAACAAAAGGCAAAGACAACAAGTCGCAAACAAAGCCGAGCAACTATCCCCTGGATGAACACAACAAACTCTCGGCTGCTAGTAAGTCCAGCCTTTGTTGCTCTTTCAACTTTGGACTGACCTCGTTCGCCAGGTGCGGCAACATCATTGAAGCATGCAGACCCGAAAGATTTACCGGCGTTTCCTGTTGTAGGCCTCGCCCACCCGGAATCCTCAGCAGGAGCCGCCGCAAGTCTAGCAAACAAAGACCATAAATCCTTCGAGTACTGGAAGCCGGGAGACATACCAGCTGCCAACAAGGCAGCAATGCTAGCCAAGGACTACAAAGCTGCTCCGTTGTGGCATCCAGAGCTGAGTGCCGCCGGCTCAAAAGCCGCGCTTCTCGCTCAAAGGGAGGGAGGAGACGTCAAGATCTGGAGACCCTCGCCAACTGAGGCTGGAAACTCAGCAGCAGGTCAAGCGATGCGCATGAAAGGCTTGAGTCCTCAACTCGACTATGGTCATACTGAGGAAGGTGGCAGGAGAGCAATGATGGCGGCAACTCAATCGATGGCTAGCGGAAGAAAACGAGCTGGTTCTACGCCGATCGAACCAAGCTTATACCCAGATTCGAAGAATTCTGCGACAAATGCGCTAAAGGCAGCCACATCTGTTTCAAGAGCTGCTGGGAGAAGTCAGCCCGCACCACGTGCCCCAGCTGGCTCCACAATCAATGCCGCCAAGATACACAATGCAGCTATCACCAACCTTTCACGCGAGATGTACACGTCCCATCCCCCAGTTGCGCCGGAGGTGGAAGAGAAGAATAGACAAGCCGGCCTGCGCGCTGCAGCAATCTCAATGGCAAAACAGATGTATGATGTTCAACAGAAAGCTATCGAGGCAGCGGCGGAGACCCGGCGATCTGATAGCTCATATGCTGCTACCAGCGTGCACAATCGTCCAGCCTCGGCTACACCAGAGGAACCGCATAACCCCCCGCAGTATGCCAACCTGCAGGAAGCGGCGCAGAAACTAGCAGCTGAGCGCCTCGCTAAGCTCCATGATGAGCACGCAGCGTACAGGACATATTATGGAACACAAGCTGCACCCCAGACCCACAAGCTGTCAATACGAGGTCGGGCTCGAAGGCGCGCATCCAGCGATGGCCAGGCAGATGACGAAGAGCGCTCCCAACAGATCAGGTCCGAAATGTCTCTGTTCACGGACAAACTAGCCCAGGTGGATGCAAAAAAGCGGCAAAAGGATAGGGATTCGCTCTTGGCTGCCGCTCAAAGAAATGTCAGAGCAAGCATGCATGGCATGGATGAAAAGGTCTTCAACGATACTGGTAAAGTTTCCCCAGCAATGATGGAGGACTGGGAAGAGAAGGCCAAGGCCAAGGCAAAAGCTGAAAGCTCCGCAAGAATGGTCAATCATGGCAAGGTCAACATAGGTGGTGGCAGGTACATGGACCAGTCGGAGATTGATGCGATCGCCGCCGCCAGAGTCCAGCCTACACTTGATGAGGTCACCGCAACCGCCGAGAAGCACCGCGCAAGAGACGAAGAACTTCGCCAGCAACAACTTGAGCGTGAACGGCTAGCTGCGGAGAAGAATCAGGACCAGAAGGAGCGTGATGCAAAGACCAAAGAGGATTGGAGGCGCTTCAAGGGTAAGTTGATTCCAGTTCTATTTTGGAATATATGCTAACGATCACCAGAGGAAGAAAAGCGAGAAGCTAGGGCTAGAAAGGAAGAGGAGAGAGCAAAGAAATTTGAAGAAAGGCGCCTTCGCGAGGCGGAGAAGCAGGAGAAGCGTAGAGTCAAGGAGACAAAGGTCGTCTCGGAAGTTCCAGTGGTGGTTGCGAACGAGGAGCCCAAGGAAGAGGCCGAGGAGGCCGATTCCGAAGCTGTGGTTGCTGGACCAGAACCACCAGTGCTCGACCCTATCCCTGCGACCACGCCTTTTGCTACCGATGATTCAAAGCCTGAGACTCTTCCAAGCGACGAAGAGAGGATCGATCCAACGTTTCTGCCAACATCTGAGTTGGAGCCCGTAAATGCCAGTCAGGCCAATCTGGCGCCAGCGTCTACGGAGGAGTCTGAGCTTGAACCAGTGTACACTGCGGACAGCGGTGGACATCTCAGTGGAAATGCGGAAGAAATAGCCAGACGTGTATTTTCAGCACCTGTTGAAGGAGAGCCCACAACAAGTACCTCATTGGGAAACACAAACACAGGTACTGAAGAGCTGGTTGAGAACACGTCCAATGCAAAGACGGCTCCTGTTGTAGGAGCAGAAACAGCCACGGCACCAGCAATCGAGACAGAGCCAACCCCCACCGTCACAGAGCCCTCGACGGCAACAAAGCACGAGGCTCCTGTCGCAGCTAGAGTAGTTCCCACTATACCTGCGGCTACGACCGAAACAACGGTGAGCGGTCCTTCGACCTCGAAATCGATGAAAGACAAAGATACAGGTAAGGTCTCCTCCTGGCTCAAAACGAAATTCTCCCGCCGCGCCAGCAAACCCGCTAAGCCCGAGTCAACCACCGCACCCTCTGAGGGCAAAGGGAAAGGGTTCGTTGGTGGCGCAAATCTCACTGGCCCCGATGCTAGTAATACCAGCTCGGATCGCGGCGACTCCTCTATGCGCGAAGTCGCTCTTGCGGGCAAAGATCCTACCGCGACTACGACCGAAGCGCCCCTAGTGAGCCCAACCGCGAACGATGACCTTTATTCAGCGTCTACTCGTAGCCTTCACACTGGACCGACAGCTGCAGGCGCCCTTCAACGCGAATCTCTTTCCTCAGCCTCCATCAGCTCTCTCTCGAGTGACGAAGACACTCGCGGTCGTAGCGCCATACCACGAGAACGAGAGCCAGTTACACAAAGTCAATTTGTGCACGAAGAGATCGACAAGGGTCACATCGATCCTGCTTTGACTCGCCATACGAAAGAATCGGAGAGCTCGACTGGTGGAGGCGAAGAATTTGAGGAAGCGAGGGATACCTTTGATACCGAGAAGTTGAATCCGCCGGCAGCTGGTGTTCTTGGTGGAACGGCGAGGAAGAGCGACAGTCCGGCGAGGGATTCGAAGTTTATGGAGGACTTGTGAATGGGGGGATTGGAAGACGTTTGTGGGAAGAATGGCTGATTCGATACCTTAATCGTGCGATTGCAAGTTTTTCCTGAAGAGATATCTATGTCGTTGGATCAGGCAAGCAAATGATGTATAAGTTCCTTGTGCTTGATTTATATGCTAATGCAGAGAGCTACTTTCCTCTTCGTTCTTTCCTGTCAGTCAAAATCTCTATGCCTCACGCCAAGCCAATAAGCGGAATTCTTTCCAAGTAGAGAGAGATCTTGACTGAGCATGACTGTAATTATGAGTGAACCTTTGCAAATTCGACTCAGAAATGATTCCTGACCGCCTATACGGCAACCAGTCACTTTCCTACTTGATGGCCCATTAGGATTATCCCATCTGCTCGACTTTCGCTGGTATATAACGCACGTCAAAAATCTTCCTTTTCAAGATACTGCGTCTATGCAGCTACCTCTCCCTTGGAATGCAATTCGAAACGCCGTGCCTGCGGTACGAAAAGACCGCTCTCAAAAGTTCTGCGCAGCAGGTGGTCTATAATGCCCCGTCCCAGCACCATCATGCCCTGCCGCTCCAACCGCATATGCATTCCCATTGACGCCATTCGTCGTCGTCCCGTTGGTGTATCCAGAATCCTCCATCATCGCACCCCCATTCTCTGCTTCTTTGCGACGCAGAAGCTCAGCGTTCGAGTGCTCCTGGGTGCTCCGGGCCGCCGGCAGCAAATCCACAAAGAAAGTAAGGACGTAGAAGGTAAAGACGAACGCGATGATCCATTCGAAAATGGCCGCGACGTTCTGTTCACCGTCGAACGTGGTGGCCGCGAAGATGATTGCAAAAACGACCTCCACGATAATGAATATGAGTTTGAGCCAGAAGGAGAGACGCAGGATCCGATGTTGGCGGAAATGCACGCCGAGGCGTTGGTACTCGGCGCAGATGAAGATGGCGCTGATGACGTAGCCAGCGATGAACAAGAGGAGGAAGCCGTCGTGCAGATGCGGGTGATGGAGAGTGTCGAAGATGGAGAGGAGGATCAGGCCGCAGGTTCCTGCGATGGCGAAGATGACTGCGATGATTGATCAGTATGAATGGATCTCGCAGTCCGGCTTGATACAGAGATGGGTGTCAGCGTACTGGACAAGCCGGACAGGACCTTCTCGGCCACGCCCAAATTCTTTGCCAAACGTCCTGTGTGTCGTAGCCAACGCTCTGATGCGAAGGAAAGGTCGAGGAAGACAGTGGTGACGCAGCAGCCTGCTATAAAGAGGGGTTTCAAACCCTGGGCGCCAATGTCGGAGATGTATGCTATGTGTTGATTGGCGCTCATTGAGGCGTAATGAGGGTGGCCTTCAAGCTCCCAGATGATTAACATGGCTAGAAGCATGGCTGAAGGTATTTTAGCCCAAAGTATTCCCCGTCAAAGTGAATGTGAAGGGGTGGTTTAGAAACCCTTGGACTTACCCAGCCAGGTGCAAGCGCTCACCAGAGGCAGTATCCATACAAAGGCGTATTTCAAGAAACTCGGTATAGCCATGTGGGAGCAGTGTGCGCGACTTGCCAGGGAGACGCGTAGGAGGCAAATGTGTCGGGTGAGAGGGGGGATTGTGGACGCCTCGGACAATGGCTTTTATATATTGAAATGAATAAATGTGAGGAGATAGAATTGAAGAGGAAGGTGAAAGGTTACTCGGTAAAGGAAAGTAAAGGTAAGGAAAGTAAAGGAGGGTAAGTTATAAGAATAAGAAACAAAGTCATACACTCACACTCATTCCCTGGCAAGTTTCGGCTTCGGATGCGCTTTCAACTTTCCCATTCATGGAGAAAAAAAAACTTATGACGTCATGATTAGTCGGCCCGTCGGGAAGTCCGGATGTGAAGCTTGAGCTCTAATCAATCTTACCGAGCGTACCTTGCCTAAAGTAAAGTACTTTATAAAGTACTCAACTCGTATGATCGTAACAAACCAAGGAACCACTCCAATTCAAGACATGCCACAATTCTGCGACTTCAATCAAATCAATAAGAGCAGTACCAGACCAAATTGACAATTTTCTTGCCAAGCTCTGCATGACCGTTCCTCTTATTGACTGGTAGTCGTACGTCCACCAAGCAGTGTGCAAGGAATCTCTTCGTGGCCTGAATCATACACTGTTCCAAGATTGCCCGTCCAAGTTCAGTCGAGCTTCGGCGGCAGTCCCTCCAAGATGTCGGGCGACTGCTCCCTCTGCTTCCGGAGAGTACTGGGTGTGTCCTGGCCGGCCGCGAAAGAGGCATTTCCACAAGTCTTCCTTACCAACCACCTCACCACTGCTTGAACCTTTGGCAAGAAGATTTCCAAGTAGGCTTTCTTCCAACTCCATAGTATTCGCCGCATCAATCTTGTGTTCCAGATTCGCTTCTTCGCTCCTCCCCGTTTTGGCACGTGAGCGACCCATGTGCGCCAACCGCCGGGTCACGGATATGTCATAGATTGATTTTTCCACCGTGTCTTCCACAATATACATCCACACTGTAGTCACCTGGTGCTGTCCAATTCGATGCACCCTCGCAATCGCTCTGCATTACAATGTCAAGTTAGCATTGCCTACTTGAGACTCGAAAAATACATACTGCAGCTCGATCGCTGTGTTTATCAGCGGCTCGCAAAGGAAGACGTGTGTAGCATTGACCAGGTTGAGGCCAGAAGATGATGCCTTGGCGTGGAGGAAGAAGCATTCCTTCTATTACACAATATCAGTATTTCGCCTTCCGTGTCATCTGTCCTCCAAGACATACGCTAGGGTCGGTCATGAACTTCTGTACCCCATCTTTTCGGTCGATGCCTGTAAAATCGATTCGAAATTGAGTAAAGGCTCTTGCCAAAACATCCAGGAAGTCTCGATACTGAGAAAAGACAATGGACTTAGCGCCCGGATCGTGCTCTCGAATCCACAATATGTGTCGGGCGATGGTATCGATCTTCGTTCCAAATGAGCCGCCGAGGTCAATATTTTTAATCTGATGAAGGACCGTGTCGCGAATTCCAGAATATATTGCAGATTCTTCCATGCCGTTCGCCACCCTGACTTCCGTTTCTTTCTCCTGCGCTTCTTCCTGCATGCTAAGCTGTTGCGGTTTGTAACTACACTCCAATCAGCCCCTTAACGATGATTATGCACAATGAGACTCGTGAATACGTACGTAATTTGATGAAAATCGTTCCTCGTCAGATGCTTTTTACACGTTGGGCAATTTCTATGAGATCCCCACCAGAGACGGACACACTCGACACAGTAGGAATGTCCACATGAGGTCAAGATACCCACTTCAAATGGCTGCTGGCATATTATGCACAGTCTCTGACTTTCGACATTGGTGGCTTCATCCCGTAAATGCACGAGATAGCGGCCTTTAGACTTCAACATTGCAATGCGAGCTTTTGTACGAGATTCGGATGCTTTTTTATCAAGCAGAATACCATTGCGAGCTTCTTCGCTCAGGTCTTCCTCGTAAGGAGCCACCGTGTCTGAGATATGTTGTAGTTGTCGGTAATAATCAAGCCGCAGGTTCATGGTGTCTTTGAATAACTCGATTTCCTGATCTAGACCTGCCACTGCCTTCGTTTGTCCCGCTGAAATTTGATGCAAATATTGCAATGCGACGTTGATTAGCAATAGCTCTGCCGCTGCTCGAGAACTGCCTTTCTCAGTCGCTCCCCGGAGAGTGGTCTTAAGTTCACGAAGCTCTGTTATCATGCCCCTAACAGACCCTACGTCCTTCGCAGGCTTAAGTCGATTTCGGGTGGACAAGAGCTTAAGTAATAGCTCGGGAGAATGACCCTTGCCCTCCTTAGCTTGCTTTGAGGCAACACTCATCTCGTGTTTGATAAGTTCATTATCCTGACCGGTCAAAACGTCGTGACGGTCCGCAATGAGGGCCTTCAAAGCGTCGACGTACACATAAACCTAGAGTGAAATCAGTAGAAGTCAACAAACTGGGCGCTGGCGCCCTGCAACACACCTCGTCTTGTCGTTTCGTCGAGGTCTCGTATTCGTCTCCTTGAAGATCAGCCTCCTCTTCATCGACAAGCGTAAGAAGTAGAAGTTGAATTGTCTTCTCCCGCCATTCGTTGATTTGCTTTGCTTGATTCTGCATGATCGCGATCATACTCTCCAGTCTCTCAAAAATACTTCTAGATTCAATGCCCCCTCGATTTTTGAGTGGCGAGATCTCTGGGATGTTGACTAGGGATTTTGCGTTAACCTTTTCATTAACCCTGCTCATCAGCATTTCAGCCTTGGTGTGGGCTTCTCGCAGTAACTCTTTGCGTAGGATCTTTGCCCTTTCATATGTCATTTCTTCTTTTCTTTGCAGCTCAGAAAACTCTTCTGACTCGGGTTTGATCCTCGTTTCATCGGTCTTTAGTTGGTAATAAGCATTAGCAACAAAGAAGGTACACATATGCTCAATCTCGATAGCTGTGTATGATTTGAGGTTAGCTTTACATCTCCAGGCGCAGTTTCAGTCAGAACAACAAATCATTAGGCAAATCTTGTGAATATGTACATACCTGCACGCAGTCTTTGTCGGTGGGGTCCGGTACGTATGACTGTCGCTGATTCCATTTCGTCACTCTTTTCCATGGCCTCTTCAGTCATGCTCAGCCGATCAATCTCAGCTTTCAATTGCCCCCTGCAATCATGGACGATTGACTCGGCATCTTCGAGGGTGTGCGACCAGATTTCTAAGGCTTTCTCGCTCTGTTCAGCATGTTCAAGGATCTGCCCCCTTCGTGCTTGAGATAATAAAAGCTGATAAGGGTTTAAGGGTCAGCAGGGTTTTGCAAGGTGAAATCGGTACCCAGATTTGAGTCGTAAGACAGGGCCGCAAAGCACAGTCGGGAGCATGAACCCTTCAGCTCCCGAATATTTAAGCAAGGGATCACTTGGGGCTTTGCGTACCGTGCGTTCTTCCAAGCGAACCGCAATATCATTTTGTTCTATCATGACCTCAAGAACTTCCCCAACAGTACGCAGAGGTCCTTTACCACTACCTAGGGCCCGCCTGTTGCGGGCTCCAACCTCAGGATGAAGACAAGTCTGTCGTAGTCTAATCAGCCAACTGCGCATTTTCTCGACGGTAGCAGGTGAATTAGAATTCCAATCGTCTATTCGTGGGGTTCCATCCAGGTTTAAGCCACAATCCTCGGCCATTTGCCCAAATATCGTCGAATAATGCTGTTCTTCAATTTGCGTGAACGGTACGGTGACAACCACCCGTCTCTGCGGCGGCAATCGGATGTCATCTTTGATCTGATCTTTCGTGTGGCGGAGAGCAAGGGTACGAAAAATTTGCTTGAAAACGTTCCTATGCCGCGTGACAAGGCTTTCCCACACATGTGTAGGAAAATCACAATATGGTTTGTAGCACAAAAAATCGACAAGCCCGAAGAGATCCCTCGCATCTTTCTTTACCGGAGTGCCGCTAACGCACCTATGAAGGTTTCGGAATCAGAACTCCTTCGAGACAAGAACCCGAGTAACGGAACAGCCCGAAAGGGCACAAGGCAAAATTCGCTCTCGCTGTGGTATGGGTTAAGAAACGACTGCTCGGGAATGTACATACCAAGCTATGTCTCTGGGTATGAGTTTCGCAACCTTAGCAGCGTTGGAGACTCCGCTCTCTACCATTTGAGCTTCATCTAGCACTACTCGCCACCAATAGATATGTGTGAGCGGAGAGAGCCTCTTCTCGTACCTTTTCTGGTGGCGTAGACTCCGGTCAGGCGTCTCAGCGTAGTGAATCTCTCTGGTGAGTACATTATAGGTTGTCAAAACAACATCATGTTGCGTGCACCGCAACATTAGCGCTTCATGATCGCTTTTGCCAGCCTCGACTCGCAGTCCTTCGTAGACAAACACACTGAGACTGGGAGCAAGACCTTGCAGTTCGTTTTTCCATTGTTGAAGTATAGCAGGGGGTGTGATGATAAGTGTCGCGGAGCACCGTGGTAATTCCTTTGGCGAAGGAGACTGCCTAGCCGGATTTACCGGATTTAACAGCAGTAATGCCACCAACTCCACCGTCTTGCCCAGTCCAGTCTCTTCTGCGAGTATACCCCCCTTTGGTTCGGAGCCCATGTGTACTGGTACTAGATCATCGGTTGTCACCATGCCCCAAAAATGGCTGACAAGGCATTGCCTGCCGTCCCCATCGGTAGTGTGTACAAATCCATGAGGGAGCTTTGGGAGCTCTTCAGGAGACTCATGGGCTTCTACGGCTCCTTCTCGCCAGAGAAGCCATTGAACGGCCCTCTTCTGGAAAGGATACAGCTCACACTGAAGTTGCTCAATTGACGGGACATCTGGCGCCACCCCATCACTTTTAGGCACATGAACGTTATCGTAAAAGTCCCGAGGAGACCAGGAATCCGTCTTTTCCGGTAGACTTTCGGGTGCGCAGATGTCTAGTATGTCGTTTCGAGATATACCGATGCTGTCAGACAAGCTCCTTGCATTGCGCACTAAAATCCTGACGCAAAGATCGAGCGTGTAATCACGTGCGTCAAGTTCGAAGCCCGATCTTTTCGCACCACGGTCAAAGCCCAGTGATTTAGAGAGTGTGCAATTGCTCCTCAATGTTTTTTTCGGTTGCCGGCGACTGGGAGGGTTTGTGGCTATCTGCAATACCTCTAACGTCTGCGGATCAATGCTTGAACGGATCACTTCGTCGAAAAGGGCAAGACCGTGCACCGTGGTGATCCGACATGAGTATTCTCCATCAGTCCTCTCAGCGAACCGTTCAAGCCGCACCTGGTGCTCTTTGTCGTTCTCATCTGGAGAGGGCGATGGATATGACTCGCTTGGGCTTTTCCGAAATGCCTGACCCAAACTTAGTCCGTGCAGACTCTCGGATTCAAGCATAATCTCACCAAGTAAATATCCACCCGAGCAAGAGTCAAGTAGTCATTTGAATCATACGAGTGAAGGGGCGTCTGTGACGTATTCGGCCCTGTCAATTTTCGCCTTTTCTTTGATCGTTCGGACTCTGGTTCTGAGGGTTCTGAGGAGGATAAATTTCGTCCATCAAGCAAGGCAACAAGGTTCTCCGGCACTTGCTCTGGGTGTATGTTCAGTAACTCAACAGCTCCTGTAGCTGAACGATGGTTACTGACCATCCGAGCGCAGCTGTATACTGGAGTGCCTCATGGTGAGAAGTATCAAGCTTGATGCATGACCGCGCGCGACTTTTTTGCTATAAACGAAGCAAGTAAGCACCGCGCAAATAGCAGGCGGTCACCTAGGACATTGTCTCGGAAGGAATCGTCGCTGATGACGATGGCCAGGACTTAGCATTTTGCGCTAGCTTAACACCGAAACTCAACCTAATGTAGATACCATGTGCATTATTACTCTCACCGTGGCCTACATATTCTCCTACCCATACCATAGCATAGACCTCATCAATTAAATCCTAGTTACACACCACCACTTAATTCGCTCTGGCATAGTTCTAACATGAATCTCGATACACAGGACACGAACATGTCCACAAAGGCTCCCAATTCCAATATCGAAGTACGGGGCCTGGTATGCTTGTGTAGCGAGTTTACAGTAGCACACAGCCCGTTGTGATCAATTCTCCCTATATGTGGGGAACCAGGACAAGAAAAGAAATACTAAAGACGGCGTCCGGAAACGGCCTAAGCTACAACCATGCTAAAACAGCCACAGCAGCGCCTACAGCGCCCATAATTGAGCCCCAGACCTGAGCTGCGCCGGTGGACGCGTGAGTTGCAGAGCTTGAGGTTGATGCCATCTTGGACGATGAGGACCCTGGATTTTGTCAGCTGTCAAATAGATAGTCTGAGGCAGAGTCAAAACGCGGTATTCTGGATACGACCCCAATCTCCCCTCTGCAGTTCAATAATAAAGTGCTACTGCCGCGAGAAACAGGGCGTCAGATCGGAACGCGGACAGAAAGATTGCAGGATCTTGGCCACACACTGTGAATCACCGGTTTTGAAACCAGTAAAAGACTCCAGGATGCCATTGTTCGGGATGCAGCAGATATTGCAATATATGATGCTTCGTGGGGAGTATGAAGGGAACGGGCCCAAAAGATTGCGATCCAGAGGGAGTAGTAACAAGAGAACACCACTCACCAGTAGCAGATGTACTAGTAGAAGAACCCCCTGTGGCAGAACTCGATGATGTGGTCTCGGCACCAGAGACAGCGCTTGTTGTGACCGCAGACGCAGTGGTACTCCCGCCTGCACTGGCGGCACTGTTGCCCCCGCCTACGGCAGAGCTGACTGCTGCGGTGGCACTAGCAGACGCGGGACAACTTGCTGCAGATGGCAGCTTTACGTTGACACTATATAAGATGATAGTCAGCGGATCGAGTTTTTGTGAATTCTAGGAGAGGCGAAAGATATTTGCGATTTGAGCTGCTAAGACTTACGTATCACAAAATTGAACGGCGACATTGAGCGTTTCTGTGCAGTTGGATGAGTATGATGCCTAGTGATTGCGACTTTTGGATGAGAAATGCCCACTTTGTTGATCGGATGGAGAGCACTTCTAGGTATTCGCATTTAAATTAGAGTCATATGTTCCTAAGCTATAATTGAATAGTAGCTACCGTTGCAATACAGCATGAGATCCCACTTATCCATGAATCATCGGCACATATGCATGAGGGGTTTAGTTTGCACGAACTGGGCAAACTTGAAGCACAAGGTTTGGCACAATCAGGTAGGTCTTGAAGTTGGGCTGCGCAGAGGGTAGCGAACCCGACCAAGGTGGTTTGGATCAGGAGCTTCATTTCTTTCAATCGGGTTGTTACATGTAGAAAGAAAGATAATTCTTGATAACCAGAAGCAGAAGCAGATTTACCAGTCCTGTGTTTTGAAGTTCCTGGACCTGGAAACTGTATCCCTTGGTCGATTTTCAAGGCCCCTAAACCTCCCTAGGCCTTTAGTCAGTATTTAAGCTTTCTTACACCACCAAATCAGCTAGCAGTAAGAATCAGTTCGCGATACCTTTAATAATTCAAATTAATGATAAACCTAAGATATCCTATAGAATGGTCAACTAAAAGATTAAATTCGTTAATGCAAAGTATTATTCGCTAAAATAGACACTCTTTGATCACTGTCCGAGGCCATATCCCATACAATCACAGTGGATGCATTTGACTTTGTTAGTGTCGCGCCGTCGCGGGAGCTATTGGCCGTGAAAACCGGCACCGATTAAGGGGTCTGGGGGTGAGACCAAAAGGGCGAGCAGTACGGAGGTTGCCACCGAAAGTCCTGAACATGCGCTAAAACCCTTGGCATTCTTGGCATTTCTAGCATTTTAGCAAATTTCTTGAATAGCTTCATAATCTACATACGATGTTTTATATAATTACGTATGTACTGACTTGCTCGGTCAGCTGGATCATAGGACCGCTTATCCCCTCCTTCACGGCCCTTTCGATACTCGTTATCGCCTCGTAAACGAATAACTTCGGCAATATGTCTAGGTATACGCTGCTATCGCTACTGTGCACACAGTAATATCGCAATTGTATACCCCGTATGCATGCAGTAATATCGCTACTATGTACTTCATATGCATGCACTTCATATATAGTATTGATGTCGCTACTATGCAAAGCATTGATATTTAAGATATTCAAGATATTTGCCAAGAATGCCAAGGGTTTTGAGGCCCTAACCCTAATGTTCAGGACTTTCGGTGGCAACCTCCGTAGTCATCCGCTAATCAATGGCTCATGCTAAGGTATTTCCGAACCCACGAACCCTCCACTCAAAGGCCTAGACCAAGCTGTCCATGATTTGCCTTTAGCCTTTATTTGGAAAGCTTGCTTTCTCAATCTCAACTGAAGACTGAAATCACAAAATGTTCGACAACTATGAAAATAAGGTTGACCAATCAAGTCCTCCCATTCCGCTGATTTAACGCTAAAACTTATCTTATCTCTTTTTTCTAAGCTAAACGCGGGTACGTCCTAAAGAGAAAGCCGAGTAAGAACTTCAAAATCTCGAAATCTATCTTCTTTAATTCCTTTCGTGATAAGTACAATATGATAATAAAGTGAGTCTATAGAATTATAGAATTACTTATACGCTCTCAAATAATGTAGCGTAGACGAAATTTGATAAAGTATTCGTAAAGAAGAGTAATAATTCTACCAGTTAAAATCACTCTAATTATTCGGGGACTCTCTGAATATGAGGGCTTCGAGCTTACTTCGGCAGCCCGTTCGGCAGCAATTCTCGGAGAGCTCTCAGACCCCCAATAATTAGAGTGATTTAGTGGTGAATCATAGGTATGTACTCCGTAAGGCAGTGTCTTCCCACGTTATCGACAAGCTTTCCGCTACTGGGTAGCCCCGCGCCCCAGCACATATCAAACTTTAAATTTTGAAATAGACTATCGGACATCGAGTCATCTTGGGCCGTGCCTTGTTGACTAAGTACGGTCCGCACCTATGTGACTTAAGGAGTATGCATTCAGAGATCAGAAGAGTAAGGTCGAGGGGTACTGTAGTAGTAATGTAGGTAGTACTCTACCAGTGTGATGTCACTGCCCGAGCCGTTTGATAAAAGAGACTGGCGAGACTGGGAATTGGGGTGGTGGGGTTCGCTCTTCGGAGGAACCTCGGATACGCTACTCTACTGCTAAATCGACTCTATTCCCTTTCCTTTCATCACTGTCATTAAAGAGACGACTCCAGACGAGTGTCTGCATTCAACCTGGTCTGCCCGATTGACCAAAGCCTTCCAACAAACAAAAATTCCTGGGTACAGTTGTACGTGCAAATGATACATCCGACGTAAAACTGCTAAGATTCAAGAGCTGTCATCGTCCAGAAGATCTCGCCTGGGGCGCTCTACACTCATAAGATACTTGGGCACAGGGGAGCGGTGCCGGGCGAACAAGCTCAAAACGCATAGCATGCTGATTATGACACACACCTCCGAGCTTCCATAGTCAGCACCTTCAACAAGACCGGACAGTCATCAGGACTGAAGATTCGTCAAGATGGGCCTTGGAATCCTGGAATCTTCAAGAGTTCAGACAGTCCCCGGTTCGTTGTTCTGAGGTTTGGCTCTCAATGACGCTGATTACTTGTGATGCTAGGGACCGCCTTCATGTATGATGATGCCAGTCGACCGACGCAGGACGGGCAACTCGAGTCGCGGCGACTGAAGTATGATACTACAAGTGGTCCTATTCCCGTCATACTCGTGCCACAACCTAGTGACGATCCAAACGACCCTCTAGTATGAAAGAGCTTTCTAGTCGCGACATCGCTAAGCTGATGGAATTAGAATTGGCCGTTATGGAAACGTGATGCTATCCTCGCCATCCTATCAATCCTCTCGGTCATTGCCTCCACATTGAGTCCTTTGCTCGCTGCAAACACTGTCACACTATCGTTGCTCTTCGACAAAGACTTTACGCAGATGGCACTTGCCACGGGTTATCATCTGCTAGGAGTGGGCGTGGCTGGCTTCCTTTTCGTAGCCTCCGCGCGAGTTTGGGGCAAGCGTCACTTATTCTTGCTGGGTACTGTTCTTATTGTTGGCTCCAGCGTGTGGGGAGGTGCCGCCGGGACAAATTACAAAAGCTTGCTGTGGGCAAGAATCATTCAAGGGGTAGGGTTGGCGCCGTTCGAGGCGCTGGTCAACGCAAGTGTGGGAGATCTCTACTTCATTCACGTATGCCCTACCTTGGTCTGTGAGTGCACGAAATGGACGGCCAATTGACCTGTGATATAGGAAAGAGGTAAACGCATGGCCTGCTCAAATCTTGCTCTGTTTGGTGGAGCCTTTTTCACACCCATTTTGGTGGGAAAGATCACTCATACCATAGGCTGGCCGTGGTCATTTTACTTTATCGCCATCTTCTGCGGTGCTATGTTGCCATTTGTATTCCTTTTCGTCCCGGAAACCGCCTTCCGAAGGGACGACTCCTTAAATATTGACATCAGAGGCGAGGAGTCTTTCCAGCATAGCTCTTCTTCCAATATCACCCCTGTGTGCGAAATACGCCCCACCGAGGACGGACAAAGTCCAGACTCAAGCATTCCGGTCTCCTTCAAAAAGGATCACTTCTCAATCTCAGAACATCGCTCTACTACACAGGTCCCCCCTAAAGTCAGCTTTGCCCGCTCTCTCCTCCCCTTCAATGGCCGGAAGACAGACGAAAGCTTCTTGAGACTAGTTCTCCGTCCGATCCCCCTCTTCCTTCATCCAGCCATTTTTTGGGCATGTCTAATACAGTACGTATTTTCGGAGCCCGTATTTCCCCATTTGGAGCAAATAATGACTCTTGAGACATGTCTCGGGAGCCTTTACTCTCGATACATGTTTCAAGGCTCAATGTACCTCCTCGGATAGGCAATACTGACTGCGAAACTGGAATCTAGAGGCGCCCTCATTGGTTGGACTGTTATGATTGGTGTGGTTCTAGCTGTAAGTCTACCTTTGGGATTTGATGCTTCCTGTTCTCTACCAAGATTTCGTCTCCAGAGACATTTTTCGACAGGATCTTGCTCTCGGAACATGTTCCCTGACTCGAAAATCATCTTGAATAAGTAATGCTAACTCCGAAAACTTGAAGGCGATATTTCTCGGACCCCCCCTTTGGTTCGACGAAGTACACACCGGCTATATGTACACAGGACCATTTATTGGAGCAATATTGGGCTTCCTTTTAGCAGGTTTGTTAGCTGATTGGAGCACAAAGATAATGATTCGGAGGAACAACGGAGTTTATGAACCGGAGTTCCGTATCATACTTGTCGCGGCACAATTGGTATGTGGATGTGCGGGACTGTATGGATTTGGGATCACAGCAAATAACGTTGCGAAATATGGTTGGTTTTGGCCAGATTTTTTTTACGCGCTGGAGGTAATGGGCATGGGTGAGTTCGGCCGCGTATTTCGAATCAATTCTATCTCCAATCCACCGTGGTCTGACAATGATCACAGTCCTCGGCGCTGTTTCTAGTGCATTGTACATCGTCGATGCACATCGTAAGCTCTTCTTGTCCTATAGAAAAGCTGTCATTCGAAACATGCTAATAGCTACTCAGGGGATATCGCTGTCGAAGCCTTTACATGCCTTCTAATGTGCGTCTTCCGTGTCCTGATGCAATAGGTTGACTGATTTCTTCGACCAGATTCAAAAACCTGTTCAGCTTCGGGTTAACGTGGGGAGCGTACCATTGGCTTGTTCAAGGCGGCATACTAAAAGTTTTCTACGTCATTGCAAGCATTCAGGTTGGCATTTGCCTGCTGAGTATTCCCATGTGTAAGATACTGCAAAAACCTTTGCGCATCTTTCTAGTCTTCACTTGTGCTGACTGCATCTACAGATGTCTTGGGTAAGAAGAATAGAGCTTTCTTCAGCCGGCACGACTTGTTGAAGATGACGCATCTCTGGTGAAGAAGGATATCATCTTGCATATTGATTTGATTTTGAGCGGACATCGTAACGGATACCCAGGCATTCTATGAGCGAGCCGTTCTAATAGTAGTAGAACCGCAACGTGGACCATAAAGCGAAAACATTTTGGTAAAAGCATCAGGACCAGGCTCGGGTGGCGTACACATCGTCTGTGCAATTGAAAGAATTTGGGGCACCCTCGCAGAAATGGTGACAGTTGTGATCAGACGAACCCTCAATTAATGTTCCTGTTAGCGAGGGAAAATTCTCTTGTTTGCTTCACAGAACACCTATATTCGGGGTTTCTTGAGATTAATATTTATCTTAGTCTGGTTGATATCCGTAAATGTGTGCTTGAGTTGATAGGAGGAAGCCTTGCGATTCATCTTTCTCTCGTTCAACAACCTGTCTGACTGTAGAGCTTGAAGTTTTCAGCTTCTGACTCTTCGGAAGTCTCGCACGCAATCTCCGCCTCTATGCATCAGTGTTGCTCGATCCTATTACATATAGCTGCCAGTATCGTATGGACCGCTACACTTAGTACAAGCTAAAGACTAAAGTTGATAGGATCCAGTCCCAAATAGCGAACATTTGATTTAATAGGCAGTGACAATGGAAGTATTACGAAATGTGCCTTGGGGTAGAGACTGGTTTTGTATTTGCGAGCTCCTATCTAGAATAGCAGGGTCTCCGCGAGGAGAAGAAGTACTCTTTGAAGGCTGGGATGATGGATCAAAAGAAAAAAAGACCTCTGCAGTTCAGCCGATTGAGCTGACTAGACGACCCTCCTGCTCTCTACCTTTCGCGCACAGCATGACAAACAACGTGCAAGATGGAAGACAACTGCAAAGACCTGGTGGTTACATCTCAGCTTTCCGTACACCACTCCGCTCGTTTCAGTGACGATGATAACCAAGGCCAAGTCAGAGCAGATGGGGCCATGGAGGTCCCTATGTTTCAGAAGGACGCGCAGCCTCGGCGGGAGCCTCGCTAGCTGCAGAGGTCTCAGCCTTGGGCTCGGCTGCCTTTTCACCCTCCTTCGATGCCTCACCACTTGGGGCAGCCTCAGCGTCACCGCCATCTGACGAAGTCCAGAGGGTAAGGTTGTCGCGGAGCAGCTGCATGATGAGAGTGCTGTCGCGGTAGGATTCCTCAGAGAGGGAGTCGAGCTCCGCGATTGCGTCGTCGAATGCCTGCTTGGCAAGGTGGCAAGCGCGATCGGGTGAATTCAGGATCTCGTAATAGAAGACCGAGAAGTTCAAAGCAAGACCAAGGCGAATAGGATGCGTGGGAGTGAGCTCGGTCTGGGCAACGTCTGTAGCGTTCTATCTTGAGGTGAGCAGGCTGCTGGCGCATTTATATGAAGGTGTCATACCTTGTACGCCTCATGGGCAGCAGTAGCAGCAACCTTACGCTTTTCACCTGACGCAAACTCGGCAAGGTAACGATGGTAGTCTCCCTTCCTAAATCTCATACTTAGCATGTGTTGCAATGCCGAGTTTTTTGCTCATCTCCTTCTTCGCCTCACATACATCTTGTGGTAGAACACCTTTGATTCGCCTGACTCGGCCTTGGGGATGAGGGATTCATCCAACACATCAAGCACATCTTGACATACACGCTCGAGTTCTGTCTCGATCTTCTGGCGGTAATCGCGGATGGTACCAACGTGCTTGTCTGAGCCCTTCGACTCCTCTTTCTGCTCGATTGACGAGATTATGCGCCAGGAAGCACGTCGGGTTCCAACGACATTCTTGTATGCAACTGAAAGGAGGTTCCGCTCATCCACCGTGAGTTCACCGCCAATCTAATCTTCGCATCAGATATTGATCCCTCTCATACTGTTTGTCCTGCTTGTTTGGTGGCTAGAGATGTAGTACCTTTGCAACTTCCTGCGTAGTGTGAGCATGGAGAACGTTAAATGGATTCATTTAACTGACCTTCATGTACGTAACCATTTCTGAAACGCGTCAATGTCAGTATTAGATCTATCGTGATGACGAGCCTGAAATTAATGCGTACCATCGTAGCGCTCGGCTTGCTCACACAGCCTCGCAAGAAATGTCTTGCTGTAAGACACTTTAGTCAACCGCCAAGTCTGTTAGGAGGAGAATAGGTGAGTACCTTTCACGCTGTAAAAGTTATTCTCGGGTCAGCTATTGTTCAAGACGGGCTTTATGGCGGAGGGGGTTGGTGTGAGGGACCGCCCGGACAGATAGGCGCGTTGATAACTTACCTCACTCGTCATGGTGTATCAAGTCGGTCTATGTGAGAAGTGGAAAGTGACTTCTGATCTTAGCAAGATTTGATGCAGATATGTGCGACGTATCAATCGATGGAATACACTCGAGGACAGACTTGGTAGAAGAGTGGTGGTGAGGTTTTGACAGCAAATTACGGCAGCCGCGCAATAAGCGACGACGACGCTAATCAGCCCTACCCTGGGCCCAAACAAACATTGGGATCGTTGTAGCAATGCCCTGCAATTGCCTTTAGCTGCAGATGCTTTGCGTTCAAGTCAAGTGCAGCATACGCTTACTGCCATCTTCCACAATATGGATGACAAGACACTTAATCTACGGTTACGAAACCCCAAACGAACGCGATGTACTTTGACTACTGGCTTTGTTAGAGAATGATCTCGAATCTACGTTTGGTGTCTTTGCACGGCTCTAGACCCTAAGAAGACGTTTATGGATATCGGGACCTTGCTGTTAATCGATGTTCCGCTTGGGGGAAGGATGGCTAACCATCTGCCCTTGTGCCCGACAATTCAGCACCTAGGTTTCGGTCCTCTCGAAACCAATGCTCTTCTTTCTCTGTCCGCTCCATTTCCACGAGCGTAGCATGTAACGGCATAAAGCATTGGTAATCTTTGGATATGAGTAGTATTACAATCTCCATGTTGTTCTATAGCAATAGAAATGCGCAATTACTCGTTATAGGTGACTCGTGCGAGTCACTGCTCTCTCGTAGGCAATGAACGCCGCTGAGTAAATGGAGTTTGAGGCTCTGCTGGAACCCTGCGGGAACGAATGAGACTAGGACAAATGTTCTGCCGTAAGAGAGAAAAATCAACCAATCAAAGCAAAGGACACGTTCATGCGAGGATAATCACCAATAGGTTTTCTTTCCCCTAGAATGCTATATCCTCCACGTCGTTCTTTCAGACGGTATACTTCTTGCCACTACCGCTTTGTAAGACGCCCTTTCCAAGAAGCATTGGACTTCTGCCGGTCAGTGTCCCAACGCAATCCTTTCTTTTTGAGGACACTATGGACGCTTCATACCTCTCCTCAACCGAGCAGAGTCTGGAGCACTTTCAAGTCGATGAACAGCAAGGTCTCTCCGAGCAACAGGTTCGGAGATCTTTAGAAAAGTATGGGCGCAACGGTACTGTGCATCATCACATCTCTATCCGCAAGACTGTGCTAATGTTACCTCCATAGCATTGCCAGAAGACCCTCCAACGCCTTTGTGGCAGCTTATACTCGAGCAATTCAAAGACCAGCTCGTCATAATACTGTTGGGATCAGCTGCAATATCGTTTGTCCTCGCTTTGTTCGAAGACGGGGAAGGATGGACTGCCTTCGTGGATCCAGCAGTTGTCGGTGCTCTCAGCCCTGATTAAGTAGGAAGTACGCTGACTCATGAACAGATCCTGACCATCCTAATTTTAAATGCGGTCGTTGGAGTTTCGCAGGAAAGTAGCGCAGAAAAGGCTATTGCGGCGCTACAGGAGTACTCTGCAAATGAAGCCAAGGTGGTCCGAAACGGCGCGCTGAAGCGCATAAAAGCGGATGACCTCGTCCCTGGAGATGTCATTTCGGTGGCAGTGGGGGATCGGATTCCTGCGGATTGCAGAGTACTATCGATCCAGAGCAACAGCTTCCGTGTTGATCAGGCAATCCTGACTGGGGAAAGTGAAAGCGTTGGCAAAGACACCATGGCGCTTCAAGATTCGAGAGCTGTTAAACAGGATCAAGTCAACATGCTCTTCTCGGGTACCACCGTGTCCACAGGCCACGCCACTGCTTTAGTTGTTCTGACGGGAGCATCGACGGCTATCGGAGATATTCATGAAAGCATTACGTCGCAAATCTCTGAGCCCACGCCGTTGAAGCAGAAACTGAACGATTTTGGAGACATGCTCGCAAAGGTTATCACAGTCATCTGCATTCTTGTCTGGCTGATCAATATCCAACACTTCAACGATCCTTCACATGGCAGCTGGGCTAAAGGAGCTATCTACTATCTCAAGGTATAGTCAACTGGGTCCGACTCGAAATTGAGGTACTAAATGAGCGGACAGATTGCCGTATCCCTTGGCGTTGCAGCAATTCCGGAGGGTCTAGCTGTTGTCATCACGACTTGTCTTGCTCTAGGGACTCGAAAAATGGCGGCTAAGAATGCAGTAGTCCGAAGTCTGCCCTCTGTTGAGACACTTGGAAGCTGTAGCGTGATTTGCTCCGACAAGACTGGTACTCTGACGACAAACCAGATGAGTGTCAACAAGATGGTGTTCTTGAATGAATCTGGCACCGATCTCGAGGAAATCGATGTACAAGGTACGACATTTTCTCCAGAAGGCGGCATTCTATCGGGTGGCAAGTATATGAACGATCTAGCAGCGTCGTCTTCGATGGTCTTGAAGATGACAGAAGTCGCCGCATTATGTAACGAGTCGCAATTATCTTTCGATCCAAGGAACATGACATATAGCAACGTTGGCGAGCCCACTGAAGGCGCACTACGTGTTCTTGTGGAAAAGATAGGCACACCGGAGCCAGCCATAAACCAAGCGGCTAGAGAGTTGCCCGTACATGAGAGAATGCACCATGCCAGCAAGTATTTTGAGGAGAAGAATCCGCTTCTTGCCACATATGAATTCTCACGAGACCGCAAGAGTATGTCTGTTCTTGTTGGCAACGGCCCGCAACAACGTCTTCTTGTGAAGGGAGCGCCAGAGTCAGTCCTGGAGCGATGCACACATGCTTTACTGGGTTCCAACGGAAAGCGGGTCTCGCTGAATGAAAAGCTCACAAGTCTTATATCCGAGGAGGTTGTCGAATATGGGAACCGTGGGCTTCGAGTCATTGCGCTTGCCAGTGTCGAAGATGTGGGATCCAATCCTCTACTAAGCTCAGCAAAGACTACGGAAGAGTACACTCGCTTGGAGACAAACATGACCTTGATCGGCTTAGTAGGCATGCTTGATCCGCCACGACCTGAGGTTGCAGAGTCCATCATGAAATGCAGAGAGGCAGGCATTCGTGTGGTGGTCATTACCGGAGATAATCAGAATACAGCCGAGACAATCTGTCGTCAGATTGGCGTTTTTGGCGATCACGAAGACCTGAAAGGGAAGAGTTATACGGGCAGAGAATTTGATGCCTTGAGTGAGGGCGAAAAGCTCCAGGCTGCCAAGACAGCACTACTCTTCTCTCGAACGGAGCCCACCCACAAGTCTCAACTTGTGGATCTATTACAGTCAAGCGGTGAAGTCGTCGCAATGACAGGCGATGGAGTGAATGACGCTCCTGCGCTTAAGAAATCCGACATTGGTGTTGCCATGGGATCTGGAACGGACGTCGCTAAGCTAGCTGCGGACATGGTACTCGCGGATAACAATTTCGCAACGATAGAAAGCGCTGTCGAAGAAGGCAGATCGATCTACAACAACACCCAGCAGTTCATCCGCTACCTAATCTCGTCCAACATTGGAGAAGTTGTCTCGATATTTCTAACAGCAGCAGCCGGAATGCCGGAGGCATTGATACCTGTACAGCTGCTGTGGGTGAACCTCGTTACTGACGGTCTACCAGCGACGGCGTTATCATTCAACCCTCCAGATCACGACGTCATGAGAAGACCACCCCGGGGCCGCGATGAAGCTCTTGTCAGCGGATGGCTGTTCTTTAGATATATGGTTATTGGCATTTACGTTGGTGGAGCGACAGTCTTCGGATATGCCTGGTGGTTCATGTTCAATTCGGAAGGTCCTCAAATCACGTTCTGGCAACTGGTGAGCATATGACGAGAAAATTCAAGGCTGCATTTGATGCTAACAAGGTCCATGTAGTCTCACTTCCACCGGTGTTCATCACAGTTCCCAGAGATTGGTTGTGAGATGTTCTCGAACGACAGCGCAAAAGCTGCGTCCACAATCTCGCTTTCGATGTAAGTACATTCCAAGTATTCGAAGCATCACGCATTAACGATTCTCAGCTTGGTCGTCATTGAGATGCTCAATGCTATGAACGCCCTCTCATCTAGCGAATCTCTTCTGACACTCCCACTGTGGGACAATATGATCCTAGTCTATGCCATTACATTGTCAATGGTCCTTCACTTCGCTCTACTCTACACCCCTTTCCTACAGACGCTCTTCTCCATTGTCCCACTGAATTGGAACGAGTGGCAGGCGGTGCTACTAATAAGCATACCCGTTATGTAGGTTGATATCAAAGTCTACGTGGCCTCGAATAGGTGCTAATGAGCCTCTACTAGATTCATCGACGAGATCCTAAAATTCTTTGAGCGGAAGATCTACCTACCCAAGCCTTTGGAGATCAGAGCCAAAAAAGAATAGGCGGTGTTATTGGGTTTGCGGACCATACACTCACGAGCAATCTCGGAGGCTTATCGAAACTAGGAGCATAGAGACGAATGAAATAGAATATAGATACAAGCACCCTTTTCACCTACTCTACTTTGATTATCTCAGACTTTGTGCGATGCTCCAAGCCTAGGGCACCAGGCCGTGGTAAATCTGCCAAGAAGCACTAGTCCCGAGCAGGCAGGTGCTGTCTTCACACGTAGAATAATAATAATAATACTCTGTGGAGAACTCACTTGAAATTTCTTAAGAAGTACCTTTTGTATAACATTTGAACGATAATCACCGAAGTGTGCTCGTTTATCATATTAGCATCAGATAGACCAGTGTGTGGAAAATGTTTTGGATGTGATCTCAATTATGTGTCTGCCGCATCGTTCCTCTACCTGCTAATGCTAAACCTGAACTCCTCGCCTAGGCCTTATCCACCCTAGCACCATCGCTATGCATTTTCCAATCCATCTCCAACCTACTCAATGTTGATCCTCCTCGAATCCTTAGCTAGAACCTTGGGAACGACGACGGATAGTATGCCGTTAGAGAGCGACGCCTTGACATTCTCAAGCTCAACTCTCCCCGGGAAGCTAAATCGTCTCTCGAACTCCCCAACAGAGCGTTCGCTGACCCAGTACTTGAAGCTCGGCTCTGCAGCTTTCTTGGTCTCGGCCGTCGGTGCTACCTCAGCGGCGGTGCTGGCAGGTGTCTTGGCCCCCTCAGCAGCCTCACTCTCAGCCCCCGCATCGACATATTCGTCTTCAACGCTGGCCTTCTGGTAGCTGGCCGACTTCTCTGAAACGTTGTCGTTGGCTGCTTCGTTATCGACAGCCCTTGCTGGTTCGGCTGCTTCTGCTGCTTCGTTGGTCTTGGTGGCCTCGATGCCTGTCCGACCACGGATCACAAGAGTCCGATCGTCTAAGAATTCGATATCGAGATCCTTCCGTTCGAGGCCTGGCATTTCGCCTTGGAGCTCGTAGCTGGCGCCAATTTCTCGGACATCGAACCTTGGCGTGAAGGTTCGACGAGCCTGCTGACGAGACGAGGGCACGAGGTCGGCTGTCGCACTGTCGAGCAGACGGAAAAGGGGCGCGAAATCGCTGCCCAGGGTGTTGAAATGAGGGAAGAATGGTGTGGTGAACATTGTGCGAGTTGGTGTGGACGCCTTGCAGACGCGAGGGATGGAGCGGGTGGAGACGATGCGGTATGGTTGCATTGTTTGGTTTGGCTTTGTGCGAGTATGTTCTGTTGTGGTAGATTTAGAATGTTGAGGAAGATTTCTTGTGTTTTGGGAGAGATGGCTCAGAATGTAAAGTAGTCTTCGTTCGACTTTTGGTTTTTGTCTTTTGAGAATGATGAGGAGTCGAGTCGGTGCTGCTGGGAATATTTATACCCCAGCAGACCAATTCTAGAAAATGCTCGATTCTACCAGTATGCTTACCCATCTCAAGCACATCATTTCGATTCCGAAGTTCGTAGATATTTCCATGCTTACCCATCATGGTGGCAACGACTCGAATTATCGAGAAGCTTCGGTTCCAGACGCACTATACCCGATTAGGTTGTCGTTGACTCCGCTGCGGGTTACAAAAGTGGCAATGGGCACGAAAGACAGAATCTGTTGTGCACAGCACAATCTGCTCGAAGGGCATCTGCTCAACGATTGACAATCTCTTTGGCTTGATTGTCATCACTGTGTGAATTCGAAAATACCACGCTTCAATCATCACCTCTTTTTTTTTGAGATAATTTGCCTTAAGTGTGACTTATGGTATTGACAACGTCAACGGCTGAATGGAATGATGAGACCAAGAATCTCAGCACATCACCGTCGATGGAAAGCACGAGATGTACATGTATAAATTTGGATAGATACTTCCTCCAATGGCTCATGCGACCATGCAATCTAAGTACAACAGAAATGAAATGCTATGGCTACACTCGGAATCCAATTACCTATTACCAGGTAACAACACGCGCATGCATATGCATTGTCCTTTGCTCTCTAGGTATGGCCCAAGAGCAACTCCCGCTAAACTCTTTACCTACATTACGACTTTTCCTTTGCATGCTATACCCTTTGCCTGCACGGCCTAAGGCTGCAAGCACTCTCAGCCTAGATTTATGCAGCAGGATAATCATAGAGATACGCGCTATCATCCCTTTGTTTGTTCATTCTCCACATGCTCCTTTTTGTTTCACGCTTCTTCTTCATCTCTTCCCACCCTTCTTCATCGTCATCGTCACTAGCGGTCGACTTCCTGGGCGGTGTTTGAGAGACAGTTCTCAAGGATGGTTTGCTTTGCCTATCGCCAGGTGTAGACAGTCTGCTGTTCCCGCCAGACACTCCTGGCTGGAGCATTCCACTTGTGAATGTAGATGTTTTTGCGGCTGATTTCTGCGTATGCTCATCAGCAGGCGCTATAGAAACTGGACGATAGCGCGACGGCATGCCGACATTACTGCGCTCGGATGGCGCGATTGACGCCGTGTAGCCTGAATTTGTGCCCCCAAGTGCACCACTCATCATGCTTGGGACCACAGAATTCCTGTTGTTATCCTGGGGTTGCCACCCTGCAGCGGATGTAGGACCCATCATACTCATTGCGCGAATTTGCTTCTCCTGTGTACCTGCTGGAATTCCTGGTGCAGAACGTGGGCCTGTAGACACTGGTCTTTGGATACTGCCCGGTGGAGCTACCATTCCGGCATTCATCATCATCATCTGCTGCTGTTGAGGAGGAAAAGCAAACGGCATTTGAGGTCCACTCTGCACTCCGCTGGCCATCATTTGCTGCATCTGTTGCATCCACTGCATCTGCATTCGCATCATCTGGTTCATCTGCTCGGACATCTGAACAGTAGCTTGTTCCCCAGGTGACATCATGGGCGGCATCCCCGGCAACATTCCCATTTGCATTTGAGACATGCCTGGTGGTAGGGGAGAGCTGTAGCTCCCTTGAGCGTTGGGGCTTCCCCTTCGCGCAGCTCTCGCACGTTCTTCGCCAGCGATGACCCCGACAAGACCACCCGGTGCCATGCTTGGTGGGGGCCCACCGTGAACTGATGCCGGAGACCCATGACCAAGCGCTAGAGACTCGCGATTCGATGGGTTGACAAGGCCTGCGCCGTAGTATGGATCTGGAGGTAGATTCCGTGCAAATGGTGGCAGACTACGAGCTGCTCCAGCTGCTGATGTGCCAGCTGTAGACAATGGAGGTGGTGGATATGATTCGCTCTTGTACTGGATGCTTGCGCTGGAATTGGTGAGAGCGGTAGGAGGTTTGTTCTTCGAAGGAAATCCGTGCGCTGCCAGTACCCCTAAAGGAACGTCTTCGTCTTCGTCGTCACTAGCCTTGGCGGGGGCTGGGGGCTTGTCAAAGCTGAAGGTTGGGGTACTCGAACGATCCGTGAGATTCGGTGCGCTCATGCGTGATCTGTCCATGCCTGGACGCTGCTGTACATCCGGCAAATCAGAAGGTTGCTCTCCAGTCACCTTCATCATCTGCTGTCGATACACAGAAAGATGGGCCTCTTGTTTCCTTCTCTGTCGAGCAAGCTGCTTGTTTCGCTCTACCTCGTCGTCATCTTCGTAGTCGTCCCCCTCTTCGTCTGATGCATCGTGGTTAAAATACTGCTCTCGTCTCATCTCCTGCTCTTTTCGATACCGCTCAAATTGGGCAGGAGTCATAACCTTGTTCTGAGTTTCAGTTTTTGGGGAAGACTCGACTTGGGAATCTGCAGGAGGGGCTGACTTTCCTATCGATTGAGGCGATGCATCGAACAATGAACGTTCCTCCTGGTATATCAATTCACGCTTTCGTGCTCGAGGTGTGGTCTCTGATGATTCTTGCCGCCATGGGGTGGCAGAGAAGTCCTGATCGCTGCTGTCGAATAACGGTGTTGGAGATAGCTGTTTGATGTTCCGCCTGGATGATTGTTGAGGATCAGAGGCTACATTCGGCGACGGGTAGGAAGTCTCTGGGATTAAGGACGCAGCCGGGTTATCTACCTCGTCATCACTGTCTTTATATGCACCAAAGTCGGAAGGTTGACGACTGAGCTTCTGCCTTGTGGTAAGAGAGTCCATCGCCAGTCTGGCATTCTCGTCCTGCAAAATGCCAGAGTCAGCAGACTCTCTTCCGGAGGTTTTGCGCGATGCATAAATATTATTTCTTTGCAATCCTATTCCTACGACAGAAGGAGGCCGTTGCTGTGTCTTCCTCTGTGGGGAGCTGGTCGACTCGGGCAGTGGCACGGTCTGAAACTTGGGCGAAAATTGGTCAGGTCTGGACCCAGAAGAGTTGCTGCTGTAGAAAGAAAGGGCTTCTGCTGCTCGTTGGCTACTACTAGCAGTTGAGTCTCCCTGCGAATGATCGCTGTTCCAGGAACGGGGGGACTCTTCTGCTTCGCGGTATCGATCGCCCTGTATCGGGGAAGCGGTGTACGGCGAACGCTCAGAATAGTATTGTTTTGTCGAACTCCTAGATCCTGCGGGTGATGTGTTTTTCTAGAGAACTATTAGGGGGGCGGCCAATGTACGTCAGTCGTTCAAGACATACCGGGCTCTGTGTATTTGTTACGGCCAGCACTGCTGGCTCCTCCACCAGCTTGATCTCGTTCTTCCCGAAGCTGTCAAACATGTTGCCAAATTCACTAAGATCAGATTGTTCCAGATCAAGTCGAGTATCGAGCTTTGGCGGTGTTGCAGTACTTCCACTAGTGTAGCTACTCTCCGTCATTGCTCTTGGCCGGTTGAATGATTCGTAGCCATCAGAATTCGCTTGTTCCGTGACTGGTCCAGGTCCAGGTACAGGCAGCGATCGTGACTCCGCTCTCCTTCGACCGAAAGAAAATGCTCTTCCAGCTGCTCTCAAAGAAAGTGGATTTGACTCGGGGATTGGAGGCGTCGGTACATTATAAGGGTCTTTAGCATTCGGGGAAGGCCTATCGTTCAAAGGTACGTCGGCTGAAGATGGTAGTGTTGACGTGGAACTGAACCGGGCCTCAGACGAGGAATTGTCATTTTGGCCACCGCTGGAGGCTGAATTATGGGTTCCACCGCTGCCCCTGGCAATTTTTAGTATGCTGCAACTTTCGTATGGGAACACCGCCGCAACGTACCGATTGGGGGGGTTGTTTCTTGTTCTTCCATCGACGAAGAGGTGGTCTTCCCCAAATTGCCCTGCGCTCAACGGCCGCGCCAGACTTATACGCTTGTAGTTGTTATAATTGTTCCCCCCATCGAAGGATTTCCTCCCTTGGGGACGCTCGAAGACGCGGAACGAAGGTTCAGGGGGGTTTGGCAGCTCCTCCAGAGCATTCCCGGAGGACTTGCGTCGTTGAAACCCTTTCGGTAACTTGATCGGCATATAGAAGGTTTCGAGGAGATCTTTGATGCTGCCCTAATCGAGAGATGTGGTGCTCGTAGTTTGTTTGACAGGTTCCTGGCGAAAATTATCTCATCCTCAGATGCAATGGATGGTTGCAGCAATGCGGGCCTCCGGATCGAAACGCCTACACGCGTGAGGTCCAATGGCCGTTGCCCTCTATGTATGCTTAGTCGTGATGGCAGCAAGGGTGAAAATTGTGGCAGCTCACGGAAGGATTTCAATGTTTGGGTTCTTGGACCAGGGCTGAAACGTTTCAGGCAGCACGTTGTGATGAGTGGTAGAGGAAATTGGGATGGAAATATGCGTTGGGGTGCCCAGAAATGTAGTCGTTAGATCTAGGTAAGAGCTGCGGTATCGAGTGTTGTACTATGTAGTGGAACTCGCAGTGTGTTGTTTGAATCGGATATTTATCGTATTATAAATAGACCAACGAGACGGGAAGTTTAAAAGATGGACGAGACCCTGAAGCAAAGAAGCCGCCTGTAGGGTCAACTTTCAAAACGAGTGTAGAGTATGAACAGTAAGTCAATTCAATGCGACGACGGTGGTAGATAATATGTGTGTGATGAAGCTGACGACAAGAGGATGAGATGACTTTTTAGTAGCGTGGGTACTTAAGGAGCAATGTAACCTTTAACCCCCCCCTGGATGAAAAGGATGTACAGGGATGGGATGCCCCATTATGCCCATTGGTGCCACCAGCCCACACCTCCCATCTAGATACGGTCAGCCCCCAAGTAGCCCCCACGCCCCCCCCGGCCTCCAACTCTAGCAGTCAATATTAATATGTAGCCACCGCAAAGACAACGTGCTTTACATCTCCATCTTCGCTGTGCAATTCAGGCTATGCTTTTACTCCGCATTACGAGTCGATAACGATATGCTCATAACTCAATGGCTGGTCCATTGCGCCCTGGCCTTTGCTACCACGACCTTCTCCCAGCACATTCAATCCCAATTAAATCTCGGACTCGAGCAGCCGGTCGGGCTCAATGACTTTGAGCTAAGCAAGAATGCGTTGTTCTCGCTACATAAAACTCTGGTCAACATTGAGTCCATCTCAGGCAATGAGCAAGCCGTTGGAGAATTTCTAGAATCTTACCTCAGATCTCACAATTACACAGTCGAGAGACAAAATGTCGACCCTCTACCCACAGGCTTACAGCACTCCCAAGCAGGAGAGCTTAGAAGGCACAAGCAGAGATTCAATCTCCTAGCCTACCCTGGAGAAAACCGGCAGACTCCAGTTCTACTGTCGAGCGTAAGCACCCTTTCGGAGCCATGTTCGCCCGTCCTGTACCCTCTCTTGACTTGAGCCTCAGTACATGTTGCGGAAGCAAAACGCCGATGGTTTTGTTATAAAGCTCCCCCGAGTTATCCGGTGACCCAAAACTTGTCTTGGAGTGGCAGTACTGACTCCTGGTGAAGCATATCGACACGGTTCCTCCACACTACGGCTATGAGATTCACAGGCATGATCAAATATTCGGCAGGGGAAGTGTGGATGCCAAAGGTTCCATCAGTGCACAGATCTATGCGACTCAAGAGTTGCTCGCTTCTGGAGAAATCTCCGCTAATGATGTCTCCCTTCTCTTCGTTGTTGGGGAAGAGACAGGGGGCGATGGAATGAGAAAGGTCAACGACCTTGAGATGGAATGGCAGACCGTCATCTTCGGCGAACCGACAGAGCTCAAACTCGCGACTGGACACAAGGGTATTATGATCTTGACGATCAAAGCCCACGGAAAGGCTGGACACAGCGGATATCCATGGCTTGGCCAGAATGCAAACCACATGCTCATGCCTGCTCTAATTACTTTACAGAAGTTGGCACTTCCAAGCTCCGAGAAGTACGGCAACAGCACATTGAATATCGGCCACATGTCAGGTGGGGTTGCTGCCAACGTAATCGCTGAAGAAGCCTACGCAAGGATTGGTATTAGGATTGCTGCTGGATGCCCGGAAACTGTGAAGAAGTTGGTATCAGACGCTGTAAAGGCGGTGGACGAGGACCTAGAGCTTGATTTCAGTGACGGCAGTTATGGTACGTATTTCAGGGACCCACATTTCCTCTTCTGTACCTAACCTGAGAGTCTTGCGACATGTTTTCGGGGTTTCTACTCTGACGGCCTGTTCCAAGGCTTCATATACCCTCTCAGATAAGCAACACTAACTGCGAATCTTTACTCCAGGGCCAGTATACATTGACAGTGACGTGGAAGGGTTCGAGACCGTTTCAGTTAATTATGGAACAGATATACCGAACCTCAAGGGGAAGCACAAGCGATATCTTTATGGTCCAGGGAGTATCTTGGTTGCTCACTCAGATCACGAGCATCTGAAAGCTAGCCATCTATTGACAGCCGTGGAGGGCTACAAGAGGCTTGTGAGGTCTGCTCTAAAGTCGTGACAGGATTAAGAATAGTAGATATATTCATTGAAAGATTACAAATTGTCCTGGTCCCTTCGATCAAAGCTAATCTTATAATGACCTAGCTGACACACGGCCTCTGGTGGCCTCTTCTTTTCTTGTTCGTTGTATGCAGTGTCTCGCTTGAGAGAGTGTTTCAATGGTGAACATATTCTTCTAATGCGTCCTCTATCTCGAATACCTGACCTATTACACCGAAGTAGACCCCGAAAATCCGACCGTGCCCATGGGGTATCCTTGCATAGATCGCGGTTTGCCTTGTCTCAAATCATGCCCAAAGACTCCTTTAGATCTCGGTCCCTTCCCAAGGCATCCGAACGCTGCCCATATCTCTCAATACAGACTCTTGCCCCAACGCCATTCAGTGTCTATGAAGCCGTATGAAGAATCATGCATTCAGATCAGTGAAGGAGATTCTAACAGAAGAGTTTGTAGGCTTTCTTCCACTTCGGCCACTGCGCCTTCTCCACCTCGTCTTCAGCCTGTAGCTCCCTCAGATCAAGCTGCCTGATTCCCGTGTTCAGATCCATGTCCTTGCTTCTCATGAAAGGAGTCTTATAGAGGACCTTGTAAACGATGTAGAATAGCAGCACGATAGGCACAGCCAGATACGCTGCGAAGAAATTCTCGGTCAAGGCCGCGGCACCAGTCACGCGAGTGCCATCCTGGTTAGGCACTGGAGCAATGCCAGTCCAAAATTGTGCAATAAGCACCAGGACGTTGAAAAGGAAACCAACCCAAGAGCCTAGGACACCGGCTTGGGAACGGAAAGCTAGCTGATCAATGGTACGACCTTGCTTCTTCCAAGCTCTGCGGAATCGGATGTGGCAGAGGCAGATGGAGCCCCAAGTGAAGATCGAGCTGAGACCGCTGAGGGCTTGCATCCACAAAAATGCTTGTTCTTCTTTACTTGATGCCGCAAGGAACGCGAGGAAACCTAAGGCAGAAGCAAATACAATGGCAACAAGCGGACGACCTTTTCGGTCGATGTAAGCGAACATCTTGGGCGCTTGGCCTTGTTCTGCCAGGGCTGCCAGGGTACGCGAGGAGCCGTAGATCGAGGAATTACCCACGGAGAGGACTGCAATCATGATCACAACGTTCATGACAGAGTCCAGGCCAGTGATGCCGGCATTTTCGATGGCGATAACAAACGGAGAGGCTTTGGCGTCCGAATTTGAAGAGCCTATAAGACGGGGGTCGCTGTAGGGAACCAGCAGGCCGACGAGAGTTAGAGAAACGATGTAGAATAGAGCAATGCGCCAGAAGACCTGCTTTACTGCCGTCGGAAGGGATTTACGAGGGTTAGCAGTCTCAGCAGCTGCAAGACCGACAAGTTCCGTTCCGGCAAAAGCAAAGGCGGCAGTGACGAAAACAGAGCAGAGACCCTTGAAGCCGTTGTGAAAGGCTCCAGGGTTGTGCCAGTATTTTCCACCTATGTACCCTCCATTGGGACCCCCACCAATGTCGAGGATGATGCCGAGTACTATAAAGCCGACAACTGCTACGACCTTGATAATGGAGAAGACAAATTCCGCTTCACCGTAGCCTCTGACGCCGAACAAATTGATGCTTATGATAATAGTGAGGAAGATGGCAACCCAAGCGGCAGGAGAGATCTTGGAGTTCCAGTACTTGACTGTAATTGCTGCGGCGACAACTTCGAGCGGCAGTACCACTAGCCATTGCATTGCGTAATTCCAGCCCATTGCGAAACCCCAGGCCGGGTCAAGGAACCGAGTAGAGTAGGCGGAGAAGGAACCAGCGACCGGGAACAGGACAGCCATTTCGCCGAGAGCTTGAACTGTACAGAAGAGCATGATCCCAATGAGACTGTATGCAATCAATACCGATGCTGGACCGCCGTTCGAGAGGGATTTTCCAGAGGCGACGAAAAGACCAGTACCTGTGAGAGGATTAGCACTAAGCTAAGCAGCTGCAGGATGAATGCCATACCGATCGACCCTCCGATAGCTATCATCTGCAAATGTCGTCCCTTCAACTTCCTGGCCAACGGCGAATCTGCAGTGGCTTGTGCAGCCGCTTCGGCATCGAAGACGGCGCCATTGGCACCAACGACACCACTGGGAGTGACCCTAGAATGGGGGTCCCGCCTGAAGCTGTCGACAATACGACGAGGGACACTTGCTCGGGGTTCTACCTTGTCATCGTAGATTGGCTGTGTGTGACCAACGCCGTTGGAATCGAGGGAACTGGACTCGGGCGAGGACATGGCCGGGTCTACTTTGGTCATTTGAAACGCTTCTTTCGCCATATGGCAAACTTCACCGCTGCCGGCAGATGGCTTCCCGAGGTATCCAAGATAGGCAATGGGTGATGTATGATGGTGAGCGTGGCTGGTCTGGAGGTCAGGCAGTCGCTTTATGTTAGGTAGAGTGCCACAGGTGTGGGTAGGGGAGATGCCCTGGAATCGCGGAGAAGGCAAAGACGATGGTATTTCAGGATGCGACAAGAGGATCAGATTATGTCAGGGTCTGCGAGAAGGGTCACGATGGGCGTAAGAGTGGAACATTTTCGGCGTCCTCGTCCCACAGATGTAGAGTATAGATAGAGGCTGCGGAGAGCTTGGGAGCTTGTTGGGCGAGGGTGATGATAGTTGATTTGCGTTGATTATGAGAAAGTTTTGTGGTCCATTTGATTGAAAGTAGAAGAAGTAAGGTAAGGTAGGTAAGGGCGTTGCTGGAAGCAAAATGGATGGCTTGATGGTTACATGGGCTGACGCTAGCTTTTAATCCCCGAACTCCACTCCTGAAAAGAGGTGCAGTAAAGAAACAAATGGGGGATTCACCAGTTCGGTTCCGAGGCAGTCACAACATAATCCGTAAAGTATTTAAATAATAGAGGACTTGCTGATAACGAATTGATTGGGTGGTTGGCCAATCTTCTCTTCCACTCGGGACTATCCGAGCCTAACAATATTAATAATATGCATTCAACCCTCGAACATTATCATTGTACTAAGATACTCGCATGAACTCTGCAATCAGCAGTTTGAAATCATGCTGCAAGAGTCTCACACTAATACTTCATCTAATTCATACTCATAGTTTGCTCTGCCACAATGCGAAGAACCAGGAGCAGAAAGAAGGCGACCACCCAGCTCCAGAAGAGTTCTGACAGGGATCCCACGGGACTGTCTGCTTTTCCTGACTTGTGCTCAGTTTCATGGGCTCGCTGTCATCAGACCAAGCATTCAACACTCGTGCCCATGAATGGAACACGTCTGCCTGTGCACCTTATCTCTCCTTGTAGTGGAACGATTCGAAAGCATGATACTCATTTTTCTTTCAATAAGCCAAGAACGCCACTGTGGACAATAAGACCTTTTGAGTCCCATATTATCTCAGCGCAACCAAAATGTGGCAGACATTAACTCCATCTTGTGGCAGGCAACTTTTGACACTTGGAGTTTCTTACCCGTTTGAGCGTTTGAGCAGCACATTCCGCGGTGCGAGTAATAGGCTGAGGCACCTACTGATTTTATGTACCTGGTGGGCGGTCCGAGGAAAAGGAAGTACTAAGGAACGGAAGGGGACATGGAAAATGCTGGATGTGCAAAACAGAGAACAGCGCATTGTCAAGGCAGACCATTAACCAGTTAGCAAGAAAATGTGGCCAAAGCATAGAGGCAAATTCAAACCCTCGAAATGTTAAGAGCAGCTATTTGCCCACATTGTTGTGGCTATCGACCAAACCAAATCGGCTCTTTCTATCAAACGATATTGAGTAAAAAGGATCGAACGCATAAAAAGCAACACCCTTGCGCTTGTTTCTCTATTCCACTAGGGTCGACCTTGACACATCATTGGGAAATGGTGGAGCTTTCTCTGGACGTTGCAACATGAGGGGTCTCGAAAATGAGCTCTTCTAATCGGCGGTAGGTTCAACGAGGCTGAGAATTTAGCCGTCAAGAACATCATCTCCAATGGGTAAGAGATAACCCAACAGTACTTGGCCATAGCCGATTACGAGTCACAGTGTTTCCAACTGACTCCTCATTACAACTGCTGCAGTCCCTAGACTGCAAGGCGAAGTCACAGCTGTTGGGCGGACATCTGGGCAGGAAAGCTTGAAAGTTATTGCTGAGTTGAATAGGCTTGGAAGCAAGACTGGACTCATATCTTCTACGGCAATGCCATAGATTACGCCGTACGGGATCTTCATTAGAGCTCGATACAGGGAGGAAGCTGGAAACCAAGTATTAAGGGAGGGACCTTCGTCCGCTCAAGCCCCTGAGGCATGAAAGAAAGGCAAATATCTAAGGGTGAAAGGCATGAGTGTGATGATTTTTTGAGGAGGAGCTCTATATTCGTGGTCGATACTATGGGAAATATGGTCACGAAGCAAAAAAATGCGACTATCTTGCTGTGGTAATACATCAGATACACATAGGATGTGTGAAAGCGGAGTGTTGAGTGAGAGAAATCCGGTATGCCTGTTACATGTACATAACCCTGAAGACCTTATTGAGGCATCCATGGACATCCACACGCGTCCGAGGCATGTTGCTCAGAGGTTCAAATCACATATTTTCTGGGGAGCGCAGGCTTTGCAAGGAAACGCGCGAGTTTGCTCTATCTGATGCAAGGTATCGAAAACCATAAAACGTGTTCTAAAACTTGAAAGCATAAATCGAACCGCCATGAATAAACATGACAAGCTATGTTGAGATCGGTGTCATCACGGCGAGCCAGCTAAACCTCCCGAGTTCCAGTTTCCACTTAAGCTGACCAGTTGATATCCTTCGTCGCCTCCATATGGCTATCCCATGGAGATACTTCAGTCTCCGAGGCCACCTTCTTTTCTGCCTCCAATTTCAAACCACTACCAAGCCGACTTCCGTGCCAGGCTCTACTTGATCGATTGCCTTCTTCTCTTTTGCTTTTCTTGAGACGCTATCGAAGAGGCTCACCCAATGCCCAACCATGTACTCAGGCATCACCTCGCGGAGGCGTGTCATTGTGTTGTTGATGGCCGAGTCAAAGTGCTCTTGTTGATCCTCGATCCACTCTAATTCTGCCTCGACCTTCGGATCCTGCAAAGACTTTGCCTTGAGGTCCTCTAGTAGCGGGTTGTACACCCCAGCAACATAGAGATCATATTGTGCAAAGCCCAAAGTCACGGCTTCATAGGCATCCTTGTACATCCTGCAGTCTTCACATCCTTTGACTATATCCAAGACATTAGTCCCGAGCTGTACACCGAAAATAAAATTTCTTAGCTCACCAGAGAGCGCTTCATCATTGATCACCATTTCGGTAAGCTGCTCAATATCTTGGTCTCGATCGGAGGCGTTGCTACCGGACTCAGGTTCGGAGAGCGCTTCCTCACTGTTCACCGTTTCGGTAAGTTTCTGAATATCTTGGTCTTGGTTAGAGGCATTGCTATCGTCATCGGGGTCGGAGGTTTGCATGTCGAAGTCATTCAAGGGTTCAGTATCATCCGTCGGCGGCGCGAAATTTGGAGGATGAACGGGATGGATCAAGGTGCTGTCGTTGATTCGATGATAGAGCAACGTGAAGGCATGGCTATCCTATTTACTAGTAAGTAGAGTCTACTGCAGCAAAGAGTGTCGACTTACCCAGACGACTCTCTCAAAGCATACGGACTTGACGTGGTCGTCATCATATTCAAGCCATTCAAACTCGCGGGATATGAGAGCCTTGTAGTGTCCAGTGTAGATGCTGCTGCCGTAATGAGAGATGACGGCCTTGAGCTCGTAGCTGGCAGGGACATAGGGTGGTGAGAGAGTGGATAGAAAAGAGATAAATTTCGAGCTCTTTTGCATACCTCCCGAACGAGGTAGTTGGATAAGCAAGACCTGCGGAGGCGCCAAGATGCTATACTCCGTGGACGATAGCTTGCACCTTGTGTAGTCTATGTGATCATACCCGTACGAGATGAGCAAATTTTTCAGAGTGTCAAAGAAGTCAAATCTGAAACGGTTAAAGGAAGAAGAATAATCTTGACTTTTTCGGTAGCAATAAGATGCTGCCCTTTGCCAGATGACTCTGTATGACTGAAGCGCTCCTCGAGCGTGAAGAGGGGTTTGAGATCCGGGACTTGTCCAATCAGCCATTCCAGGAACTCACTGGCATCTTCTTATCTAGATGCAGTCCACTGTGGATCGAGATCATGACAGATGCTCAGGAACCATTGCAGATTACTCGCGCTAGCAAGGTGATTGTGAGGGTATACTTGGATATATATTTTTATATTTAGAAAGACGATCCTAGACTGGATAACAAGTGACAGATACTGCTCGTGCGTAGCATAGTCCAGCGTTCAGTCAATACGTGCTGCAATGAGGTTGATGACTGCAACAGAGTGAGAGTAGACTGTGAAAAAGGAGTTTGATCAAAAACCACTGATGCAGTCATTACTAAGAATTTATAGTGATATAATGCGTATGTGTTTGCTGCTGATGTTGTTGAAGATGTATGTAGAAAAGAAGAAGTTCTTTTGAGAGACACCGATTTATATAGGCTAAGAAGCCCTTGGTGAGAAGGGTATATGTAGTCAAGAAGAAGACCTTGGGAGAAAACTCGGTTTATATAGACTGAGAAGCTCTTTGTGAATGCTGTGGAGAGATAATGCTATGAAGAGATGAATGTTATGAGGGGATGAATATAATGGAGGGATGAATGTGATGGAGGAATGAATGTAATGAAGGGATGAATGCTATGGAGAATATGAAGAGCTGAATGTTATGGAGATACGATATAACTAATGAAGGGATTAATTCTTCAGTGCGAGGAATGCTGTGAAACCTAATTCATCCGGCATCTGAATAATCGTAGCATAATACTTCTAGCTTGTTTCTACCCTAGCAATCAAGTTAGAGATATAGAATAGATATATATACATAATATGCCAGGTTAAATTAGTTTACAAAATGATGTGGTGAAGTAGTCTCAAATTATTCGACTTCAGAATCGCTCGTTTTTTGGCCCGGTGAGGAAAAATGTTTGAGGTGGCTAATTGTTTGAGGTGGCTACGAGTACTACTAATTAAGGAGCGCGCGACGAAAGCATTAATATTATGTTAACGTCGATGTGATACAATCTTCAGAGCATGGGAAGAAACCTCGTGACAGCCCAAGCGACGTTCCTCGAGCTCGGTGCTTTCGGAGCGTGAATTTTATTACTAGGTACTCGGTCCGTGGTAATTAAGGTACATACTTACGAGTAGGTACTTGTGGTGAAAGCGTGGGGGCCGTACTTTACCTTATAATCTAAAGTACTTTGGGGTAGGGGTCTTCAGTTTTCACTGCTCATTGCTCAATAATAATACTTTGATATTAGCGCACTAGCAGATTGTGGAGGCGCACTTTCAGATGTGGATCTCCAATCAAATCAAACCCATGCAATCTTAACCCCCTCCGGCTCGGTCGATCAAGCAGCTGCACATCATGCCGAATTGCGAATTTGCGAACAATCTGCTGACCCCTCAATTTTCGAACTCACCGCTTCTCCAGTCGTGCTACTACTAGACTATCTCTTACTACCTTACCTCACTACTAGGTAGGTACTTAGGTACTGAGAGAGTACTAATATTCGGAGCTTTTTGTTAACGTCTTTTTTGAGCCTCGTCGAGTGGTGGAGGTTGAAACTTGAAAGAGCAACCGACTGGTCCTGCTCTTCTCTCCTCTCCTCTCCTTCGTCCGAGATGTAAAGCTTTACTCTGTGTAAGTGTGTGTATATATATATATATATATTTAGTATTCCATGAAAGCCAAGCCGGAATGCACGACCTTTTTCCCTTCTTCCCGCTACACCCACCCAAAGCAAGTCGAGCAAGTCATGTGAAGACTGAAGAGAAGCGTAGCTTTGGACTCGGGCAGTGGGGGATTATTTTGTATTGTGCACTAAGCTGTTGGTGTCAGGCAACCCGAAACGTTTTGAATGCTGCTTTCGGCGGCTATGAGACTATACGAACCATTGTTGGACTGCCAGACTGCGTGCCATGATTGTTCGGAGGAGTTGATTTAGATCAGCATATAACATCAGTGAAAGAAAGGAGAAAACGCTGGACTTTGCCCAAAGATGTATTATTCGTGGACTCTCGGAGTAGCACTTTGTGCCGTCATCTTGGCGCTACTCTATACCTACTACATACACTACTATACACTTTATTATCCATTTTAGCCCCCCATCCCTATACATATCCTTACATACCTACCACCCGACTCGTAAACATCACTCCACTATCCATGTGCCTGCTCACCTTGCTCTCCGTCCATGTAGCCATCCTTCCACCTGCTCTCTAAAAGCCTGCCATCAACACCGCAGCGCCAACTTTGGGAAGCAGCCATGACACCCGATTAATCTCTAATCCTACATCGCCACCACTACTACCTATGAGGCCTTGCCGCCCACCTTCTTCCACGCCAGTCATTACGCAATCTCACCTCAATCTAACCAGCCGCTGATCCTGCGACAGGTCTCGAACGAATGTTCGGATTTGTAGTATTTGGGCGCAACTCCATCGCCTTTGGACGTGCCCTTGGAGCTGATGGATTCATGGAAAGGGACTGCAGAGCAGGCCAACTTTGAGTCCCGCAGGGTTGCTTCCGGCATTAGCCAAAATTTGCTTGGGTATCGACAGAGTGCGCAAGTGCCACGCTCCGCTGATGGACGCAGTACGCCGCGGAAGCCTACGCCATCCCCGTTGCAGGTCAGCGAGGCTGCCACTGCGGCGACTGTTGGCGAAACGCACAGCAACATCAGGAGTCCCAAATCGCCTACTGCATTCCAAAGTAATAGCCTTTCAGAATCTTCTCCACGTTCGCCGCGACCCGATCTAGCCGCGAACCTGGAACAGCCCAAGTCCCCCCCGGAGCGGCTGAACGAGCTTCTTGCTTCAGAAAATGTCACTACAAATGGGGATACGAGTGGAATCGAGAATAGAGCTTCTAGAGCTACTATAGCAGCACCTTCGAAGGCCCAATCCTACAGCCAGCTGCGGAACGTCTCGTCCCCTTTCCCTCAACTAAGACCCTTGGGCAACTCCTCCCCGCCTTCCCCTCGATCCACGGCATCTCCGCCGCTAGGCGAAGCACTTGCTCCGCTAGAGGTTCGGCCAATGCCACGCACATCGTCCATAGACTCCGCTATCTCAAAGCACTCGCACAAAACCTCGTTGGATACCTCTAGTGCATCAGACATCTCGGACCTCATAGAAACGGCAGGCTCCCCAGAGGCAGTCATTCAACATCTGTTGAAGGAAAAACAGTCTTCCGCTGTACAAAACGCTCAATTATGGAAAATCGTGGATAAGCAGCGTTCATTGGTGCTTGGGTTAAACCAAGATCTCGAGAAAGCTCTCAGAGACAAGGAAAAATATCGAAAGGAGTTGAAAGGACATTTGGATAAGGTTCCGCCGATCCCAAGCATGACGCATAAAGCGCCAATGCCACGGCCAAGAGATGCCAGTCATTCTCCAGCACCTAGCGAAGCCTCTGCTGATCTACCAATTCAGAGACAGAGCCTGGTGTATGCTATTCCCCGTGATTCTGAAGGCGGCGAGTCGCCCACTGGCACATTGATAGATGGCAAGGATCAGAATCAGGATCGGGATCAAAATCAGAAACAATCCTTGAGCTCTACGCCAGCAGTGTCGGAAGAAGCGGACGACTGGGTGAGGAGCAAACCGCGAGCAGGAGGCTCCAACCATTCACACAAGGCCACATCGAGCTCTGATCTTGGCGTTCTCGGACCCGTCAAGGCTGCGCATGTCGTGACTCCCGTACAGACAAACGATCTGGAGCCATCAGCTCAGAAGGATACACCTAACAGTCCTACACCAATCTCGCAAGCTGTAAGACCCGTTGTGTCACCAACAAATAGCTTCACCGCGAAACGTTCCCAGCCTTTCTTTGCCAAAGCTTTCAATGGTCCAACATTAGCGTTAATCGAATCAACACCTCCGGGAAATGACATTGAAAGGACGACACCGCCTCGCAAACCTCCTCCTGCGCCTCTACATCTGGGCCAGCCGAAGCCTGATGAGCCAGCCCAGCACCATTTTCGATCCGACGATCATTCTGGCTCTGACTACGATGAAAATATGGAAGTGGACGAATTGCCTGCTTTAGATAGGGGCAGGAAGAAAACACGAGAGGCCGATGACAAGGAACGAGAGGCTGCTATGCTTAAGGAAAAGCAAGATCGAAGTCGTTCGAAGAAGGAGAAAGGGTCGAAGCCCCCAGCGGATGTGGCTAAGCCAGTGGCCAGGGAAAACGTGAATACTGCGCAGCGTCATGGGACTCCCATTCCCGCGTCCATCAAAACCATTTCACGAGAGCCTACCGCAACTGGTACAACTGAGTATTTGTCGCCGCCAGCCTCGCTAGCGGGTGTACTCAGTCCCTCTGGTGGCCTGAAAGGGACGATCACCACGGAGAGGCTTATGACCTTGAAGCCTATGAGCCCCGGCCTTCCCTTAAGCCCACGCCCAAACCATCGCCCAATGAATCCTCCAACCCCAAGAATGCCCCGTGATGTTGTAGGGACATCCTTGGGGTCTCCTCCAATGTCTCCTAGAAACGCTTTCTCCGGCCTCCCTCTTTCGCCGAGGGTCTCAAGGCAGCCTATTCCTCTTCCTCCCAATACGTCGATGTCCCTAGCTTCGCCAAAGCCGGCAAACTTCGAGTCTCGCAATGATTCCAACGGACCGACCCGGGTACCCTCTAGTCCTGTGAAGAACTCTTTGAGTTGTCTGCAAACCCACGTAGCGCCGGAGGCTGAAGAGGCCTCAAAGCACAGGGGTATCTTTAAAGGCTTCATGTCTGATGCATACCCCGAGCTTTTGATCCCACCTAATGCTCTCCCTTCTATTATCGTGAAGGTGGTCTCTTCGCGCCTGAAGCCTTCACGCCACAGCCTAGTGCTGAAGGGAACTGACGAGGAACCAGTGTTCACGCTAGGAATATCGGCTCGGTCTGATTGCCAGGAATTATGGCAGGTCGAGAGACCCATACAGTCGCTTCTACAGCTAGACCAACAGCTCCGCCAATCTACGACCTTCAATGCCAAGCTCCCAGACCGGTCGTTGTTCACTGGTCATGCTCCCGCAAAGATTGATGGACGAAGAGTGGCCTTAGAACAGTACTTCGAGAACATTTTAGATACGCAAATGGACGAGAAAGCAGCGCTCGCTTTGTGCTATTACTTATCCACCCAGGCCGCGGAGCCAACCTTCGGGGAAGCTAACAGTTTCGCCTCCGCCCCCCACCCTGGATCACCTGTTACGCAAGGTATTGAGGGAAGACTTCTCAAAGAGGGCTATTTGACTAAGAAAGGTAAAAATTTTGGCGGCTGGAAGGCGAGATTCTTCGTTCTCGAAGAGCCCGTCTTGCGTTACTACGAAACTCCTGGTGGATCTGTATTGGGAACAATCAAGCTTCAAAGTGCTCATATCGGCAAACAATCTCCTAGTAAACCGTCTTACTCACCTTCGCGAGGGCCCGATGACAACGATGGTCACTACAGACACGCTTTTCTCATCCGTGAACCGAAACGCAAGGATAAAGATAGTTTTATGGACCATGTCCTCTGCGCCGAGAGCGATGCTGAGCGAGACTCTTGGGTGGCAGCCCTGTTGCACTATGTGGATGGTCCGGAAATGGATGGGAAATCGAGGCCTCCACTATTCAACAGCGACTCGGGATCCAGCAGGGTCGTGGTTCCTTCGAAAAAGAGCTCGCTCAAGACCGATGTGATCAGTTCAGACAGCCCAAACTCCGAAAAGTTCGACAGTCTCCAGGCTGTCCCTTACGAGGACACTAAGCCAGCTCAAGCCCCTCATGTGCTGATCACCCCTGATCCTCTGGCAACAGAGTCACCCTCACCGACAACATCTAGTTCACAGCCTTCTGTCAAAACACACACATCGCAGTCCAAAGCTATTTCGGCGCCTTCGAATGGTGCCAAGATCAACGATGTGGGAGCTTGGGGTAACAAGCCGATGGCAGTCCCTGTGGGAACTCAAAGGGAACACAAGAAACGAAGCATTTGGGGTTTCCGCGACAAGAATGGCCCAGATCTTGGGCTCAACCACCCAAACGACTCGAACCTCAGCTTAACACAACAGCAGTACCAGGAGCAAATCACTAACGTGAAGGCAGCCTTTGGCGCACCTCTTGCTGACGCTGTCGAGTACTGTGGCCCGCGTGGTATTGATGTCTGCTTACCAGCTGTCGTCTATCGTTGCCTCGAATACTTAGAGAGTAAAGATGCTCCGAGTGAAGAAGGCATTTTCCGTATGAGCGGGTCAAACGTTGTAATCAAAGGTCTCAAAAAGCGTTTTAATGCCGAAGGCGACTTTGATTTCCTCGGTCCTGACGAGCCGTACTTTGACGTGCACGCCGTTGCTTCATTGCTGAAGCTATATCTACGCGAGCTGCCGCAACCGGTCCTGACGCGCGATTTGCATCTCGAGTTTATTGCTGTTCTGGGTAAGAAACATTGTTTCTAAAAACACCTTCTCTAAATTGCAAAAAGTGAGCTTCGAAGTGCTGACCTTCTTGTACAGACCTTACCGAGAAGCCAAAAAAGATAGCTGCCTATAATGTCCTCGTCCACAGGCTTCCCAAACCTAATTTTACGCTCCTCCGAGCTCTCTCGGCCTTCCTCATCAACATCATCAACAATTCGGAAATCAATAAGATGACTATGCGTAACGTCGGAATCGTCTTCTCCCCCACTCTCAACATACCAACTCCTGTGCTCTCCATGTTCCTTACCGAATTTGATACTGTCTTTCGCGAGAAGATCGAAGCTGCGAATGTTCCGTCACTAGAGGTTACGACGAGTGAGCCTCTGACCCCAGAGGATATCCGATCACCGAGGCGGCAGATGTTTTCAGACATACCTACTCCCTCTTATACTCAAGATACTTTCTCCGCATCCAATTCGCAGCTGTCACATCCATATGAGCAAGCGCCCAACAGTCACACCATGGACCCGGGTGACACAGGTTTCATCCCTTTGCAGCCAGCTTACGAAATATCGACGTCTCATGTCCAGCAGGGCTCGGTCACCGTACCGGGGCCCGAGTATGCTGTGGCTCGGCCTCGAAATCTGCCTGCAGGCGGTGCTGCGAAGGCGAGGAGAAGAGAGAGCTCGATGCTGTTAATGAGCCCAGGCCAGAGAAAGAGCTCCTTGCCCGTGATGAGCGGTGATAACGGTAGGTCATTCCCAGTTCAGGACTGACAGGACTGACGTTATGGCAGAGATGCTACATGAAGAAAACGCGTTTGACTGATCGATCTATCATATACTCCCAGACTAATATGTAAAAGTAATGTGTGGTCAGTGGCTATTCTTCTCTTCAGAGCGTACTTTGAGCCTGGCGTTTGGGCTTGGCATCTAGCGACTACCCTGCTTTATACCCATGAAATCTCTGGATCAGGCCGGTTCCTACGACGACGTATAATTCTTTATTTCCTGCCATTTTGCTAGCTGGGTTTTGGGGTTCGGTAACGACGAGTGGCTCGACCACATAGCATTTTCTCAGTGACCAAAAGAAGCGACATCCCAAAACGTGAGGTTTACTGATAGATCTAGCGTGCCTTTCCCAAGGTAGAGGATTATGTACAAGACGTGCACGGCATTGCATATATAACCTCAATCGTTAGAATAACAAATTCATATCTAAAATATGTGAACTCGATTTTGCCCCTGTATCCCTACTGTTGATACATTTGACCACTAATCGCCTTGAAAGCGACGGTTCCCTCGCGAAGAGGGCACATGACGGAAGCGAGCCGTATATCCTTCCAAAAACATGGTCAGGGCACGTAGATAATGCCATAAGTGATCGGTCGCGCCTCTTTGTGGGTCTGGGAAGAAAGGTCAAGATTCCCGATCTGCCCAATGTTTTACACATTGAACACAGCGTAGTCATGCAGGCTCGAAGCATTGTACCCGTAGATTTCTTTTCGGACTCCACAGTGTTCATTCATCATCCTCATCAGAAGCCTCCATAGGGGCATCACTGTCTTCTTCCATAGGCGCCCCCTCGTCATCACTTTCATCCTCCCTTCCTCTCTTCACTCCCTTCCGTCCGTCCTCTTCTCCATCAACGTCCACCTTCCCCTTGTCAATCGACGCTTCGGTAACGTTGGCACTAGATGCAGAAGGCACAGGTGCTGGGAGTGACGAGGGTGGAGCACCGAATATGGACTGCTGCAGCTCCGTCGTCGTAATGTCGATCCCCACCGCAACGGGCATACGATATGTGCCATCCAGCTTCGCTATCGTGTCTGATTTCCCCTTCGCATACTGTATCTTCTATCCTCACTTCTCAGCATCTGTTTCTATGACTAGCCGGTAAAGGAAGGCAGGACTGACGATCTCCTTCCCAAAGAAATCAAACCCCTGTAGCGCTCTCATCGCTTGCGTACTCGCCTGCACATCTCGAAAAGCAACATGCGCCTGGCCTCGCATCTTGTTATTCCGAAGAGCGACGACATCAAGGACCGGACCATAGGTTGCGAAGAGAGTATAGAGGCAGAGGCGGAGGTCACGTTTCTGGATCTTTTCGGGGAGGTTGGTCAGGTAGAGTCTGTGAGTGTTTAGCTAGAGATCCATATTAGAGCTAGGCTTGCCTATTGATCATGAAAGAGACTCACGTTTGATTTGGAGGAAATGTGGACTTTTGGGGTGGGCCATTGTGGGATGGCACAGCTTTGGTAGACATTCTACCATTCGAAAATGGATCAGGAAAGCGAAGAGAGAATGTCAAAAGTCATTTCCCAGTGCCGCGAAATAATCCTGTCGTGGTTTTGCTCGAGAATTTGCGAGGCTAGAAACTAAATTAGCCTGATTGCATTTTATGCACCTGAGCTCCAAGACTTCACCGCGTAGACCTCCACAGCTAAGCTCCAAACGTCCCCATTCGCACCACCAGCCACAGCTTTAAGATTACTGTCCTTGGGCATCCATTGAGAGGAGAACAACTTTATAGTGCTTTGTTGAAGATGGTAAGTCTCAATAGCTCGGTTGAGTCAATTTGGCTAACCATTTCACCAGAGCTCGCCCTTCGCCATCAGTAAGCTGCTATAGCCCCCAATGGACGAGGCGTCGTCTTTGTATCATCTTGCTGAAACTGCCATCTAGATGGCGGTGCTTGTGTGGCCATGGTCGGCAAAGACTGCGTTGCGATAGCTTGTGACCTCCGCCTCGGTCTTCAGTCACTCACAGTCTCCAACAACTTCCCAAAGATCTTCTCATACGGCGACGTCTATCTCGGTCTCACGGGTCTAGCCACCGATGTATCTACCGTCTCCGATCTTTTCCGCTACAAAGTCAACATGTACAGACTACGTGAAGAGCGTCAGATATCTCCGCAGACTATGGCGAATCTGGTTTCAACGAGTCTGTACGAGAAAAGATTTGGACCTTACTTTGTCAGCCCGGTGATCGCTGGCATAAACCACAAGACTGGAAAGCCTTTCATCTGCGGCTTTGATAGCATTGGGTGTATAGATTTCGCGAAGGACTTTATTGTTTCGGGGACGGCTAGTGATCAGCTCTTTGGAACGTGTGAGGGATTGTGGGAGCCAGATCTGGTATGGGGGAGCTTAAATTCTGCCGCATGGAGAGCATTGCTGACAGCACTTGAACTTGTTAGGAGCCGGAAGATCTGTTCGAAACCATATCCCAGGCTTTACTTAACGCGGTGGACCGAGACGCGTTGTCGGGATGGGGTGCACATGTCTACATCATTGAGAAGGACAAAGTTACGAAGAGGCTGTTGAAAGGCAGACAAGATTAGGGGGAAATTAAGTCTCAGGCGCATGGCGATGGAGGGCGGCATAGAGACCTTTGAGCATGCATAGCGATGATTGACAACCAAAGTCCTGCACTTATTATGCGAGAGTTGTGTACAATGTGATATGTCTCGAATTTTTACAAGAATCAGCAGACCTTTATTCTATCATTTCTCCATATTGCTAGGAGCGTTATTGGACCAGATGGTTGGAGAATACCGTTTAAGGTGATAAGGCTCGGCGCTAGGATATTCCCCACGTTTCGAGAGTTCCCTGACATCTATCTTAAGTCTTGGCGCTCGCGAATGCTGGTGTCTCAAACTGATGCATCAGAACGACACCCGTACTTGTTGGCTTGTAGTCCTGTATACTGTATCACCTAACGAATGGGGGACTGCTCATGCATCGCCATTACCACGGGATTTATCCAGCGAACCCGATAACGCCGCCGTCGTCTCCGCTGCACGAACATCAATCAACATCCAAATATGCTAAAGGATGATACCTTACAAATAATCGCATAAGTCGCTCGAGGTCTCGAACGGGAGTAAAAGCGCCAGGTCTCGGCTAACCGCAGTCTTGACTCTATTCCTTGGCTTGGAGTATGGGGAATGTCAGTAGTCGAACCGAAGACGGTGGGGCATTTGTCCTTCGAGACCAAAGTCGCCGTAAGTGCCCAAACTCACGACGCCCTTCTCCTGTCTTGACTAAAGTCTGAATAACAGTATCTATCGCATCCCTCACGGTCACAAATTCTAAGGGAAAGATCCTGCTCAATGTTGTTCCCAATGTATACCCGGCAACTAGGATCATTGCCAGGAAGGACTATGGCGACGAAAGCCTTGTGGAGTACATACAGGTAATAGGAATACCTACTGCAAGGGAAACAGCGGGGTTGACCAGGTCTTTCTTTTAGGACCCTGAATCGTCTCCTACATTGCCTGTACCGTCATTCTTGTTCCGCCTAAACAACGACGACGAGCTCATATTCAACTTCACCTTCGTGATCCGTCAAAGTCAAAGCAGCCTGCCGGGGGTTTCAGGAGGGATTGATACATTTATTAATGGCCTCACCTTCGCCTTCGCATCAAACAACAAGGATCTTGACAATCTAGTCATTAGAGAATTTCATGCAGACCCAAACCTTCACAAAAATGCCAACGTGGAGCTGGTCGGCGACTATTCAACGGGTGGTAGCCCGTCTGCAAAGTTTGAGTGGTCATGGAAATGGCGCCCCCCTAAAACGACCGAAGATCGAGGAGGAGGTTGGCGTAATGCTTGCAGCTTCTCTGAATACGATCAGAGGGCCCACAAGCTTCAAGCCCTTGCATTGTTCAGCTTCTGGGTACAGAACACACCAAAAACGTTCACTGGTCCCCAAACACCCTCGCCATACTTTGAACTAAATGTACCTCCTCGACTCCGACTCCCATCGTCACAATCTATGATATCTGCGCCAAGTGAGTCAGATCATACGGACATAGGGCCACCATCACCCATTATCGAACCTGGAGAGATCAGTTTAGGCGTTCCACAGGTTTCGACCAAAGATCCAGTGGTAGTCGGAGTTTCATGTCCGCGGCCCAGTGAAGACATGAGCGCCGTTGAAGACGGACCCTTATTTCGAGCCACGATGAAAGCCCTGGAACAAAAGACTGGGAACATGCGAACAAGGATGAAGAAGGTTTTGCGTAAAGCCGAAGCAGCTCAGGCAGCTCAGGTCGAATGCAATGCTGCGGTATCTGCGTTCATGGAAGCACTTCGAGAAGCATCGGCGTCAAATGCAAATGCCATCCAGCCAGCACTCGAGCACTACTTCGAGAAGATTGCCAGCCAAATCCTTCAGTATGAAAAGCAGAACACAGTGCATTTGCAGAAACTCATCATCGACCCTCTCTCGAAGATATATAACATTGATATCAAGCAGGCAGAAGCCAAGAAGAAGGATTTTGAAGATGAGAGCAAGGACTATTATGCGTATGTCAGTCGCTACCTTGGCCAACGTCAAGACTCGTTAAAGGAGAAGAAGCGAAACGAAAGTGACTCCAAGTATCAAACTAAGAGAAGAAATTTTGAGCTCAAACGATTTGACTATTCGTCTTTCATGCAAGATTTGCATGGTGGCAGGAAAGAACAAGAAGTCCTCTCTCAATTAACGAAATATGCAGAGACACAATCGAAGAGTTTTCTGTCGACTGCAAAGAAAATTGGAGAGATGACTCCTCAATTAGAGGTGTTGATCCATGAGGTAAAGGAAGCCGACAAAGAGTATAAGATTCAGCGCACTGAAAGGGAAGAAAAGCGAAGAATTCTGGAGATGAACACTAAGACATACGTCGAGCCTGAGGCCGATGCATCTAACATCTTACCCATTCAGTCCATTGCCAACGGGACCTCCGCCCAGGAATCTGAGCTCTCGCGAGCTGATAGTAATGGTCGGAATGGTCTTCACTATTCTTCTTCGACCGCGTCACAACATGGTTCAACTTTGTCTGCACGAAACTCCACTCACGGTGTTCCTTCCACGCCCAGCAGTCGACCTAGCAGCGGTGTTCCCGTAGTGAGTCCCGACAAGTTCAAAGGTTTCCGTGACCTTGAAGAAAGGGATCATAATGGTGCTGTCGGACCAGACAGGGTTCAGCACAAGAAAGAAGGGTTACTTTGGGCTCTAAGCAGACCGGGTTCCCACGTCGATCCCAAAGGCCTTAATAAACAAGCATGGCACAAGTATGTAAACTCTCAAGCGTACCTTGGTCAGATACTAATGTATCAGGTTCTGGATCGTACTCGATCAGGGCAAATTGTCCGAGTACAGCAATTGGAAACAAAGGCTCGATCTTCACATGGAGCCGATCGATTTGCGGATGGCGTCGGTTCGAGAATCCCGCAGCGCAGAACGGAGGTTTTGCTTCGAAGTCATAACGCCACAATTCAAGCGTGTTTATCAAGCAACGTCAGAAGAAGACATGAATAATTGGATAAATGCCTTGAACAACGCCCTACAGAATGCCGTCGAGGGCAGAAATCAACCTCAACCTTTTACTCCTTCAACAATAGAGGAGAGGACCGCTCATCGAAACATTGGTTCTATACTTACGGGGGAAAAGCTCATCGTACTCTGGACATCATCACCATCAATCACCTTCCAACGCAAGTGCCGCCAATAGCGTGTATAGGCACCGCACCGTTGGCGCACGACCGACCTATGTCCGTACGGATAGCAACAGCTTTGAAGATGACCCCTCGAAACTCCTTCAGATAGTGCGAGGCAATGATCAAGGCAATCGCTGGTGCGCTGACTGCAACTCTGAATCCAAAACTGAGTGGGTCTCTATCAACCTAGGCATCGTGCTGTGCATTGAATGCAGCGGCATTCACCGCTCCCTCGGCACTCACATATCTAAAGTCCGCTCCCTAACTCTTGACACAACATCGTTCAGTACCGACATTGTCGAAGTCTTGCTCCAAATCGGCAATCGTATCTCTAATATGGTGTGGGAAGCTACTCTCGACCCCAACCAGAAACCCTCAGCACAAGCAACGCGTGAGCAGCGTCTCCGCTTTATCACTGCCAAATACGCTGATAGAGCATACATAAACCCCATAGGCTCAAATGCCCAGTCTCGTTATTCCACTTCAGACGAAACGCTTCTGGCTTCCGTCAAAAAGAACGACATTCAGGGTGTTCTCTACGCTCTAGCGCTGCGTGCAAACCCGAACGCCACCGACCGCTCCCGAAATACGCACTCCATCTTTCTCGCTCTCGCAGCCGCTGATCCAGCTGCTCCAGCGGGGTCCGCCCTCCCTACACCTGTTACCTCACCTAACGCCAAGACGCCATCTGGTAGTCAGAAAACAATCGTTGCTTTCCCTGTTGCCGAATTGCTGGTTCAGAACGGTGCCATCATCCCGTCTACCCTGCCCGCATTTCCACTTTCTCCGAACGCACAGCTGTACATTGACCAAAAGGCTGGCAAAGGCGTAGACACGCTCACTGCTCTGCCGAACATAAACAGAAACAGTGGCGTCGGCCCGACTGCCATAGAGGGTGGCAAGGATAGTCAAGCGAAGCTGCAGAAAAGAGGCAGCGTGGGAGGCCGTCTGGCGGTCAGACCTGGGCAATGAAAGGAGCAGAAGAACGCTAGTGGAGCTAGCTTTGTAGTCTAGCTTGGGCTTCTGTTTGATTATGAGTGGGAAGGATAATAACCGACGGTCTGGGTGGCGATTTCCTCGATACCGTTACTGTTACATAGCAGAGGTAGCTAGCTCTCCCTGGATAGTAAAGCTGCACTACAGTCGGGCTTTAATAATATCTAATGATTACAATAGAAATGAATATGTGCTTGAGGTTTGATACATGGGACATATGTTGAGATTCAGCTTGTCTTGCTACGAGATAGCACCATGGCAGGAGTTGTTGATCTGTCTCGTGTGTTTGCAGTCAATTTACGGTCTGGCGGAAAATATCTCCTTAGGCAAGCTCAGGCCGACAACACTACCCACTATCCCGATCCACAATATCATATACTTTACAGGACTGACTTCTCCCTTGATACCACCCAAGATATTTTGCATAGCTTCGGCCGAGTTGCAGGGGTGCACCCAAAAGCATGGAATGTCTGTTAATGGGTGATTCTGAAATTGTTCGACCGATTAGCCCCTTTTCAGACGCCCGGGGCAGGCCCCTTGAGGCTACTTACAGTCATACTAATACCCCCCATAACACCCGCATTTCTCACTCCGGATTGAAGGTGCTTTGGTACTAGCTTTTCGTAAACAAAATCTATACTCTGTAATATCGAAGGTGACAGATTGTGGAGAAAGAAGTAGAGGACGGGGACCCGGTAGCTTGTTGACGGTAGAATGTGATACTCTACTGATGAGACTGTGAGCGACGGGGGAGAATGGTAGATGGCGACCTTTATCTAAAGATCAGGATTTTTGAAACTTTGGATTGTAAGATTAAGAAAAGGAACGCTGAGCTCACGTCCTCGTCTTCTTCCTCGATATTGCTAGATTCATGAGAATCTTGCGCAGCGGAGAAGAGCTTGGCCGAATCTGATGGTGCTGGTGGGTTAACATTGGTGCTTAGAAGACGTATTATCTTGAGGTATTGGTGTTCTCCCTAGACGCATGTGAGCATAGGAGAAAAGACGCAGAACTTGCCTCTATGCTCAATTATCCGGCATAAGAAAGAAGAGAGTTTTGAACTGAAGGCTAATAGACAAGGGAATCTTACATGTCTACGAGTCTCCAAGCTCATATCGCTGGACGATAAACCTGAACAAAGCGCCAACGCCTGACAGGCTTCATCGAAGGCTTTTCTTGATATGAAGCCGGCCTCCTCTGGCCGATTGAGCGACATGTCAGCGTTACTATTTGATAGGCAAAATGGGGCCTTGTATGTGCACTGGAACCTGGTTTTCAATGTAGTCTTCTCTATGTCCTGAAATCAAGACAGCCTGCCATGCAGAAAAAACGCAAATACCGCATGCGAAATCTCACCACTGGTGCAAATGATGCTGGTTTGCGATTCGCCTTGGTCAGGTGAGACTTGTTTCGTGCGCTTGCTTGTATGATTGTATGGTTGTATGATTGCAATTGGTACCGTATCTAAGAAGCGAGGAGGAGAGATGTGGTAGTTTTCGCTCGCTTAGTTATAAACAGTACAGTAGCGTTAGCGGTGGCTGAGCAGCTCGATGCACGACTGGTTTAGCCGTGGCTGAGTCGGCCGATCATGTCGATCATCTGCAGATGGCCGGGTAAAAATCGCATGGCTGAAAGTATGCTAAGAAAAAGCAGGGGATAGCTGCAGCCACTTGCCCATAGATGGTATGGTGAACTTTGGTAGTGTGAATTCATCCGTGGCTTGAAATCAATCCTGTTTACCTGCGTAATCAATCGCCCGTTGCTCTGCCATGGCTCTCATCGTCCATCCACTTTCCTCGTCTTCCCTCGTCTTCATTCATTATCTCATTCTCACCTTCTTCTAACTACTTCCTCACATATTCGTCGGTAAGGAGGTCCGCACCGTAGCCAGACTTTCGGCGCCAATGAGATAGTCGACGGGCCTGTCCCAGCCTTCTCATTTCTTACTGCCAACCCTTCTTTGCGTCCATGTTTTAGCGTGTCATGCAATTGTCGATTGGGCTCTTCTCGGTCCTTAATTGTACGTCCTTAATTGTACGTCCTTAATTTGAAAAACATATACCTTCCCAGCATCTAGTCTTTTTCGCATATTCGCCCGAGGAAATTTATCCACTTCCGAAGAAACGTTCCCCATGGAGGACTCATCAAACGTTCATGTCGGCCCCCGACGGCTGTCTAAGCCTCGGACGAATAAGTCTTCCTCCACTCTCCTTAGTGAACAACCTACTACGCCATCGTCACCTCACAACTCCTCTGATCAGGACTATTTCGGTAGAGATGCGGTCATCGTGAACTCGCACGGCGAACGTAGAAGCCGAAGCAAATCCCGGGGCAGAATTAGAGCTTACCTGTATGGCTCGAGTCATGATGCCGTACAGACTTCGTCAGATGATGAAGAGGCGCAGACTGGAATCGCAGTCGCAGCGCGCGACGTCAAAAATCGGTTATCACGCACAGGCTCATCGATCATGCCGCTCCAGAGTGCCAAAGCATCGGCAACACGCCTTTCAACCTCCTCAAGTTCACGGCTGCTTTCCACATGCTCGACAGAGTCACAAGGAATGGACCCCGAAGAGGCGGCCATGATCGCGGACCAGATCAAACAAAGAGCCTACCATGATAGCCTAGCGGCCCAGAACCACGTCTCTACGCCGGTCGACGAAGATAGGCACGTTGACTCAGTCATGGCTCCACTCCGTAGGAAATCACTTTATACACCAGGCATAGCCACTAGAAATGCCAGCGATATACTGCGGAAGCCTCCCAAGCCATCAACAGATCACGAGTACTATTACGACCCTTTGCGTCCCGAGTCTTCACCTCTCTCTCATCTTGCAACAGTGAACATGGGTGAAGATGGTAGACGTACCCCTTCCGATCTTCAATATTCTCAACTAGGAGGACTGCAATTGGGCACATTAAGGGTTACAAATGGAGCTAGTTCGCCGGTACCGGGGGATCATCCCCTAGACTTGGCATGTCGCTCAGCAACACCCGAGGCCAAAACGCACGACGAATACTACACAGCATCTGAAGGAAGTGTGACTGGGGACGGGGACCATGCCACACCTCTACCCTCTGGTGGTGGGAGTCCCTTGAAATATGAGAGCAAATTTAGGCCTAGCATGCGAACAGACAGTCGAGTCACAAGCAGCCCCGAAAAATCTTCACCTTTCGAGAGGGAAACATCGAATGAATCTTTTCCTTTCTCAAGGGAATCGGCCGATCAAGTGGCTTGTTCTGACAGGGGGGCAACCGATCAGTCAGCTCGTTTTAGAAGGGAGACACCCAGCGACATACTTCGCTTGGCGGATGGGTCATCGAATGAATCATATCCTTTCAAAATGGGATCATCCAAAACCTGCCCTGCTGAAGCAACGAAACCCAGCAGTCTTTTTCCTCTTAAAAGGGAAACACCTAACAACTCTTTCTCTTTTGAAAATGAATCACGCGATGAAATTGAGCACTTCGAAAGGGAAACATCGAAAGAATCTTTTCCCCTTGAGATGGGGTCAATCAAAACTTGTCGTGTCAAGGGGGAAATACGAAATGAATCTTTCCCTTCCAAAAACGAAACACCCGACGAACTTGTGCGCTTCAAGGGGGAAACATCAAGCGATTCATTCCCTTTTGAGGGGAGGTCATCCAAAGCCCGTCTTGTTGAGGGGAGGACGCCCGACGAGCGCTCTTGTTTTGGGGAAAATCCCCCAAACGGCGCCTCAGATATAGCAGATGAATATATTGCAGAACTTGACGGCGGTCCGTTCTCTTACCCACCGCTTGAAGATAAGAGGGGTATCGAACCACATTTACAGCATCCCGCAAAGGAAACGTGGAGGTCATTCATCAACGATGCTGAGGTGCAGCATGCTGGTAGTAACAGCAGCTCAAGGGAAGACGCCCTTCGAAAACTCACTGTAAATGGTAACATCTCATCGACGTGGAGACCCGAACCTCTCTCCGTCCCGTCCTCTCAGCCTTCGAGATACAGCACCTCTTCAGAAAAGCCTCAAACAGACAGCGGATACTGTTCGTATGCTTCATTGACAGGGGCTCCTGCTGATCAAGCTTGCTTTAGAACGGGGGATAATCCAATTCCTTCTATCAAGGTCTCGGCTTCACCCCCACCTCAGGCCGTTGAGACTGTCAGATCTTCCGCTCGATCTTCCTTTCATCGGAATCCAATACGCAAGCTCCAGAAACAAAGACCGAAGTCACAGCCTCCGCCCGTGAATCTCATCACAGGATACCACGAGCTTACAGATGCGAACATACCTCGTATACCTTCACTCATTGCCGCGAGGCACGCAAACAGGCTCAGCCAATTCCCCCTTCTTGAACATACATTTCCAAGCTCGCAGCATACAACTGCAGATAGAACCTCGTCTCCGGTCCAGGCTCATAACACGCCGGTTCGGTTTCCGTCCCCCGCAAATGCTCTTGAAGCGGCCTCTGAACCTTTTGGACCATTTTCGACAGCTTCCTCTAAACCTCGAGCCAGTACGAATGTTGTCGAAGATGAATGGGGTCCTTCGGATCTGGTAAGATCCCCTAGCTGGTCTGAATTTGGCGGTGGCAGAGGAAGGAAGGAGCAGAAGAAGCTGGCTAAAGAAGAGAAGGAAACGGACAAAAGGCTTCTGAAAGAAGAAAAAGAATTGGAAAGAAGATTGCAGAAAGACAGAAAGGACCTCCAAAGGCAAATTAGAAAAGACGAGAGTAAGCAGAGGTCCACTCGCTCTCGCTCTGTTTCTAGAACAAGAGCGAAATCATCCGAGGGCCATTGCCGCCAGGCCACACTGGTAGCGATCGCAGACTTCGGAACTGTGACCGAATCTTTGGGGTATGTACGTTTTGTAGCTGTTTCTCCCTAATTGAGACCAGCATTTGGGTCGCAAAGCATGTTTCTGGAGTAAAAAGCCCATTTGAACCCCTGGGATTGTCTCACAAACAGGGTCTCTACTCTCGAAAAAATATCGCTTTGCGACTAGGAAGCCTAGTCTGACACTGGAGTGGTCTTGTAATGCGAGTTTTCACCCCAGAAAGACAGTTCTGAGAGCAAGAAGCCCAGTTCGAATCTTTGGATTGTCTCACAACCCGTACTTTTACCTTGAGAAAGGGATGCTGACTCCGAAACTTGATATAGTAATAGCCCGTATGACATCGCAACATCGATGTTCCCCAACCCATCGCAAAATGCCAGCAATTTGCATCCTCATCAGATTAGTACTGCTATGCCAAGACCAAAATCCTTGGTTGGCGCGAGAGTGCGTCCTCGAAGCATGTTTACGGACGCGGTACCAGCCTTGGCTGCAGTGGATATCAAGGCGCACGAGCTGAAATGGGCCCTGGGCCGTCGAAGGAGTCAAAGCTTCTCGGTAGTAGGGGCGCACAGGCCTGAATCGTTCAACGACCGTGGAGGAATTCCAGGAAAATCAGTTGGACCTCACGGCATCACCATGGATGCACCACCGGTGCCAGCGCTTCCTTCGGCGTCACAGGTCAAGCAACGGGAAGCGGAAATCATAAGGTCTCGTCCCCATAGTATGATAATCGAAGGACCGGTGCCAAACCCTACCTCCCGGGAGCATGAAGGGCGAAGGGCGGCTCCTTATCCCCCTGAGTCAGGTACAAGTGCTACACCGCGTAAGAGGAAGGGCAGCAAGGAAGTTCCAGATCTCTGGAGTAACGGATCGCTCGAAAGGAAGAGCCCCAAGACCGTTGAGAAATCAAGAAAAGCATCCAACCCTGTGACTGATGAAAGCGACGAGGCCTTACCAGCCAAGGACAACCTTTGGGAAACCCAGAGCCACGCCTGGTCTCAACGTCGTAAATCAGCCGGCGAAGCTCTTCTGAGGAATCAAGTCAGAGATGTTATCGATAACAAGGAAGCCGCGAATCCAGCTCCACTTTACGATCACAGCAACAGGCCCCAGTCTCTGGCCAGAGCTTCTACTTCTGGAAACCACCCCAGCCACCTAGTCCCATTCGCAAATGCGCTGTCATCACACCCTCAGTTGACGGCACAACAGTCAACTTCCACGTCAAGTACGGCAAGTTCCCTTCACCGATCAACTACTCAGCAGACGCAGCTGCTCGGCTTTAGCCCGGTCACTTCGCCTCCTAAGCCATCTGCGTCGTCATTTCAACACGGAAACCAAACACCAGATTCTTCCCCACGCCGCGCACAAACCCAATCATTCCAGATCCCACGCAAGCGTGTTGGCTCTGGCCCTTTTATACTGCGCACTGAAAGCGCCATTGGATCCAGCCGTTACGCAGCGATTCTTATCTGATCCGAGCTTGGTGTAAGTGCTGGCATGATGAATGCTGGGGCCGAGGTGAAAAGGAAGAGCATTGAGGTATGCAGAGGATTGAAGCTGTGAGTGGCAGACAGCGGTGCTGGCCAAAGGGATCCTGGATGAATACTACGTGTTTGATTGAAGAGCCAAATACCCTTATTGTCTGTCCATGATGACTGCATATACGGGTGAATAGTAGTAAATACACTGTCGTCCTCACTTGTACGTAGAAGACTTTAGAGCGTAGTACCCCTCGAGGCTTAGCAGTGGGCCCTTTCCGTGACCTAGAACAAAGTCCCTTCTATGCTAATATCATACTGGGCAAAGATGTGCCGTCTGATGCCTGGATCCCTCGATCGACTGGGTGTATCACATTGTGAAAGATTGCGGACTCGAGCTGGAGTCTGATCGAACATGGCGTGTCTCTTACTTCCTCTCGGACTGATCCTCGCCTGCACCGGTAACATTGCCTATTGTCTCGGTGCTTGCTCGGTCTACTTCTGCGCCCCGGTCATCGGCGCTGGCGACCGTAGCAAGCAACTCGTCAATCTTGCGCTCCAGAGCTGTGAGCTGTGTCTCCATTGCTGAAGCTGTTCTCTCGCCCCTAGCGCCGACCGATTCACCGATCAGCTGGATTGGCATTGTGGTGCGAATGATAGCGGGATGCAGATGGTGACCACTTATTATTGTGGTCCGGATTGCAGACGATAGCCACCACGGGACTTGATCGCGGGGAAGAAGCATACTTTGCTAGTTCTTGGAAAGCCTAAAGTACGGTGAAGAGGTTGGTAAGCAGAGATAGGATGGAGCAAGAAATGAGATTTGCCATACTCGCGCAAGATCAGCATCAGCATCAGCATCGCCCGGAGACGCCGGAAGGCGATTGATAGGAGGCATGGCTATTTTTCTCGCGTGGTCAGCGAGGAGAGTAAAAGATTCTAGCACTCTAATGTCTGTAGAGTAAGGTATGTACTCCACTTTGTACTCGAAGGTATGACGGTGACGTGAGTGAGTACCTTGATCAATTTAATCTAAAATCCCGATCTACTCGTGGATTCCAGAAATGAGTTACTTGATAGAGCGAGGACACCATGATCAGCGACATGCCGCTGAGTGGAAATATCTATTGGTGTCCTCGCTCTATCAAGTAATTCACTTCTGGAATCCACGAGTAAGCACTTAGGCCCCTTTGGATTCATTTTCCACATTTCCATTTAGGGTATGAAACACGTACTATGTTTGGTAACTAGATTCTCGTATTGATTGCTTATAATCAATTTCCTATTGCAGAGTCAATGTACGGGTTGTGCTAGGCCTGTTGGGCTAATAGGTTATAACTGTTTGATGGAGGATTGCGTGTCGGGAAGCGTTTTGTTGTTTTCTGCTGCTGTTTTCCTGTCCTATGATAAAGGCGTCGTAGGTGGCTCTCGGGGCTGCCCCTGGACGTCTCCAATGGCTCCTTGGTTCGGCTTGGTATGGAGGTTTTGGCCAGCCGGTACCTGCTGGAGTGGTTGCTTGGTTTGGGTTTTTGTTTCAGTGGATTGTGGTCGTGATCGTATGTGCCCGTCTTTTTTTTTTTTTGTGGGTTTGATTTTATTGGTGGTTGGGTAATTTAAGTGGGCCCTTAAAGCCGATGCGATCGATTCATAGGGTGAGGACCTTAGGTAAAAATGCGAATTGATGAAATGGCATGCCTCTCCGACCGACACTCTTTCTCATCAAAACCTGCGTCAGGGCATCAGCGCTCCAGATGTTGGAAAAGGGCGGGTATTCGGAATCGGGTATCGGAGATGGATAGGAATCGTCTTATGAGAATTGTGAATTCCGATTGCTCGATATCAATTCCGATTGTGGGGTAAAGGCAAAAAGGCAAGGTACGTACTACTGGTGAGTGGTGAGTGGATCGAGAATGGGAAATCGACGATGCAAAGCGATGGACGTTGCAAATTGTGATGCCAACAACTACTCTGTAGTCAACAGCCCGACATTCCAGAACAAATCAGGGTCCGAGGGTCCAAGGGTCCAAGGGGCCAGACAGAATCAAGGAATATACAGCCAATGACTTGCTGAGTATGACCTTTTTCCCTGACCTTCCCTTTCCTCTCTTTTATTATTATTATTACCTATTTTATCTCCCGGCCTAGTCGTTAAGTCTTTTGCTTTTCTTCCGCAAAATAATGGATTTTACTACCTTACTACCTTACTACCTTACCTTACCTTATGTAGGGCAAATAGTAGATCTACGATCAAATCATCGATGCGCCAGGCATTTGCTAGATGAAGCTGCTGTCTCATGCACTATCATCATCCCTATCATTTCTCCGCATTCTTATTTCCATTTTCCATTTTCCACTTTCCACTTTCCACTTTCCACTCTTTGCCACCAATCTGTGCATGGACATTATTATCAATTCATCGTCATTCCCTTCCCATCCCCATCCTTCCACCTTCCCTCACTCTCTCTTCCCTTTGATCAGTCTCAACAACCTGATGCTAATCTGCACACATCATTGCTCTTCATCCACCCACTTACCCTTCCATCCTTCGAGTCCGCAACGTCAGCGCTGAGCCTTGACACCTTCCCCCTCCCCCCTCCCCCTCCCCACTCTCAACCCACTTACTCCCTGGCTGCACCCCCGTTTGCCCCTCCATCATCTTCCAACGTACGACCTCCTGTCCCATTCAGTGGAACTCACACCTATAGTCAATCCATATACCATGGCCTGCATCAAACCCTTCTGCCCGGTTCAATGCTCATCTTACCCATAATTACATTTCACACACTGGGCACTTCCCACCTACAGCTGGACATTGGGGATGTTGGGGCTATCACGACTTCAAACAACCCACAACCAGACGTTCTGTTAAGAACCCAATACAAAGAGTGTGGATACAAGAGCCAAGCAGTTCATGGGACACCTGCGGCCTACATCTCTTGAACAAACAAGTCGGACATTAGATCCTAATAACTCTACGGCTCGGAGCGTTGATGACTGACCTCCACCCTGTTTTGTCTCGACTGGGTCTTGCCCAATATGTCGAGAGATTTAGCGAAGAAGGCTTTGAGACTTGGGAAACCGTCCTGGACATTACCGAATCAGATTTGTACGATCGCTCCCTCTACCTGAAAGTGCCTGGCTAACAGGTGTTTTTAGGGATACTTTGGGGGTAAAGCTTGGACATCGCCGGGTCAGCAACCGTCGAATCAGCGCTCATGTTAGAGGGCGTCTTTCGCCAGTATCGAGCTAACGGTGATTCAGGTATTGCAAAGAGAGATAGCCCAGACGCAGGGTGTGACTATGGAGCAATTGCATTCGTCCTTCAGATCAGGCCATCGCGATCATCGTCAGAGTAATGGAGGAGATGAGAGCAGGACAGACGGCCAGGACGCTACAGGCGCAGGGGGCAAAAGAAAATATCGGCGTCACCCCAAGGTATAGGCCTTTCCTCTTTGGCGTGGAGATGTTGCGCCTTATCCCACTTTGCCCGGTATTTGGCTAAATCGTTTTCGAATCTCCGCAGACCGATGAGAATGCGCCTGAAAGACCACCATCTGCCTACGTCATATTCTCGAATAGTGAGCGTCATCAATCATGGCCCCACGAGATGTTACTGATAGCATCAGAGATACGAGAAGAACTGAAACCCGAAAATCTGTCGTTCACGGCCATTGCCAAAAGAGTAGGTGAGCGCTGGCAAGATGTCTCGGCAGAAGAGAAGGAGCCATACGAGTCTGAAGCCTCCGCGGCGAAGGAGAAATACCATGCCGAAATGGCGGATTATAAAACCACCAGGTCCTACAGAGTGTACCAGCAGTACTTGGCGGAATTTAAAGCCAAGCACGCTACGAATTCGGGTATATGTAAATGTCCCAGTCACTTCGCTAAAGCTAACTCGTGACAAGGTGGGAAACGGCCAAAGCTCACCCCAGAAGAAACCCAGGAGAGTACAACTAGCAGTGGGAGTGCGGAATGCCAGCTTGATGGCATAGAGTCTTTGTCTGGCAGTAGCGATCTCATGCACCGGAGAGTCGGATCCGTGAGTTCAGGGGGCCTCTATTCAGCCACTAGTGGACTTCCATCACCTACAAGTGTTACTTCCGGGGCAGCTGTACGACGTGGAGGTCTGTCATCCCTTACTCCGCTCGGCAATACGTCGCCGTTGTCCGCGTCGCCGTCCACACCGTCGGCTCGCAGAGAGTCTTCGACTAGCCAACTGTTTCATAACTCTGCCCAGGGTCGGCCTTCCGCTGAAAGACAGGATGAACGAATGGCGATGACATCCTCAGGGCCAGACCAGAGCTATACCCGCATCGTGGCACTCGAGAGCAGGGAAGCGCGGAAATTGCAAGGACATGGTTCAGGACCGTTCATTGAACCAAGAAGGTCCGGAGGTCGAAGGAGCCCGCTTGAAAGTCCACGGCGGTCCGCTCGTGTTCCTACACAACCTCAGGATGTTCCATCAGATTCATCCAAATCGTCGATAGGTTCCACGTTGTTGAGTACTGGCACTGCTGCTTCATCGCTCTACTCGCCTGCCTCGTTTGACGGAGAAAGGAAATCTGCATTGTCTCTCCCACCACTCGGCTCGAATCCGAGCAGTAAGGGTTCGTCGTACGCTGAACCAGCCGCTCGACCAACTCTGCAACCACTTGCTAGCCGGACAGCATCATCGTTCGCTCCGGATCAGCCTGCACAGTCTCCATTCAATTCATCCTCATCCACAGGTATGAAGTTCGAGTCTCTTCAACTCCCACTACCATACAACATCTCATTTGGCCAACATCCGTTGCCACGACCCGACAGCGGCGGTAAACTGGCTAACCTATTCGATCTTCAAGATACCTCGCGGAAGAGGAATTCACTTCGCGATTTAAGTCTTGAGCATGAGCAAGGGGTGGCTACTCCACCGATCCCACAAGGTCCTCCCGAACCTCGGCACCCTCCGCATCATCCCAATCTACCATCCTTCCCCTCCCTCTTACGTGATGACACTCATGAACCATTTCCTCACGATGCGGATCCACTCGCGGTCCTTGCTTATGCTGGACGAATTGTTGGACGTGAACGCGGAACTCCACGACCACATTGACTGCCTCTACGAACTCATCTGCGATCATAACGGCACTGACGATCTCAAAAAGATCACGATGCTGTCTTGACAGCTCATTGCTTCGGCCCGCTTATGGCACATTCAAGGCAAGCGGCAGCTCCAGGTGTATAGCACTTTGGAATCCGAGTCGATTCATCGATAGTCTTACTTGTTTGCACGAGCTTTTAGCACCCCAGCTGATCCGGAGCTGCATCACAGAAAGCAGTTTGCACTCGCGAACGCTGCAGCGCTCACTCATCAAGCAGGTCAAGACGCTCAAGTCCAAAGCGTGCCAATGAAAAATCGGATTGTTAGTCACTGGGTCATATTCATGTGTACATAGTCTAGATACCCATGCTTTTTATGAAGTCACAAATTGAATGTAGGGATTGCTCACTCAGATGTGACTGAATTCAAGCGCCCATGTCAACAAATCGTCGCACGGCTTCCAAATATTAACGGTACCGTGAGACAAGATCACGGGTCGACGTTGTCCGCTCTCGCTTTTGCCTTGACGAATGGAGGTGTGATAGAACTACAGAGAGGCATTTCAGCCGCTAGAATTTCCTGATTTTGTCTCCCCTCCAAAGTCCTAGTAATCCTCCAGTTTCTCCAACCCACTCAACGACCCAATCGACCGCAGCTTTCACCAACCCCTTTTTCCTCCTGGTTCTCCCATCGCCACCGCCGCCCAAGCTCCCTTCGCTTGTGCCTAGACTGCCCCCAGTGGCGTACTCACTGCCCATACTCGGGAGCACGTTCTCACCCGCGCTTAGCGAGACGAAGAGGGCGAACGGGACTAGCCAGACACAGATACCGAAGTAGGACGCGATTTCGGTGAAGGTGGGCATCTCGGGACGGTCGTAGATGGATGATGGATAGCGAGACGATGAAGAGGGCGACGGGGGAGTAGAGAAGTGGCGGAACCAGAGGAAGTGGTTGGCGAGGACGAGGACTAAGTATTCCGTCAATTCGACGCACTCGGACAGGGGCCGCGGGTCTCGGGGCAGCTTGCCGCAGGAAAGGATGAAGACGGGATCGGTCAGTTTGACAATGGGGAAATGGCGCAGGTTGCCCATGTAGACGCCATGGCTGGCTATGCTCACGAGGGAGAGGACAAGGGGGAAGCGGTCGATCAGGGTCAGGAGGGTCTGGATGGCGATGATGGCGTAGATGAGGCGCGTGAGGAGTTTGCGGGCGAAGACGGTGTGCTCTTCTACCAGTTCGGAAAGGTAGTAAAGTCCGCTGGCTATGAATGAAGAGGTTTAGCTTGGGTTTGCCACGGTCGGTTGATGGGGGAAGAGGAAGAGGAAGAGGAAGGGGAAGAGGAAGAGGATGATCATGTAGGGGCCATTGTATATACCTATGGCAAGGGTAAGGAAGCCAAAGCCGAGCAACACTCCTGTATAACCGACAAGAGGGAGTATCCACATGTCGGGATGATGGGCAACGTGTCCATGAACGCCAAGGTTGTTGAAGCTTGGGAATGCGGAGCCATGACACTCGCGGGTGCTTCTAAACCTCAGCCAACGCTAGTGTACAGTACCGGAGAGCCATTAGGCCGACCCAGCCACATTCCCTGATTAGTAAGAGATTGCAGTAGTAAATAGGGGACACGTCCTGGCTGATCTTACCGTCTTCCCCATACCTCGCTGTCGCCACCCTCTGCCCTCCCACCCTCCCACACCTCGCTATCGTCAAATCTTCGCGTATACCATTCCCAATAGCCTCAATGTCGTACCCCCGCCTCGTGCGCCAGCCCCCACAGTATGGGGGCTTTGAGGATACCCAGGAGGGCTCGATCGGTATGGTAGCAACCCCGAGGGCATTGATCGAGACCGCACCCCGAAAGCAGAGTACTCGGACGAATTTTTGCCACTTAAGGAAGAAGATAGTGGCTCCACAGCGATGGCGAATGAAGCAGGCCCACCTATTCTGACGCGTCCAGGTCACCGTCGCCCCCTCGAAGCCCTCTACCTCCCCTCCTCCCACAAACGCAAGGCGTCTACCTCCCTAGACGAACGGAAAGAACATCCCTAAAAGGGTAGCAAGCGTAGCAAGCCCGCCCCAGTGATACCCCCGGAGCTGGCGTCAACAATGCTGAAGCTACCCTCATACCCCAGAGACGCGTCAAGCTGCTTTCTCGTTAGGCACACCTATTTGCTGGACGTCCGCGAGGTACTCGATGAGATTAAGACGAAGTTCTACGAATTGGAAGCGGGTACTGTGGACTGGGAGGATGACGTGAGGGGCGAGTTTCCGCTCAGTGGGTGGCTATGTTACGTCAAATGACGGGCCCTATTCGACAGTAGGGTGCCCAAGAGGCCCTGAAGGAGCTCGCTAATGATGGGCATGATATAGCCAGATTAGAGGTGCCTCCGGGGTGGCATCGCATAGAGGATGCGGAGTAGATAGCCCTCCAATGGAACCCCCAATGGAACCCCTCCTCTATGGCGACAGCGAGGTGTCCCTGAACCCCCATAGTAGACTGCCAACTCCGCTGCATCCCTCATACAAATTCCGCCCTGAGCGGCAGCAACGCCTGCGGGCCTCGGTGGCTATCTAGAAGCCTTCTCCACCTCATGGGAGGCGACAGCGAGGTCTTCCGAAACCTCCATAGTAGGCCGCCAACTCCGCTACATCCCCCATACAAATTCCGCCCTGACAGGTAGCAATGCAGGCGGACTGCTGAAAGCCTTCCCCGCCCTATTCCCCGCCCCATTGCAAGTGACAGCGAGGTCGCTGACGACGACAACGATGTCTCGGCGACGTCGCGCCTTATTTTGGTGTGGCGCCCATACAAATATGGCGCAGCCACCCTGAAACTATGCTAACGGTATTTTATTTAGCATTGGCTGAGGTATAGAAGATCCCAGCTCGCTCCGCTCTTGGCTCTTTTGGACGCTCGGCAAAAGAAAAAGTTTGTCCGTCCTTCTTCTCCAGTCTCTACTCTAGTCACTTGTAAGCTTCGATTGAATTACCCATTGTGATATTTTGGACACTCAGCGCTCCCTCATTAGTCCCACTGCTACACATCTGACATGAGGGTGACAATAAGCCGCTCCCACCATGTCTCGTCCAGAAGACACACTGTATGAAAAGCCCTACCCTACAACCGATTCCTCCACCCCGCCTTTGCCCTGCTGACCATCTGCTAGCCCTCCCGACCTCTTCTACAATGATTCCGAGTCCCGCAAGTACACTACATCCTCCCGCATACAGAATGTGCAGGTTGAAATGACCAACCGCGCCCTCGAGCTCCTCTCCCTGCCTTCTCCATCCCTGGTCCTCGACATAGGCTGTGGTTCTGGCCTCTCCGGCGAAATCCTTTCCTCAGTGCCACCATCGGACGGCGGTCCTCATATCTGGGTCGGCATGGATATCTCCGCTTCCATGCTTGATATTGCTTTGCAACGAGACGTCGAGGGCGACCTCCTCCTCGCCGATATTGGGCAGGGCGTGCCGTTCAGGGCAGGTACTTTCGACGCAGCTATCAGTATCAGCGCCGTCCAGTGGCTGTGCAACGCCGAAAGCAGTGATACCAGCCCTCAAGCTCGACTTACGCGCTTCTTCAACGGTCTGTATGCAAGTTTAAGAAGAGGCGGCAAGGCGGTGTGCCAGTTCTACCCGAAGAACGAGGCGCAGAGGGATATGGTCAGCGCGGCGGCCATCAAGGCGGGTTTTGGAGCGGGACTGCTGGAGGATGGAGCTGCGACGAAGAATGCCAAGGTCTATTTGGTTTTGAGTGTTGGGGGTGGGGCCATTGAGGGAGTGGTCGAGCGCATGGACGGGGTAGATGTTGTGGAAAGAGGGAAAACCAACCAGGAAAGGAAAAGAAAATCGAATGTGTTAACAAAAGGAAGTAAACAGTGGATCTTGAGGAAAAAGGAGCAGATGGAGAGGAAAGGGAAGATTGTGAAAACCAACTCAAAATTCAGTGGAAGGAGGAGAAGGATTGCTTGGTGACGCCTTGAAGTTTTCGAATTACTCGATGTTTAGCATGGCGCTTTGGGCAGAGATGCTGGAAGCTTTGCACCTATGACCCATGTTCTTCGTTGATAGTGATAGCTGTTGGCATAGCTGAAAGCAGTCATCAAACGCACTGTACTCATTCCAATTTTCAACTCTTCTCTCCTGGGTATTCAGTACTATGTACATCCGTCTTTGCAGAGTTCAGGCCGTTTCCATTTGGTCCAGGACAGACCTTGTGAAATCGTGGGTGGTGCTGTTGCCACCCATGTCTCGAGTTCTCGTTTTGCTATCATGCATATCAGCATTTGTAGGCCGATTGTAGAGAAGTCCTTACCCTTCTTTGATCACGTCATAGACGGCTTTCGATATACGATTCGCATGTTCATCAAGGCCTAGATGGCGAAGAAGCATTGAACCGGACAAGAGCATCGCTGTAGGATTAGCCTGATCCTTCCCCTTGATATCCAGGCCAACATGTCGACATCCTGGCTCGAATACTGCGACGTCACGACCCATGTTGCAGCCCGGCACAATACCTGGGCCTCCAACAAGCGCAGCACCTACGTTCGATAGGATGCCACCGTAAAGATTTGGCATAACCATGACATCAAACTGTTGAGGTCTGGAAACAGCCTGCATTGAGGCGTTGTCGACTATCATGTCATTGACCGTCAACGTTGGGTAATCCTGGGCAACTTGATGAAATGTATCTCTGAAAAGACCGTCGGCAAGCTTCATGATGTTCGCCTTGTGTATGCATGTCACCTTCTGCCTGTGGTTAGCAAGGGCGAAGCTGAAAGCGAATTTGGCGATCCGCTCCGATTTCGCTCTTGTGATAATTTTGAGAGATTCGACGACACCTGAAACAGATTGATGCTCCAGACCTGAGTATTCGCCTTCAGTGTTCTCTCGAATTATACACAGATCCACATTATCGTGCCGAGTTTTGTAGCCAGGAATGTTTTTGATGAGGACAATAGACGCATAGATGTCGAGTTCTTGTCGCAGTGCAACGTTGAAAGACTGGTGGCCAGACCTCTCGACAGGAGTGTGTAAGATACCTGACAAGGTCTCAATATAGCCTCTTCCATGCAAACGAAATTTCGTACCTTTGAGACCTAGTTTATTCCTCTTCAAGGAAGCGATTGACTCCCGGAACAGCTCCTCAGAATGCTTATCTCCAGACTCAACTCCAGTGACGTCGATCTGCTCCCACTCAATCGGTACGTTATCGGCCTTGAAGATGGTCTTGACGGATTCAGCAACCTCAGCACCAATACCATCGCCTGCGTTCTCGTGTAAGCGGCCTCAAAGTTGGAACGAGGAATGAAGCTCAATTGCTCACCAGGTATGAGTGTCGTTGTGTATTTCCCACCAAATTTGGTTGGCTTGAAGATATCGGACTGCACTGTAGCCATAGCTGGTGGAGAGGTCAGTCAATGATGAATGCTTGCGTTCCGGAGGGCTGTACTCCTTGCAGTTGGTGGGGCTGCGCGCCATGTTGATGAAGCCTTGAGGCCTTGGAAGAGGGACTAATGAGCCAACGCGGTGATTAGCAGCTTATACTAAGAAGCTTGAGGTGGACCTCACCCATACCTTTGGCAATCTTATAGGAGCTTGAGACAGCATTGTGATTGCTGACCTAGGAAAGGCGGATGGATATACGAGCGGAGGGGAGTTTTGCTCGGAATGGTACTTTAGAGTAGTTGATGCCAAGCTTTCAGAACGCGCTAGCAGAGGACTTGATTCGTTGAATCTTCTCATAAGTCATAAAGTCATAATCATTATTGAACAATACTCAAGCATGGTTTCGTACTGCCAATCTCTTATGATTGCGATTACATCCACGCTCAACTTGTTGATTTACCGTGTTACCGTACATCCATAGACAATATTCATGCCAACCTGATGTATTTTGGCACCTGTCTCTCACGCTGGCTTGATGTGACACGAGTCACTAGAGAATCACTTACCTGCCAAAGGAAATGTTCACCATTCGACCCGCTCAACTTACGTCGTCTATTCCTGGTCTCGTATCCTACGTCTTTCATTTCATGGTCCCTTAGGAGTAGCCCCTTGCGCGTCTCTCCTTCCATGTTCAGTCTTCCGCCAAAGTATGGTGGTATCCGTCTTTCTGAGTCCTGCTCTCCGTCTTGACCAAATCTTTGGCCCCTTGGTCTCTCGGGCCGGCCTCGTATCCAACAATAAAGAATCATGATTGGCCGCGATAGATGGTTCTTCAGAGCCAAGGAACCTTACGCCGTTATCATCATTTTACGTGGTCGCTTTGTTTTTTGGTCTAAACGAGTTTAGCGCTTGACACACGACCTTACCGGATTAGGGTATCAATAACCCAACCAGAGGCCTTTCATGCCACCTCGTCTCCGACATGAAGGGATACGGGCAGCGAGCAAGGAACCGCCTAGGTTGACAGCCCCGCATTCTATGGACAAGCCCACCATGGTCCTCCTTGAAACGCACTCCGAGACCATGCTTTCTGGGGGGAGTCCTTTGGAAGTCGAGGTCATTCCAAGTCCCGGACCTTTCTGCTCTAATGGCGATAGTAAAAGGTCGCAGACTTCCCCCGCGACCAGTAAAATAGACTCGGAAATCTTGTCGCCGTCATGAGCCCGGTGCAAAGTACACCTGTGCTATTGTTATTCTTATCCTCTCTGTCGTCATCAACAACTCGAAATTCTTATTGACAAACCAGCAGGCCTTTGTATATCCTATTGACAGTTGATTCTGCACAATTTGGTCTGCGGATATCCTTTCGAGAAGTGCTTTTCTTTATTGACAATCCTTCACCAGACAACCCTTATTGACAGTTCTAACGTCTTGAGTCCCTTGTCTGCGCCCTATAAAGATCTCTTACTTGCTCTCGACATCCTGGAATCTTCTTTCGTTATACACTCTCTTTCCATATTCCCTTCAACATCGATCTTCAGACATCTTCTTCAGACCACAGTCACTCACTTCAACATCTTACAACAAGCATACATCAATTCCAACCACCAACAGTGATCACCATGAAGTTCACTAGCATTATCCTGACTACACTCCTCACATTCGCCTCCGTTGAAGGTGCTGCAGTCGCAAATCCGGCGCCCGAAGCACAGAACTGGCACGGACACTGTTACCGGGACGACCAACCATGCTCCAAGCTGAAGCGTGCTGCCGAGGCCGCCGCTGAAGCCATAGCTGATGCCGAGAGCTGTCACGGATTCTGTTACCTCGCTGGTGAGCCGTGCTCGAAAGCCAAACGTGATGCTCTCGCTCTCGCAGAAGCTACCGCCGAAGCCTTTGCAGCTGCCGATCCAGAAGCTCATCCATGTCACGCCCCTGGAGCGCCCTGCTCGAAAGCCAAGCGTGAAGCTCTCGATGCTTGCGGAAAATCTCCACCCCCTCCTGCTACAACTCGTAAGCTGACTGACATCCCTCATGCCCTACTATAGATGTTTACAAGCTAACACGTCATGTAGAAGTTTCCGGGAGCACGCACGGGTTCTGCTGGGAAGCAGGAGAACCCTGCTCCAAACTCAAGCGCGCAGCAGAAGCAGTCGCCGAAGCTATCGCCCAGCCCAAACAAGGCCCTGAAACTGGTAAGCAGACCTAGTTTCGCGATACCTTACACTAGAATTCTAGATGCTAACAGGTCGCTTGCAGAGTCTGGGAGCTGGCATGGATCCTGCTGGCCTGCCGGAGAACCCTGTTCCAAGCAAAAGCGTGCACTTGACGACGTGAGCAGCCTCCTCGACAGAATATTGCTCAGATAGATCGCACCCAGTGGACACCGTCGAGACCTCTGCATCAGGAATTCCTACGGCCTCTCATCAGTAAAGCTCTCAAATCAACACGCCTGCATTTACTTCTTGTTATCCGCTAAAACAAACTTCTTACTTTCTTTACCAATAAACTCCATACTTTGTTCACCTTTTCGTGGTGGGTAGTCATTGAGCTGGGCTGGTGGCAACAAATTAACGATCATCAATCAGCATCGATCTCTTACCACCGAAAAGGCTACTTCTAACGTACAGGGTTACCCATACACACCATCAATATCAACTATCCAGACGGCGACGATTACTTTTGTGGAGCGATCGCAGGACGATAAACTTCATTCAGGCAACCTCAGTATTGGACAATCAGTGGCGGCTATGCTCTTCGCAACGGCAGATCCTTCATAATTTATAGCGAAAATGTATCTTGTCCTACCAGTCATACTCGAGCACTCTCAAAGATCTTCATAATTCGCGGGTAGAGAATCCTTCGAGTGACCTGAAACCTACCGTGAGCGTGGTGGTTGAGACTACATATTGCATATTACTTTAACTGAACAATCCGCATGAACTCCACTCATTCCTACAAGGGATGAAATGTGTCTACATGCGTTTCGATCTCAAGACACGGTGGACTATGCCGTGTATGAATAAATGCAGCTAGATTTATTACAGTAGCTAGCGGTAATCTAGCGGTAATTTAGCCGTACAAACTTTGTACCTTTCCAGTAGACACTCTGAGGTTCCATCTTTGACGTTGTTACAATGACTGGCCTCGTGGGCTATGGAAGCAGTGATGAGGAGGACTCCGTTGATGAGAGCCGGCGAATGCAGTCGAAGTCCCAAGTACGGGTATCCCCACCTGCCCATATTCGACTATTTGTCGGTTACTATAACTGACTGGATAGACCTTAGACACCCACCCAGTCGGACTTATCAGTATCAGGAGGCCAAAGACCACCGAGTGAGCGGGCATGCGCTATAATTTGTTGTTGGCGCTGACTCTAGCAGATAATACAAGGAATGAGCCAACTGCGGTCCCAGCAGAAGATGAAGCTCTCCACCCCGCGCGACCCAACGGAACCGTTCTTGGACCTCCGCCTCAAAAGGTGACCCCAGAGAGCAGCGCTCTTTCCGCCTCTTCTTCACCTTATGCGCTCCATCGCGCAACGATCCGTAGTCTGACGTTGCCTACCAAACCCAACCTTGATATCCCCCAGTCGCCTCTTGCCTCGCCCACACCAGGCGCGGACCACAAGTTTTCTCATTTTCTTGAACTAAAGAAGCAAGGCGTTCATTTTAACACCAAGCTCGCATCCTCTTCGGCCCTCAAAAACCCAAGCTTACTACCTAAATTGATGGACTTCGCCGGTGTGAGTGGCGAGCGGCAATACACAACCACATTGCCTCGCGAGCTGTGGAATCCAGCGGAATTTCCTACATGGGCTTACAAGGAAGAGCTGGCAGAAGCCCAGCATGGTCTTTCCAAGAAGAAGGGAGAAGAGAGAGTCAAACTTCAACGCGAGAGCATCGATTTCGTCGCCGCTGACACTCCAGGACAACCAAGTGGGTTGGTGGTGACAAAGGGCAAAAGAGCAAGTGCTGCGGAGAGGGTTATGGCGGGGTTAGGCAGGGACAGGAAACCGTCCCCGCAACTGAGCACTGCAGGGGTGCGAAACGAGGTAGAACAGAGGGGACGGACGAGTGATGGCTTGCATGCAGGAACAAGGTCTGAATCACCGAGGCGGAAACGCTCGCGTTCAAGGTGAACAATCTGGGAACATGTTTGAAATACATTCAAAGTCTATATTTGTTTTTTTCCTTCGGGTAACAGCATAGCACGAGGAAAGCGGAGTCACATGTCAGCTATGTGCGTTTCATCAAAGGGACCGGGCATTGCTCCTTTCCTTCATTTCTTGTCTGGTGTAGCCTAAGCACGTCTCAAAGACTTTAGTAAGACTGATATGGCTTTCCTCGGTCGTCTCGTTCACAAGATCAAATATTGCTTACAAGACTTATAGGATGAAGAATAGTGAACCGTCTTCGCGCACCGAAAGAACTGGGTGTCCAACGGTATCAGCTAGGAAACACAGTGACTTCTGCCCGGCTCGACGTTAAAACAATGATACTGACAGATGCAGTGGGACGGAGAAATTTCGTTCCGCGCGCTATTCCTACAAGAGAGATGGCCGTGCCAGTGGGCGACTCGGGAGGAGCCTCTCCTAAGGTAGTTACGAGGCCGAACCCGCCTTATGAGGCCGAAAGGGTCGACATGATAGGAAGGAGTTATCAGAAGGAGGAATGATTTCCATGGATATGCGATTTGAAAAAAAAAAAAGTTAGAAATATTTTTTTAATTTTTTTTAAAATAAATAAGCGACCTGAGTCAGATTCAGCGAAGACCAGGTCCAGGCTTGACACTACTGCGCCTGCATAATGCCGAGGATGCGAAAAGAGGTTAATTTGGAGGTGCAGCTCCAGTCAATGTGGCAGCTGCACAGCCAAGTCACTACAAGTCACTCTCAAGTCACTGCTACGCAGCGCAGGAAGTTGGAAAGAGGTTGGTGGAAGAAGGGGTGATAGGATACGGTAGTACCTACTGTATGCGCGTGCTTGGTCAGTAAGGTAGGTAGGTACTTAAGGTACCTTAGTCTCAACTTATTTTTCACGCTGCTTGAGTAAAATCCAAGTGCGACCATTAGTGGATCGGGTTTAAGATTCGGGATGTCGTAAGAGGCAAGGATCAGTCATGTTGGGCTGTCAAGATCTCACTCGATGACATCAGATACTAACTGCAAGAGGCATGGCTTCGATAGAGCGGCGAATTTGGTCCCTTTTGCTTATAAAGTTATAACAGCGGTTGACATCGGGCAGAGAATCCGGTCACTGGTCAGGGCCTAGACTTTGATGTCCACGCTTTCTCTTCACACTTCAGAAAGAAGCATTTCCATCGAAATCTAGACTGTCGGTGTATGGACGGAAGTACTGGTGGTACCTCGGGTCTGGATATAGTACTAGTAAAGGAAAGTAGTGTAGAAGTATTCAATACTTTACCTTTCACTTGTTGTGCTACGGACGAGACATTAGCCGCCCTCTCCACATAGTTATTGGCGAAGAAGGACATGCAGAAAAGGTTGAACAGAGTTTGAAGCAACGGCTACCTGGGTACTTAGGAGAGCCCGTCGACTGATGTTTTGATTCCTGTTGTATTGTTATCGAGACGATGATCTGATACTCAATCGTTTCGTGAATAGTGTGATTTGCGAGGGAGAGTAAAGTGGAGTGGAGTGGAGGGGAGTGAGAGTAGGGTAAGGTAGACTAGAGTAGTGGTAGAGTAACTGGTACCAAGATAGAGTACTGTGAAAGAGGTAGGAAAGGTAAAAAGGGTAAAAAGGGTTAAAAAAAAGGTAAAATAGGGTAGAGTAGAAAAGATAGAAAAGGTCTAGAACACGGAAGGCGCGTCTTGTCTCGCCCCGGCCGAGCCAATGATACTGAATCCAGCATGCATCTTGATTATTTCCTACTCCTTTGCCCTGCCTGACCCTGCCCTGCCCTGCCCTGCCTTACCCTACCGAGTACGGAGACTCGTAACGTGATTATTACATGAACTTGTCTCAACACTATCTGCCTATCTGGACCTTTACCTTTGGACTTATATCCGGTTCAGGCGCGAGCCGGTCCGCGGTGAAGCAATCGACAATCCATAGGAATACACCACCCCCCCCCCACCCGCGCCTCCCGCTCAAAGCAAAGCCTCTTCTCCAGATCTACTCTCACCATCTTTTCATCCTTGCCCGCCTGCCTTGCTAGGACACCCAGGAAACCCCAGGAAACCCACGAACCACTCTCTGCTATCACTCCTCCGCTCAGCCAGCCTTTCTTCCGCACCCAACTGTAGTGAGCATCTCTCAATGACCTACTCGTCACTTCAACTCGGTCACCAGACAGAATCACCCCAATCCAAGTGAGTGCCGCAAGCGCCGTTTCATACTCCGGCCACCCCATCATTTGACGTCGCAGATACACCATCAGCCTGCTTCACCTCAAGGCCCCGATCCAATGATACCCCTCCAACCAGTATTCCTGCCCCGCTTGCATTTGTCCAAGGTGTTACAACACATAGTTGCCTGATGTACGAGAACAGCGTTGGAGATGAACCGTCAAAAGATGAGTCGTCCAAAGACGAAGAAGAGTGCCGGCGGAGACGCTTTGGCGGACATGATGGAAAGGACAACATTGTGCGTTTCAGGTCCTGAGCCAGGTATAGCTGCACATGATGGTGACAAGGGCTTCCGCGAAACCGTTCAGCAACACTATTCTGTACTGGAGAACAATGTCGTTGAGCAGCTTGTACGGCTGAAGCAAAGTCTCAAGGAGGCGACTACCTATGATTTCTGGAGCTTGCTCATGGAGGGTATGACAAGTATTACCGGCGCTCAATACGGCTTCGTAACGAAACGAATTTTGGTAGATGATCAAAATTCGGCAGTTGAGATGCCACCAATTGGAGAACCTGGATCATGTCTGCTAGGCGTCGCCTTCTATTACAACGACGGTGCACAGCTCAAGAATCTTCATCGAGATTACAAGTACCTGGCCTATGGCGCCCCTTGTCATAACATGAAACATGACAAAGTGTTTCTGATTCCCGAGGGACTACAACAATTCGTCCTCAACAATCCCAACGAGTTTCCCTTCCCTACCGAAGCCTACCTCGGAGTGCCTTTATTCGCCGAGGGAAAGTGCTTTGGACACTTTGGCATGATGTGGACGGCCAAAGGTGTGGAGAACCTCAGGTTAGGCTGGGGCTACATTGAGCTGCTCTTGCATGCACTTGAAGACATCATTCTCGAACGACTCGTGGATGGACAGAGCTACGCCAAGGATGTTGAAAGGAACAAGCTTGGTAAAGTCATACCTACTGAAGCGGTCACAGCTGCACAGTCATTGAAGCCATACGCTCGAAGTTTGTCTCATGAGTTGCGAACCCCGATGCAGGGTGTCGTGGGAATGCTCGACGTCATGCACGCAACGGTCCAAGAATCTTTAGAAGGTCAATCCGATGCGTCCGTCCGCAAAGTCTTCAAAACATTGCGGGACAATATTGAGGTGGTCCAAGGTGATTCCCCAGCCCTTGACGACCAATGAGGACAGGCAATAACAGTCATGACAGATAGCTCACGAAGAGCCGTAGAAGCTGCTGATAATGTGGTCCACGCATACGATTTGAACATGCAAGTGCCAGATACGCCCAATCCGCCCAATGACGACGAGAGTATGGATGGGATGTCAACGGTCTCATACAATGGTAGAAGATCAAGTATAAGCATCGACGGGAAGAGCATCTTCTTTCGGCGAAGCAAACGACAGAGGACAAGCGACTCTGGCAATAGCGGCCCAGTCACCAAGCATCGGCACTTGCAGTCTCAGAGCTCAACACCGCGCGGAGAACTATCACCACATATAGCATCTCTGCGGACGGCCGTTGAAGAAAGCGACAGTAATACGGGTGGTATGGAAGATTTCACTGAGCCAACTCCGGCTCTCATTGAGCCGGAGAATGCATTCGAATTATCCGAGCCTGAATACACCGTGACTCCGAGCCTGAGGCACACCAAAGTCCGTGATCTGCTGCATATGACCATTAACGACTGTTTGAGAAATGGAGGGAGACCAGAGTCTGCAATTGCGGAGGACATCGACGGCGGTGAGATAATCGAAGTCAAGACCAGAAGCTCGAATGGGGATTCTCGTACCAAAATCATTGAATGGTCGGTGGATCCCCAAGTCCCAGAGACAGTATTAGGTGTGTGACCACAAAGTTTATCTTGTTTTACATAGTGCTAATTGGATGATAGTCGATGAACGGGATCTATTGAAATTAGTTTCCTGTATTTTCATGAACGCCGTCAAATTTACGGAGGAGGGCAGAATATCACTGAGGGCAACCCTGACTCCCAAAGCTAAATTCATCGTTATCAACGTGGTCGATACAGGTCCTGGTATTCCCCAGGCCTTCCAACCTTATCTATTCAAGGCTTTCTCTCGAGAAGATGACTCCCTCACACGGCAAAAGGAAGGCTTAGGCCTAGGGCTGATGGTTGCCAAGGGTCTTGCCCGCAGAATTGGCGGAGACCTGCAATGTGTAAGGACTGATACCGACGGTCCTCGACGCGGTTCTGAATTCGAGCTTCGAATACCGCTTTCCTACACAGATCCGGACAGCAGGGCAACATCTCCAGGCCGCGCGTCTACACCAGCCCGTCTTCCTGCTAGCGAACCCATTGCCAAATCTCGTGCCCGGCGAACATCCTCCATAGATCATCGGCGCACGTCCCGCAGCCGCCATACTCCCACAGCTAGCAAGACACCCGACCTTTTTGAATTCAAGGCCACCTCGCCCCTTGGCCCTTCATCGTTTTCCCGTCGTAATAGCCTCTCTCAACAAGCCCAAGTTACCCCTTCCCGCCGGCCTTCGACAAAGAAATCACCAACGTTTGATCGCCACCTTGCTAAGAAGCATCCTCTTACTTTTTTAGTTGCAGAGGACAACAAAATAAATCGCAAGCTCCTCGTAAACATGCTTGGGAAACTCGGTTACACAGGCGTGCACGAAGCCTACGACGGCGCCGAGGCCGTGCGTCAGATGAGCGTTGACAGGATTGCGCGCGGCGAGAAGCCCATAGATGTTGTTCTGATGGACTTATGGATGCCGAATATGGACGGGTATGAAGCTACTCGAAGGATATTTGCAATGGAAAAAGAGCAAGAGAGGAAGGGAGAGAAAGGCTTCGAGGAAGACGACGATGACGATGGAAGAAAGAGAAGAAAGCAGGTTAAAGGTGTTACGGTGCTGGCTGTTAGTGCGGACGTGACAGACACTGCATTGGAAAAGGCGCGGGAGGTGGGAATGGAAGGGTTTATGACGAAGCCTTACAAGCTGCTGGATCTGCAGAGATTGGTTTTGGAGTATTGCTCCGGCGATAAATGATGGCCTTAACATTTGAACAAAACTCTGCCATCGGAGATTGCGAGATTCGCAGAGAGAAGGGTCATGGCGAGGGGAAGAATCGACTATTCGAATTAAAGATACCCACATATGCTGAGCCAGGACAGGAACAATGAGCTACGGAGGGCAAAGTAGGCCGAGTTTGCTTCTGAAAGGGTGTTATTTCGAGAGGGTTCCATGTCCTATAAGTTAGATGGGAAAGGTTTCATGATTGGGATGCCATATGTCATGATATACCAATAAATATATACCAACTCGCTAGGCCGCTTTGCTGTAGAGTATCTGGGTATGCGTGGCTATTGGCATTCGGAGACAAGGAGAAGAGCTGAGCTCCCGAGGTACTCTGAAGAAAAGTCGCTTAGATCAACGCGACTAAGCCCAATACAGCCTAGCTACCCGCTTCACCTTCGCACGAAATCCCAACGACAAACCATCTCCACATTCACATCGATACAACGCCAACCTCACGATGGCTGTCAAACAACGCAGTGGAATCGCTGTTGGTCTCAACAAAGGCCATGTATGTCTACTCTCTCCCTCTTATCGTTCATGATGGAGCTGTGCTGTAGGCCTCGTCAGCTTTGGAGCATGGGAGCTAACGGACTTGCTCGAGTAGAAAACCACCCCTCGCGAATCGTCACGCATATCACGCACCAAAGGACACTTGAGCAAGCGTACCGCGTTCGTAAGAGAGATCGTTAAGGAGGTGTCTGGGTAGGTCATCTGTCCCACCACGTCTTGAGTACGGGAGCAGGAAAGCATCAGGTCTACTTGATTGGAGCCCGAAAGTGTCGAAACCTGTGCCAACACGCGAGATGTTGGACTGTGTATCCTGCAACAAACCCCGCCTGGGCGGCATACTGGCGGCTCAAGTCAAGGGACTGTAGCTGATCCGCCTTGACCAATAGACTAGCACCGTATGAGCGTCGTGTGATCGAATTACTCCGCAACAGCAAGGACAAGCGTGCCCGCAAGCTAGCGAAGAAGCGAGTACGTATTGCCTTCCTTCGACTCCTACCGAACTCTTTCGAGTATCTACCCTGCACTATTTGAAGCTTTCTAGACTTGCTCTTGGACGGGTACCGGCTGACACTCATGGCTTGAATTACAGCTCGGGACGTTTGGACGTGCGAAGCGAAAGGTTGATGAGTTGCAAGGTGTCATTGCCGAGTCAAGAAGGGCTGGACATTAGATGAGGGTGTTCGGAGCTGGAGGACTTGCGGACGCGATCATGAAGACTCCTGTGTGGTCCATCTTACGGGTTAGCTTGATGGACCGAGATGGTGAGATGCAGGTTTTGACCTTCTGAACAAGTGGAACCTCGTGCCATTGCACCCTGTGCTGTCTATGGCGGCTCGCTCGTGACACACAGCAAAGGCTTCACGGCTATCTATTCCAACTCCATGTAGATGCTACTTGCGTGCTCCGTCTAAACCATGCTCGCTAATGTCAAGATGTACCATAACGTCGTGCACCATCGCTCACCCGAAGAAGGCCTTCAAGATCCCCGCACGTACCCGTTGTCTTTATCAAAATCGTGCTTTGTTGTCACTTCTTTCCTGGCAACTTAAGCCATCTAGGCACGCCTCCCTTCCTTTCCCGCCCTTCGTCCTTCTGCTTTCCTTTTCCCTCGACCGTTTCATTCGCTTTCTCGACCGTTTCGACACTTTCTATTTCCTTGACTTCGATTTGCTTGGCTTTGTTCTGGAATTCGGGTTTCAGCACGCTGCCTGCCCTTACTTCACTGCTTGCTCCAACTTCCCATAGGACATTAACAAGCACGCGTCCGGCCATGCCCAGATCACCTATCAGCCTCACGTTGCCGTCTTTGGGTAGACTCCTCGGTCCCTGCGCTGAGCTGAAATTGAGGGAAAACGGCTCGTTCTCTTTCTCCATGAGGCCTTTGACAAAGTCGTAAAGTGTGGTCGATGTATCCAGGTGTGAGAATGTGCTGATCACCTGCATTTGATCTGGAAAACGAACCTTGATTCCCACATCTTTTGCATCCGCAGTTTTCTTGGCTTGGGTCTCGGCCTGGACTGCGAGCTCAGCATCAGTGGGGAGGCGCCTGTTGACGCTTGATGTGGCAAGACGGGCTTGATGCAGTTTGGCGTGGGCGATGGTCGGCTCATAATCTTTCTCGTTGAACGCTTGGCGTGAAGCTGCAGGTGTCGAGGCTGACGACGGAGCGAACACAGATATTGGGCGCTCGGGTGGGCCGGTTACGATCGTGTCTAAAGTTGGCGAAGCATCGGAGAGGAGCGCACTAGATTCAGGGCGGGCCTGAGCTTCATCGCCTATGGGCGACTGGGAAGAGAACAGAGCTGCTGACTGTTGGGAGGGCGGTTGTATTTGAGATGGCGATGAAGGCTCTTGAGGCGACGGTCTTTCGCGATCGTTGGGGGCAGGGAAGGGTTCCAAGACGGATGGACCAGACCCTGCTTTTGCTGCACTGGCCGAGTGTACACCTCCGGTCTGTTCGCCCTCAGCAGATTTGAAATATTGGTCTATCTCCACAATCGCTTCTTCGAGAGGACGCTCGGTTCTACGGAAACTGAGGCGCAAGAGAACACCCCCACTATTGAACCCCAGCTGCGCAAGAGACTTTTGCAGGTCGGCGAATGAAACAAGCTCCCTTCCCATGACTTGTACTACTGGAGTCTCATAGAACAGTCTTCCGGAACCGCTCGCCCCAGTCTCCATTTGTGGTATCCCGCGACCAGTGAAGTTCCTGCTGGGCTCCGAGCCCGTCGATCCAGACTCGAAGTGTCTTAGTAGCAGCCATATTGTGGTTGTGCTTGGGAATTTTCCCGTGAGTCTGTTTGACGCGCCCGATTCTGAGTCCGGAAGCTGTAGAGCCACAGAGACAACTGAGGGCGAGCGCGACAGAACAACTACTTGTAGCTTGGCACCTGAGGATAAACCTGAGAGCCGGATGGGCTGTGAAAGATCAAGGGTCTTATTACTATTATTCCTATCCACAAATGCACATTAGCATAATCTTGATCAAAGTCGTAGTGGGACCTCCTACTTAAGGCCATGACGGGAGGCGTCTAAGCCGAGCTTTGTGCATGCTTCCTGTAAGACGTCGGCGAGGTGCTTGGCAGGCGTTGTTTTTATGACAGCCCGGCGTGCGGATGAGTCTAGAACAACAACGTGGGAGGCCATAGGTTGTAGATTGGAGCCCAGTGGAACAAGTGGTCCTTAAAGGACGGGTACGTGCTGGCGGATTATCTTGCTGAGTAGTGGAACCCTTTGTCAAGCGGGCATTTCAACGGCCTGAATGTACAGGATTGATCCCCTGTCGCGTGCAGTGGGACAAGAGTTGTAGAATAGAAGAGAAAATAGTCTGTGAAGCTGGAAGTCTCGAAGTTTGCCGTGTGCTCAATAGGGTGGTGGGGTGGTTTTATGGTTTTAGGGTTAAGATGCGGAGAAACGAGAAAGATTATTTGGTGGATACTCCCGCGCCGGACGGCCAAGATGTTTAAAGTAGACTTTTTGGCCACACGAGTAGGGCGGCGGTCACCCTAGACCTGATAGGGGGTGATTTCGGGGTACATTCTGTATATTTTGGCATGGTGTTTCAGCTCCCCCCCCCCTTCCTCCAATCCCCTCTGACGGCACCACCAGCGACGACAGCATAATTCCCTTACATCTCGGCCAGATACCTTGAGGCAACGGCGATAGTAGAGAGCTACTCCTGTCGCTCGTTATTCGCAATGGTTTCACCCGACGTCCACCACCTTTTCCATCACCCAATCGCAGACCATTCCTTCTCCGCAGACAGGCAGACACTAGCTGTGGCCAGAGACAACAACGTTGAGCTCTACAGCAGGTCTGGGAACAAGTTCAGCTTGCAAGATGAGCTGAAGGGACACGACAAGACTGTAACAAGTGTCGACATTGCGCCGAGTACCGGGCGAATCGTCACTTGCTCGCAAGGTGTGTCTGGGGAAAAGGTTAAAGGTACTATGGAAAAAGGCTGACTTGTGGACTCGCAGATCGCAACGCATACGTTTGGGAACCGTCACCTTCCGGCTGGAAGCCTACGCTCGTATTACTCCGCATCAATCGCGCAGCTACATTTGTACGGTGGTCTCCATCGGAGAAGAAATTCGCGGTCGGCTCTGGTGCCCGGGTCATTGCAGTCTGTTATTTTGAGGAGGAGAATGATTGGTGGGTGTCGAAGCATTTGAAGAAGCCCATACGAAGTACCATCACAACTGTGGCATGGCACCCCAACTCGGTCCTTTTGGCGGCGGGATCTACAGATGCGCATGCGAGGGTGTTCTCGAGCTTTATCAAGGGGGTCGATGCTAGACCCGAGAGCAGTGTCTGGGGCGAAAGACTGCCTTTCAACACTGTGTGTGGAGAATTTTTAAATAACTCAGCGGGTTGGGTACATGGCTGTGCTTTTTCGCCAAGCGGCAACGCTCTGGCGTTCACTGCACATGATAGTAGTATCACAGTCGTCTATCCAAGCGGTCCTGATGAGCCTCCCACCGCCGTCGTCAGCCTTAGCACGCAACTCCTGCCCTTCCTGAGCCTGATCTGGAATGGAGAGAGCGAAATCATTGCTGCTGGATATGTAAGTAATCTTCATGCCTATGGGAACCTGCAGCTGACGCTGGGCAGGACTGCGAAGTATACAGACTGCGGGGTAACGAGCAAGGCTGGCAGATTGTAGGCTCCATGGAGTCGAAGGGCAGGCCCGGATTGGAGGAAATGCGTGAAGAATCTGCTCTGAACATGTTTAGGCAAATGGATCTAAAAGGAAAGAGCAAGGACGATACCCAGCTCAAGACAGTGCACCAGAACACCATCGCCACAATTAGAACTTATGATGAAGCTGGCGGAACCGTCAGAAAGTTCAGCTGTGAGTACCCGCTGGTAGTTGGGGGTTCAGGAAGAACGTCCACATGCTAATTCTTCGCAGCCAGCGGTGTTGATGGACGAGTGGTCATATGGTCCACATGAGATGAGGGCTTTGTATCGATTCCAAAAAGTATACAACGCATATCTTCCAGGGCGCTTCGCACTGATATGAGAAGAATCCCCCAGTCAATGGCCATTGAAGATTAGAAGGGGTTCATGTCGACTGAGGAAAAAGTACAATAGATAAATTCTGTCGTTATAGAACCCTCTGGATGCCAGAAGTAGGGTGATATTCTAGAAGGCGGTGGTCCAGACTATGATTTTCTCCACAGCCCCTTTTTGTTTCCTCAAGCCCATTCCTATTTATCATCACTTGCCGAAGCATACTTCATGACATGGTTCTCATCCAGCGGCCGCCTCGATTTCTGAAAGTTATACAACTTCATTGATATTGCACGTACGTTGCTCCGCACATGAGCGACATGGCACACCAAGACCAACAGCAGGAAATAAGAGACGGTCCTAGAGACCGTGTGGTCACAGCCTAGACCTTTGCGTCAGGAGAGATATTCGATCCTCCTAGAATCCTCATCCAATAGTACTTGGCTCCAATCCCCGACGTCAAGGAACAATTTTCTCCGCGCCCCTTCAATGCCTTCCCGAACGCAGTGATTGGCCCTTCAATATCTTATCACTTGGCACACTGACACACGCACACTTTTAGGTCCCTGATGCTGGGGAGAGTTTCTCAAGTCACAATTCTCAAGAATTACCCCTGTCTCGGCGTAACAGCCAGTCTATGAGAGCAGAAGAGCACTATGCGGGGCCAGCCTTCGAAAATGCTGCAAGTAGCACCAATCCAGTTTCTCTAGCAGATGGGGCGAGCTCTGCATCACCGATCGCCTCCGCAGTGAGCCAGAGTCCAGCGAGTGACGCAGGAGTCGACCATCATCCTGCAGCCGCTGCTCCCATAATTATCGAAAGTTAGGCGAACCTGCTTCAGACCAACGAAAGCATCTGCACCATGGTTGCCTCAAATCGAGTGCAGCTCTCGTACCAGGTTCCCCCCAGCATCTCCGCGCTCTGCCGCCAACGCTCGCCGATTCCAGCCCTATGCAACCGACGGCTTTCTATGTCGCTCTGGTAGGGGTTGGGTGAGCTCCCAGTGCTGTTGGCTAGACTACGTACGGATTTTCGGAGCCCCAATTTTCTCCTTCAGACGTAGTCTTGAGGCTTAAGACATATATTATGTTGGGTGTGTTTACTCTCGAAAATGATTCCGAGGCTCAAAACACCCTCTCAAATAAGCAACACTGACAGCGAAATTGGAATCAAGACTGCGCAAATTGCGGATACACTGTGGCACCAGGCCGTGGAAGCTGAAGATCACGCGGAAAGACTTGAAAGCGTGTACCGCGTGGGCAGTTTGTATTCATTAGTAGAGAGTGTAGTGAGTGGTGCTCTCGCGGCATTAGCAGGGCAAACGATGGGAGAGGAGGCATTGTACGTGACCGTCATGGCGAGTGAAGATCTGTACAGTTCGCTACTGTGGTAGCAGGCAAAGGGGGAGCTGGATGGACTGTTGGAGCAATTCATAGAATCCTAGAAGGGCTCATATCAGCGAAAATGAGCGAGCACTAGAAATGGGAATGGATCGTGATCTTATGGGTTCAGCAATACGGTGCTAAGTGAGAGGATTTGGTACGAAGAGACGGCATGGCGAATAATTGGACATGTTCAGATATAGAGCATATTACCAGTAGGCGAAGTGGTGAAGCGAAATATGATACGTACGAGAGTAGTTTTGTTGCCAAGTCCGCCTGAGTTGGGGGAGTGGTAGGAATCCAGAATTTCTTAGAAAGCCATCGCCGTCTTCGGAACAGCACAAGGGGAGAAAATTCATTGTACCTCAATTCTTGGGAGTACAGGGATTTGAACATGAAGATTCTGACAGTGAACTTCCTGACCTGTGCCGTCAAAGCATGCAAGACTTCTTCCCTTTCCTTTCCCCTCCATTTTAAAGACGCGGAGCTCGAGCAGTCGGACATTGAGTACAATGCTTCATTTCTACGGAACATCCTTCCTAGGATAGACTGGGAAGCGTTCAAAATTACTGCTAACGAGGTATGTGCCTCGTGTCAGCCACTCAGAATTTTTGCTGTTCTCCTTTGCATACATATATCCAATAAGTATGACCTTGCACCACGTCTATACTCTATCGCTGTTTCCTCAATCACGACGTCTCGATCAACCCTCCAATTTTTGTTTATGGAGCTAGTCACTACTCACCGCTTCTCATCTTTAGCTCGGCTTCACTACCGTTCCCAGTGAAAAGCCAACAATCTCCGCTCCCACGACGGATCTTTCAACTCCTGACATCGTCAACACGACCTCCCATACGGAAGTTTCCCACGACAAGGTAATGCGAGACCTGCACACCCTTCTCCTCGAGACCGAAGTTCGCGAGGGTAAGATGGTATGCGGCAATTGTGGGCATGAGTACAGGATAAAGGAGGGGATTGCCAATTTTCTGTTGCCCAGTCATCTTGGTGAGCTGTCTCCGTTCATACTTGTGATTTTTACTCTACATTTACGGCTTGATCTGCAAGAATCTGCTTCTTGTCTTCTAAGCAGTCAAGCCAATCTATGGAAAGGGTCTTGGCTCATCGGTTGTAGTCTGACCGAGCATGGACCATCCGAAGGATATTCGGTGAAAGTGCATGTCTGGAGAAGGCCGCAGATGGAACATTGAAGCACGCTCGAGGATATCCAAAGGTTAGACAACTAAAAAAGCGAGGTGTTTTAGCAGAATTCGAATGACGCTAGGGCACGGAGCCTGTTCGCATTCTTGACATATTTCTCCATTTCTGAAGAGCAGGTTTTTGGAGACCTTCTACAAAGGTGGGGGAGATAGAGATGCTTTTCTGGATGAGCAGTGGATTTCACAGGAATCCAAGCACCCTAAAAGCATCATATCAGATAGTGATTTAGTATACATTATTTTTCGGCGACCTCAATGCGCACGCTTCCAGATAGCTGACCCAAGCACCCAGCCCTTCCAGCTTGATTTTCACTGGAAGTCGCCTGACGTTTTTAGAAACGCCTTGGATGCTGTGATAGCTTGATGCAACGCTGATGGACTTGGCCGCCAAAGACTTATCTACCAACATGACGTGTAGATATAACAAAAGTCAGACATGAAGGAAGATGTCAATTGAGAAAGCCTTTGCAACGTGCAGTGCCACAAAGACAAGGTATTCGATCATCGCTGCCCCATTCCCGTTCGAATTTGTAGTCATATGTGAGTTCTTCATCTGAGCAAAGATTAGTGTGAGCTTCGGGGAAGAAGAGAGGTAGTAGAAGAAGAAGAGACCTACTTTGCCCAATGTCCCGGAGGGCATAGATGACAATTCGCTTGCTGCCTTCTACTTTGATGATCTTGGCGGTGCAATTTGGATCACAGCTGTGATTGATGAAACGTGCGATGCCACCGCGCTTCGTAGCGTCGATGACGGTATTTTCGTCGATTCTGAAAAGGTAGCTGCTGCCGATCCCGCTCTTCAAGTATTGCCGTTCTCGCATGTCGGCCACCTGCTGTCGCACCTTCTCGCCAACGTACTCTATGATCATGTCATTGGCAGCGATGTTCTCCATTGCGTAAAGTCCCCAATTGTGGATGGCAGAACGAGCAAATTTGACAGGCTTCTTTCGTTTCTTGAGCTGATTGAAGCGGATCGCGTCACCTTCGCCATTGGATGTGGCCAGCACCTGTTTTTGGGCGGCAATATCGGCGACGAGACGACGATTGTTGACACGGTTCGACCGTGAGGACGACTTGGATTGGGTTTTCGCCAACGCCAGCGCCACGGCTTCCGCAGCGGCAGCAACAGGGTCATCCTTCGCCTGGGCTTCCCGTTCTTCGCGAGCTTTCTGAACCTTGATCCGATGGGGCAGGTACTTGGACTTTTCCGACTCCAAGATTTTCGTGGTCCCTTCAGTCCTGGCGCAGCCTGTGGAGTTTGGTACATAATAACCGTCGATGTTGGTCTCGGCTCTAATGACGCCCCTCTCACCACCACGATTAAGCGCCTTGATCTCTTTTTGCTTCCAGGCCCATAGGGAGACATTACCCAGACTTGCCTCGGATCGATCAGCCAGGACTTGTCGCAGGTATCGTAGGTCTTCTTCGTCTTTGACATTATGCTGCCATCCGTCCAAGTCAAGCACTACATTCGGATCCTCAGCAACCGTGCGCTGAGGTTCCCCCTTCGTTGCACTCCATTCGTTCTCAGCTGTTGCTTGCTCTGTAGGTTCAATCACCACTTCAGGCTGGATTTCCCCAATCTTCGGAGCATTTGCCATTATCTCATTAAATTCAGCCTTGGCTTGCCGCTTCTTGAGGGCTTCTCGCTCTTCGAAGACCTGCTTCTTGGTCTTCTTCTTCTTTCCTTTTGTCTGTTTTGATGTTACCAATCTGCTCTCGGAATCGAGGTCCGGCGTTTCGCTAATATCTTTCGATGGATTGTCAGCTAGACCGTCCATTTCAAAGAACTGGATGCCTGTGACCGAAGAATCGATCTCTATTGTCGAAGAAGGTACAAGGACATTTCCGTCGTCTTTGCTAATCCCGAATAACTCTTCATCTTCCTTCTGCTTCTTTTTGTCAGCAATGTCCTGGATAAGTCGTTTTCTCTTCTTGGACGTTTGTTGAACTTTGCTGGCATCCCGAGAAATCTCCTGATCTATATCGGTCATAGCTGGCGTGACATCATCAGTATCTTCCTCGTCAGGCATCGTACTCCATGCTGAAGCTCTACTGTGCCGGCGAGTTTTCTTCGGTGTTGGGTTGGTGCTCTCGTTTTCCGACATGTCTGACGCAATGCTCATCCGGCTCGCTGGCCTACTGTCCTGCTCTTCGGTATCTCTTGTGAAAGTAGTACGCCGTTCATCTTCCGAATCCTCGTCATCGTCTCGAAATGTGGGCAAACGATGGTGAAGTCCACGGACTGCCATCTTCTTAGGAGCTTTCTGCTTACGCCGTTCATCTGTGAAACCAACGTTCTCTCGCTTACCACCGACTCCTTTCCGAATTCTGGGCAGAGTAGTAACGTTCAACGTCGAAGTCGCCAGGGGCCGACGGCCATTGATCAAGACATCGCTCCTCGAATCTGGCGTACCGTTTGGCGGTGTTTCGCTCATGTCAAATTTGGAACCGCTTCCTCTCCTGTCGTTCGGATCTGTGATATTCAGTCTCCGTCTTTTATCCGCATGCCGGTCAGGATCCAGAAAGTCATATAGAGTTGGTGCTGCAAGCTTGAGTCGGACATCCTGCATGAGCTTGACTTGGAGCTCAGTTCTGAGAACTTCTGCCGCTTCGCTGACGGGGTCGAGGTTCTTAGCTCTTTGCTTTTTTTCCTCCTCGAGATCCAGCTCATCCTCCCTTTGAACCCTTTCCCGCTCTGCCTTTTCACGTTGCTCTGCAATAGCTCTCTCAGGAGTGGGGCTTCTTTCGTAATTGGGATTTCCAAACTCATGACACTCCATGTTCATGATGTAGGTGAACAATTCACGCAAACGATACGCTTTGTAGCATTTGACCGCAGCTTCCTCGCCTCGTTTCGAATTCTCGAATATCACATAATACCCTGTCTTGTCGCACCTCACTTGCTCCCAATTCTCGTTCTTGAGTCTCTTCTTCAGATGTGGTACCGTTTTAGGCATTACAGGCACGTAACAATGAGCAATGAAGATATACGGATCGCGCTTAATTTGATCCAATATGGGCTTCTCCTCTATCGAGCCTGGGTAGTCGACTTCCGCAGCCTTTCTGGAAGCATCGAATTGCGAAGGTGGCTGTTGTATTGCAGTGGATCGTGGTAATGGCGTCGTTGGTACTAGTGGTGGTGGCAGGTTGGGCCGCACAGGAAATTTCGCAGAAGGACCTTTTGGCGCAGATGGAGGAGGCCCCGGTATCTCCATACTCGTTTCCTTCTTTGGCATTTCCACCTTTTTCTCTTTGTATCGCTGTCTTTCCTTGGCCTTGGCCAGTGCACGCCGGCCCACAGACCCATCACGATCAAGTTCAGCAAAAACAGGACAGAGACCAACCCTAGTCTGACCGTCTTTGCATTCTAGGTGAGCTTTCTTTGCAGCAGCGCTTGCAGATGTGGCCGGCCCGCCGCGAAGCGACCGACTGTCCTTGTATCTAATAAGGCATATACCCAGAAAGCTACCGTTCTCCGGATCAGTGTGACTAGTGATGTCTGCTATGTCTCCAAAGCTAGAGAAAAGATGACGTATTTGGTTGACAGGGGTAAGAGGATCAAATCCGGTCACCACGATTCTAATTGGCGGTCCAGGCCCAATCGACGTTTCCTTGTCATACTGGTAAGCTTTTAATGAGTACGGTGCGATTCGGTGGCGGTTCTTGTGCTTGTTTGCAGCTCCTTTGGTATAGTTAGAAATTCTTAATCGGGGGTCTGTTGGGGAAGCCCCATCTTCCTACAAAGAAATTCCATTAGCTTGCCCAAAGCCTGAAACAAACACGTAAATGTACACATTGCAATCAAACACACCTCTTCGCCAAATGGACTGAACTGAACCTGACGGCTTCTCTTTTCCTTTCCCTTCAGCGTTTTGTCTAAATCGGGGTCGTAAACGGCTTGGAATCCCTTGACCTCCCCTTTGCCAGGCCGTGCCGACAGCGCGGCTGGCAGTTGGGCACGTGCAAAATCCAAGCCTCGATAAATCGACGGTCCTTCCACTTGGTCTCGCGGGGGTGATAGTGCCGAGTTTCCAGCTGAGAGATGCTCATCATGAGTTCGCCTTTTGGGCGGCGAATTATTACCATTCGCTCGAGGAGAGGAGTCCGTGTTGGTGAGGGGCGTTAGGCTTGTGGATTTGTGTGGTTCATCTTGATGCGCCATGTTGGCATCTCTGTTGACTGCACTGAAGATAGAAGATGTAGTGCTCGTAGAGCTAGTGGAGCCAACTTCATGTGCGATGTCGCTGTTCGCAATTTCGTTCTCCTCATGCGTCAGCGAGCTTGACATTGCGTTGAAATGGCCATTTGGTGTTCCGTGGGCAAGGGTGTCGATTTCGCCCTCGCCGTCAGAGGGAGCAGGAGGTGCAGAAAGCGCGCTAGAGGAACAAGACAGGCCAACGGACGGGGACTGGTGTCTTCTGCGATCCTGAGAAGCTTTGGAACGTTTTTGTTGGAGCACTGAAGGAGCAGTAGGGAAGAAATCGGCAAAGCCCTTTGACGAGCGCGACATCCTTGGAGATGGTTTCTATCTGTACCGTTTGAGATGCACCATTTCGCCGCTCCAACTAGCTATCCCAAAAAATGTGACCGCCGGTTTGTCTCTCATGTACTGATTATGGAGGCTTGAGATTCTGGAAGCAGATATTGTGCGCTGTGGCTTCGCACGCGGTGGGAGGGGTCTGGGCTAACGCGATCACCGGCAGAGTGAATGTCAGGCAGATAACAATTCGATTGGTGGATTCAAGTCTGTGAATGAACCTCGCATGAGTGAGGTAAGAAAAGGGCAGCGAAGTCAGAACAAAGTTGGGTTTCAGAGGGTAGGCAAATGGCAGGCACTGGTCATGAGCAGCAACTGGATGTAGTGAGGTTACGGTTGCTTTCACATTTCCCAAAAAACCCCGTAATTTTAGCCGATTCCTGATTCCGAGCCGCCGAAAACGAATCAAATCATGGCGGATCGCCTTCTTCTATACACCTTCACGCGGTTTAGTACAGGGCCTTTATCCTACAGTACACGAAGACAAACATAATTATTTGGTGGATATGTCACTACATCAAAGCCTAAGAAATTCGCGCGGCGCCTTGATCAATGACGACAGCGGCAATAGTTACCAGAGGCCATCATTCTGGATGCTGCAGCACAACTTTACCAGCAGCTTCGCTCAACACGAAAGCAAGAGCAGAGGCGTGGACTACAAACGGAGCCTCAGGGCTGTTTTCTATCATCTGTCCTTTGCCGCAGAGGTCCATTTGACAGGTCTATTAATATCGCCGCTCGCGAAATCGAACATCTTCTGCATTGCTGAAGTGTATTAAGCTAACACAAAGTCCAATGGAAACCTGAGTTTGATGTTGAAGCAGAAACTATTCCTCATCTCGCCTTCAGCCTGTGACGACGAACAGGTCTGCCTAGAGTGACCACATCCGAGCAGAAGCCCCTTCGGGTATTTGGGAAAGATAGTACTCAAACAAAGATGTGGATGATCTTCGGATCATTATGAGGCAAGGGTTCGAGTGTGCCTAGGCCAGCACTGATTGATATGAGCAAAGGGGTGACATAGTTCCGGAACTTCCATTCCCTTCCAGTCGCCTCTGGGACCGGTATCTTTCGTCTGCAATGTCCGATATATGGGACTGGCAATAATGAATCTAGCCCTTGTTGCATGGTGACAGGTATTCTGTAGATGACGGTGCAACTCCTCCGCTTGCTCAAAGCTAAAAGCTGCCATTGGCGGAGCTGGAACACCATTTTCTTCTGCGAAAGGCACTGATCAACATTGGTGGTGGGTTCCCGTTGTAGTTTAGATGTTTGCTAATGCTGTCTCAGTTCTGTAAGAGTTGGACTTCAGATGTGAGGACCGAAGGTGAAATCAAAGCTCCCGGCTTTCCCTTACTGCCAGTTACAATAAAGGGAAAATTGAGTGCTGGACGAGGTCTTGATCTACGCACCGAGTCTAGTAGATGACGTGCTTAATAAGTAGCTGAATCCTGGAGATCTGAGGCTGTATCGCCTGCCGTCACACAAACTTCTCAAAGCTCAAAGTCCTAAGTAGTGGCAAAGGGTGACTGTCTTAGGATCACAGGGTTATAGAACTGTAAGATTGTAAAATTGGCCTACTAGAAGAGCTACTAGAGGAAACGGCAGTCCGTAAAATGTCCAAGGCAAATGAATGCATGGTCGAAGTCATGATTTCCAGAATTGAAAAGACACCTTGGGAAGCCTAGAGCACAGTTGTCGTTCTGCCCTTGGTCACATCGTGTTCCCGGATCTCTACCATTCAATATCCGGTATTGTCGTAAGTGGGTAAGGCTGGATACCGGCATGGTTGGTGCTGCCTTTGATGCAGCAGCATGCAAGCTCCATTTTGCAAGCGGCGCTACTGCAAGGAACGCTTTCGGCGCTCGTATAATGTGCATGCTATTTTTGGTTCTTTGCCATGACATTTTTGCTCCAGGACAGGACAAAGGTAGGTAGTCATAAACTGGACTGCGCCTGTCTCGCCACGTACGTGCAAAGTTGTGTAAGAAGACAAACACGAAAGCAGAGAAAAGGGGCAAGGTCTCAGCCTTCATGTCATTTGCTGGGCTGTTAGCGCGTCGTTTCGGAGTGACACTGACAGGGGTAAATCCGTCAAAGCTATAAACAACAAGCTTGCCTCCTTCACAACCTCAACATCTTCCCGACCAACCCCCTACCTTCTCCACTAGATCGTGTTGACTGTGGTCTCATCAGTTTCAAAAACACTCAAGTATTTACTTCTTTGAAAATCTCGCTTCAACACCCTCTCGTTCATTGCAAACATGTGGTTAGTCATGGCCCTGATCTGGTCTTTTGGCAGGTAAACATCCTAAAGCTGACAACATCTTTTATCTTCACAGCGGTATCTTCGGCTACATCAACTACTTGGTCGAGAAGGACCGCAAATACATTATCGAGACACTCGTCAATGGACTCTCGCGCTTGGAATACAGAGGATACGACTCGGCAGGTCTTGCTGTTGATGGAGACAAAAAAAATGAGGTCCTTGCGTTCAAGGAGGTTGGCAAGGTTGCCAGGCTTAAGCAGCTTATCGCTGAGAGCGAGCCAGACATGAACAAGGTCTTCGACTCCCACGCCGGCATTGCACACACGCGGTGGGCTACACATGGCCAGCCATCACGAATCAACTGTCATCCCCATCGATCAGATCCGAGCTGGCAATTCTCCGTCGTCCACAATGGTATTATCACCAACTACAAGGAATTGAGAGTGCTTCTTGAGGGCAAGGGGTTCAAGTTCGAAACCGAAACCGACACCGAGTGTATTGCCAAACTCGCAAAGTATCTATACGATGCGCACCCAGACATCGAGTTTCTCGTGCTCGCCAAAGCTGTCATCAAGGAATTGCAAGGAGCCTTTGGTCTTCTCCTCAAATCGGTGCACTACCCACACGAGGTTATCGCGGCTCGCAAGGGCTCACCACTTGTTGTGGGCGTGAGGACACAGAAGAAGATGAAAGTTGATTTCGTCGATGTGGAATACGCTGAAGACGGCCCTCTGCCTGCTGAGCGAGCTTCTCAGAATGTTGCAATTAAAAAGGCTTCGGCCAGTCTCCTCGCACCCCCGGACAAATCGCTCCTTCATCGCTCACAGTCCCGCGCCTTCTTGTCTGAGGATGGACAACCACTTCCCACCGAGTTCTTCTTATCCTCGGACCCCTCGGCGATTGTCGAGCATACTAAGAAAGTGCTGTACCTTGAAGACGACGATATCGCTCACATTCACGAAGGCTCCCTCAATATCCACCGTCTTAGCAAGGACGATGGGACATCCAATGTACGAGCCATTCAGACTCTCGAGCTGGAACTCCAAGAAATCATGAAAGGGAAATTCGACCACTTCATGCAGAAAGAGATTTTCGAGCAGCCCGAGTCCGTCATCAACACAATGCGTGGACGCTTAGATGTTGCCAACAAGAAGGTCACATTGGGTGGCTTGAAGCAGTACATTAGCACCATTCGCCGCTGCCGCCGCTTGATCTTCATTGCTTGCGGTACTAGCTTCCATTCTTGTATGGCCGTTCGTGGGGCTTTTGAGGAATTGACAGAGATCCCCATCTCTGTCGAGCTTGCATCGGATTTCTTGGACCGACAAGCCCCTGTATTCCGCGACGACACTTGCGTTTTCGTGTCTCAGTCGGGAGAGACAGCGGATTCCCTCATGGCTTTGAAGTACTGCCTTGAGCGAGGGGCCCTGACCGTAGGCGTTGTCAACGTGGTTGGCTCGTCGATCTCGCTCCTTACTCACTGCGGTGTGCATATCAACGCCGGCCCTGAGATTGGTGTTGCCTCGACCAAGGCGTATACCTCACAATTCGTCGCCATGATGATGTTTGCGCTCTCTCTCAGCGAAGACCGTTCGTCAAAGCAGAAGAGGCGCGAGGATATCATGAATGGTTTGGCTCATGTTTCCGAGCAGTTCAAGCAGATCTTGAAGCTTAATGACCCTATCAAGGCCATGTGTGCCAAATTCCTCAAGCACCAAAAGAGCTTGTTACTCTTGGGCCGTGGTAGTCAGTTCTCGACCGCGCTGGAAGGTAAGAGATCACCCTCCACCAAAAGCTGGCGAGCTTCATGCTGACCATAAAATGTACAGGTGCTTTGAAGATTAAGGAAATCTCCTACCTTCACTGTGAGGCAGTCATGTCTGGAGAGTTGAAGCACGGTGTGCTAGCCCTAGTTGATGAGAATCTGCCCATTATCATGATTCTCACTCGCGATGACATCTTTGCCAAATCGCTCAACGCTTACCAGCAAGGTAATTTCTCACATGAATTCGCCCTAGCCTTGAATTGTCCACTAATACTCCAATCCAGTCATTGCCCGTGGTGGTCGACCAATTGTCATTTGCAATCCCAATGACTCCGAATTTCCATCTGAGCAGACGGAGAAAATTGAGATTCCCAAGACCGTTGACTGTCTCCAAGGTTTACTCAACGTCATCCCTCTCCAGCTTATCGCATACTGGCTCGCCGTGGGTGAAGGCCTCAACGTTGATTTCCCTCGGAATTTGGCCAAATCTGTTACTGTGGAGTAGATGATGACGGTCAAGGGATCGGGTTCAATATGGTTGAGGCCAGTTCAATTGGACGAAGCCTTTCTTTGGCGCTGTGAGGGTGGTCCGAAAAGCATGGAATGGGATAGCAGTCACGAATAGATAGACGATTCGCAATGAAATTAAAACAGCATACTCCACATTGTTGTGCTCCCTTTTCCTTCCTCGTTCAAACGCTGTTGGCGGACGACGCAACTGGGTGGGGCAAGTCGAGATCGGAGTGGTCTTCCAAGCGAATTACGATTGCAATTGCAATTGGCCACGCTTGTTTCCGATCCGAACTGTTGATATCTTTTCATCATTTGCCCAGTACATGAGTGCATATAATGGCATCGCTGAAAGGCCCTGGTGAGACCCAAATTCACGATGGCAAGTGCCCTGTTCCGCCCATCCCCAAATTACCTAGCTAATGCTTCGCCATCATCAGGCTCCAACCTCCGCATAGCCATAGTCCACGCCAGATGGAACATACAAATGGTTTCGGCTCTCGTGGCGGGTGCGCGCAAATCACTGTTAGCTTCTGGCGTCAGAGAAGAGAACATAGTGGTTCAAGACGTGCCGGGCAGCTATGAACTGCCCTTCGCTGTGCAAAGGTTTCTTATGACCCCCTCCTGTACGTCAGCTTAAAATGCCGATTGATTCGTTCTTCCCAGAATGTACACATCCTCACAGATTGAATCCTCGAACAACCCCACTGGGCCCATCTCAGCGGTCACGGATCTGCTGTCCTCCGCTTCCTTGACCGACCTCACCATGCCAGAACCCACCGCCTCCTCTCCACAAAACTCGTCCAAGTCTTCGACGGCACCTTTGGCAACACCATTCTCAGCGATCATTGCAATTGGCGTTCTTGTAAAAGGCGAGACCATGCACTTTGAATACATTGCTGACGCAACATCACATGGCTTGATGAAGGTGCAACTGGATCTAGGAGTGCCGGTTGTATTCGGATTGTTGACATTGCTAAACGAGGAGCAGGGCAGGGCGAGGGCGGGAATGGATGGTGAACACTGTCATGGGGAAGACTGGGGCAGAGTAGCTGTTGAGCTGGGCGTGAAGAGGCAGGTTTGGGCGGAGGGAAAATTCTCATGACAAAGGGAGCATCCAGGCAATGCACGCTCATGTACGCCATTAGCAGGAAAATTGGTCCACATACGGCCTTCAAAATTGTGTGAGCAGCCACATAGGTTGAAGTATCGAAGTGGGAATCTCAAGTACCAGACAAAGCGCCGCATAGGCACCTGACGCATGCTAAAATTGTATTATTACACCATTTGCATCTGTCCAGCTCATTCCTCCATCGTCTCCCCTTCGGCGGCCGTCGTTTCCTCTTCGTCGTCGCCCTCCATCGCCTTCTTGGCTGCCTTCTCTGCCTCCTCTAAGATGTCCTTCGGGACCTCCTGGTGCCTTCCCTTGGTTGGTCCCTCGGTCGAGCTAATCCAGGACATCTCCAGCTCAAAATCTTTGTCCTTACTGTCCTCGTGTGCAACATAGATGATTCGAGCTGCTTCCCTCACGCCGGCTTCGAGTGACAGATTGCCCGATGCTAGATCCAGCTTTTCGAGTTCCGCTTTAGCTGCCTGCCTACCTTTCCCTGTAGCTGCGCCATAGTATCCCTGCAGACGTTCCATTAGTCAGCGTCAAGGTTCGTACGAACGACACGCTCACCCAGTAAAGACCACTTGGTTCGATCATGTACAAGCCCGGACCTCCAGCCTTAGTGCCTGATACCTTCCCACCAGCGCCGATGCTTGGCCCACTACCCACTTGTCCATCTACTCCCAGCTCTGCTTCCGAATCCCAGCCACCGACTATGGCTGTTACACCAAACGGTCTGACACTTGAGTAAAGTGTGTATGCTTGGACGTAGCCACCTAATCTACCGGCAAGAGCAGCGAGAGGTATAGGTGCTTTGTATGTCGACCGCCATGATGAAGCCTCATCTCGTGCTCGTGATACAAAATGTCGACCATCTGGGACAAGGCCTGAAGATACCTATGATTGCATATATTAGTTCCATCACTTAGGCTCGCCCATGAATGTGCACTTACCACACCGACATTGCGATCGACCGTTGCTATCCTCTTGTTCGCACCAGGTTTTAACAATTTGCTGGTTACAATCTTCTCTACTGCCAAGACAACACCATCTTTACATCGAATGCCGACGCAGGTACCTCCGTTCTCGACTGCTTTGACCGCGTACTCGACCTGAAAGAGAGGATCAGTTCCGAAAGGTCTGGAAAGCACGAGTAATCAAGGCCACCTGAAAGTTCCTGCCGTCAGGTGAAAAGACAGAATTCTGAAGGTCGTACCCCGTACCAATGGATGTCTATGTGAACGCTGTTAGCTCATATTCAAAATTCGCTTGTTCGAAATGACTAACCATGGCGACAGTAGAGGCGGAGATTCGAACGTAAAAATGAGAAGACCTGAAAGGAGGGTATCATGAAGCTGGTCTCAGCACTGGGAACGAAGCTGGGAGCTCAGGCAGGTGCTTTGCGCGTCGTTGCGCTAGCGGCCTTGGCAAGCTGCTTGGATCATTAAGCCATCATACCTTCTACCTTTCAGATCTTCCACGCTTTCCGAAATCTCCTCGATCTACTCACCTTGATTACAGCAGCCATAGATCTTCCACGCTTTCCGAAATCACCTCGATCTACTCACCTTGCTTACAGCAGCCATAGATCTTCCAGTATGGCGTCAATACTCGGCGCGAATCCAACCCTGACTTCAATTCCAAGCTACTCCTTCTCCCAAGCTTCACACAACAATGGGGCAACTGGTAATAAAGAACACGCCTTCTACCCGTAAGACTGGGTATCATTGCTTGTATGCCACCATCTAACTATGCCAGATACACAGACAATGGCGGCTCTACACTAGGCATCACAGGCAATGATTTTGCCATCATTGCAGGCGATACTCGTTTAACCTCAGGCTACAGCATCAATACTCGTTACTCCCCCAAGGTATTCAGGATCGGTGGCGATGATGAAACAGGAGAGGGTGCACACATCATACTTTCGGTTGTCGGTTTCGCAGCAGACGGTACAGCTCTCAAGGAACGCCTCAACGCAATCGTCAAGATGTACAAATACCAGCATGGCAAGAAGATGTCTGTCAAGGCTTGTGCCCAGAGATTAGCTACAATTCTTTACGGCAAACGGTTTTTCCCCTACTACGTGACGGCGATCCTAGGTGGATTGGACGAGGACGGCAAAGGGGCGCTGTACAGCTACGACCCAGTTGGCTCTTACGAGCGTGAGCAATGTAGAGCCGCGGGGGCTGCAGCTAGCCTGATAATGCCGTTCTTGGATAACCAGGTCAACTTCAAGAATCAATATCTGCCGAGTACTGGCGAAGGTCACGACCTGTTGGCACGGCAGGCAGAGCCCTTGCCAAGGCATGAAGTGGAGCAGCTTGTAAGGGATGCGTTCACGAGCGCGACCGAGCGCCATATCGAGGTTGGGGATGGGTTGCAAATGCTTGTCATAACAAAGGAAGGGATTGAGGAAGCGTTCTTCCCACTGAAGAGAGACTAACCTGGAGGTTTCACGACGTAGCATGGTGTCGACGAGACATCGCACTGGCGCAATAGTGTATGTATCTGAGCGCTTGAGTATGCCTACATGGACTCACAGACCTCGATTTAGCCATAGCCCTGAACCTTTCTACCTCGCCCCTGCCATGCCTTTTCACCGCAACAACTTCGGATTCCGCGTGTGCTAAATACCTGATTTTGGTTCTCCGACGCCAACTCCATTGTTGTCCATGACTTCTGGTTTTGACTCTATCCCGATCCACATGTCCTCATGCTCAGAACTGCATGCTAATGCCCTGCAAACTGCACCCTGTTTGCGCAAACGCGACTAAAAGCGTTCTTTCATACGTGAGGCCACAGTTCTCAAGTTGCCGTATACCTTGCCCTGAAAGATAAAGTATGTCAGGCAATTGCATTAAACAAGAGAGTAGCTGGAGACTTACCGGTGGACTTCCTAATATCAGGCTACCTGTTTTTGCAAATATATTAACTCAAATGGCCGAGGACACTGCACCCCTTGACCTCCACAAGGAATGCCTGATGGAAATCTTACAGATGGCTTCTGTTGCAATGTGGATGTTTCTGAACCCTCCCAAAACATGTATGGTCTGGTCCGCCAACACAACTCTAGTTTTACTCGCGTTTTCGATAGCGAACTTTGTCTTGCCTAGAAAGAACCCCGGTATCAGCAAGTCAAACAGGAGACAGTCCCGTCGTGAGGTTTTACCTCCTTTTCCCGCTATACGTCCAATTGCTCGATTTTTGTGCTCTCCATTCAGCGTCTTCACATCTTTGATTTCGAAGCTATTTATCAATTAGTCTCCATGGAAGCTGTGCCCATTCCGTTAGGGGCTTGGGGGTGATAGTACGTTTCGATATACAAATCATCGAGCCGCAGCATTGCGATAGCATCCTCCAAATCAAACCCCAAGCAAAACGCCCGCACAAAATCCTCGCCCTTCTGCAGTGCTCCTGAATCAACGGTATACGATGAGGTTCTCATTTCGACTGCTCGGGCTGATACGTTCATGCGCACCTGCAACTTCAAATGTCCAACAAGCGGAGGGTATATCTTAGGCCATTTCGATTTGAGGGCGGGATAACGGTGGGGTGGGATGAAGACCTTTCGTGCCTCTACTTTAAGGGACTTCTCAGCTTCTTTTGCGGGTGGGAACTTTGGGCGCCCTTCTTCGTCAACCTGCATTGCGGAATCCAAATGCTCAGCGGCTGTATCCTGTTGCACTGAGGGTGTGGCGCTGGTAGCATCGACCAGAATTTCGTCTCCATAGTCATCTGTAGCGAATTAGATAGAGAGCCAAAAACCGTAGATTTGTAGAATCTTACTGTCTTGAGGCAATGGTGTTGCCTCTGCTTCTGCAAGCTTTTCAGGCCGCCTAAGCAGTGCTGTAGGCGCAGGCATCTCAAGGTAGCGTAAATGTGTATTGTGCTTTTGCAATCTCGAGTCAAGATGTACTTTTACTCTAGAGCGATTCTGTTGTGCGGAAAATTAAGTCCGAGATCTTGCCGTTTCGGTGGGCAAAGTTTTGTTTTTCAACGGCATTATCGTGCTTTGTCGTTAGACTTCACAAAATTTCATCATCTCTTTCGGGTGAAGAAATCACTCGAATAATCATCGATAGATCTGTGACCATGATCACAAGGGAAGATTAATGATTGTCTGAAAAGGATGAGCAGCAATGTACGACAAAAGCTGTGCGCCATTGTCTGGGGCACGCGAGCGACTCTGTCCTGCTTTGCTATTCAGATAGCACCCTTGTCTAATGTTCTTATCAATCACAGGGTTTGGAGACATGCATCTGCCACCGCAAGACCAATAGCGTTGCCAGATTATGTTTGTCCTCCCATATTTCGAACCTTACCAAGATCGATTGGAGTTACGACCGCCCCAACAATCCTGACCTTGGGGCCTCTGCATGATTGGGCTGCATCCGGAATGCCATTCTCAAGTGGAAGAAACCTGGGTCCAGCCCAGCAGAGGTCGGATATCCAAGGCAAACGCGGCTTATTGGGTCTCCATTGGCGAGATGATAGGCGGTTTTCTACGTATGGCTTGCGCCGAAAAGACTCTGGACAAGAGAAAAACAGATCCCCAACCCTAGATGGTCCAAATGCGATACGAACTCGGCATGCCACCACGCCTGACAAGCCTGAACCCTCCTCTGCGTCCTTATACCCTGGTACTATGAAAGGCGCTGCAAATAAACATTTGAGGGACCGCCTACCAGATATCTCACACATCCACAGACCAAGTCGAGAAGAGCTTCTTGCGGCTGCTACTGGCTTCTGGTCACGACTCAAGGTCCGTTTCAAGTGGTTCTCCATCCGAAGCGTGCGGCCTTTCAATGCGGATGAGATTGGGGCTTTTTTCTCTTGGTTCTTACTGGGCCATGTCCTTTGGATTATATTGGGTACGACTACATTCTTCTCCCTTGCTATCTTTGCTGTAAATACAGTCTTTGCTCAGGAGACTTTGGCTCGATGGGTGGGCAATTACCTGACGAAGTCTTCTGGTGTCAAAGTGGTCTTTGAATCAGCAATCGTCCCCAAGTGGGGCGATGGGGTCATCACGTTCAAGAATGTCTTTGTGTCTAGGCGGCCAGGTCAGGGTGCTGGCAAAGTAAGCAAAGGCTCTCCATCAACAGAGGCTGCAGCTGCGGCTGCTGCCGCAAGCGCAGAGAAACTGAAGGGCTCCGGGGAAATGATTTCAATCAGTGCTAAAAGTGACGAAGAAGAGGAGGACGCAAATTATACGCAGTTCGATTTGTCTCTTGATACAGTCAACGTCACTCTTTCATTTACCAAGTGGTTCAACAGCAAGGGCTTACTCCGCGATGTAGAGATCAAAGGCGTTCGGGGTGTCATTGATAGAACGTCAGTGCACTACACAGGAGACTACGTGGACCCTCGGACCTACAAGCACGAGCATAATCCAGGTGACTTTGAAATTAACTCTTTCAAATTGGAAGACCTGCTGGTGACTGTTCATCAACCTCATGGTTTTCGGCCATTCTCCATAAGCATTTTCTCTTGCGACCTGCCTCAGCTTCGAAGGCAATGGCTCTTCTACGACTTTTTATCTGCTAACATAATGTCCGGATCCTTTGACGAGTCGCTCTTCACAATTCATCCGCGTCAGATGCACGGGCATGTTGGCGGTCAACTAGGTAGCGGACTTGAGATCAACGGACAGGCAACCCCGTGGAAGAAGCACAGCCGCCTGAGGATAGATGGCTTGAACATAGATCATTTAAATAGGGGGGTGGAAGGACCGTTCTCCTGGATCCATGAAGGGAACGTCGACATTGTAGCGGATCTAATGTTCCCAGCAGATAATGATGAAAGCATTGCCAAAGTCATGTCCGACTTCTACGATAGAATGGAGGCCACTGTCACATCCAGTCGACACCCCCAGAAAGGTCGAGAGTCGATTAGAACCAATGACATCGATGTACGCAGAGACGACGAATTGACTGCTTCGACTGACTCTGGTCCGTCTGATGAAGACAAGCGCTTTCTTGTGATGGACCTGAGAGTCCATCTTAATGATATCCGTGCCGCTGTGCCGATCTTCACGAAAGATCTGTCTTATGTGAAGAACGCTCTTATCCGGCCCATAGTGGCTTATATGAACTCGCGCAGAACCTTCATCCCCATCAATTGCCGTGTGGTTAAGCGAGCTAGTGAATTTGATGGTAGCTGGACGATCTTTGACAGCGGTCTGATGGATGATCTTTCAGCAGAGGTGAGACTAGAGTGCGAAGCTTGAATGACGAGTCGCTGACGTGCTGGTAGACCTATCAAGCCTTCGCAAAGGATGTCACAGATGATCAAGCTAGGCTGCGGCGTTTCAAAAAGGTTGGCCTATGGTCGTTGCAACTCGCTGTGCAAGCGTTCTTCATGGGTTTGGCAGGCAACTTCGCATAGATGGAGATGTGTCGATTTGCTCGTCAGCCCAATTAGCGCGGAGTTCAGGGGTTTGCTTTTTGTCGGCGCTGATTGTACAAAGGAGGTTTCTATCGATCGGAAGTCATGTTGTAGAAATATCTGTACATATGGGGAAGACTGGACTTGGGGTCTTTTTGCATGGCTCAATGGCCGGGTTGCATACTGAGTACTTAATACGAGATCCACTCAGCCATGCGTCGCGGTACCAGGGTGCATGTAAGGTACAGGCATGAAGAGAGACACCGTAGAGTTTAGCACTAGATATCCCAAGTACATACGCTAGCGGAGCAACGTCCTGCTGCAAACATATGATCCTAGTGCCATATCTGCACATATTCAAGGCCTTTGAGAAGACTCCAATGTCTAACTGACGTACGGCCTTTACCAAGTTGTGTAATAATCCTATTAGAGATGGCATCCTCAATACCATCAGCTTCGACCAATGGTTTTCAAAATGCCTCTTCGTATGACAAACATCGACCCTCCTACCCTCCTGAAGCCGTGACTCGTTTCCTCGAGCGCCTTCAAGTCAACGGAGTAAAGAAAGCCCGTATTGTTGATCTTGCAGCAGGTACGGGCAAATTTACGGAGTTGCTAGTGGGTAGGAACGAGGATTTTGAGATTCTTGCTGTCGAACCTCATAATGGTGCGTACAACTGCGAGCGGTCTTTCATTCATCTATACCAAGTTTTGAGTCTTGACCAGAAATTCCCTCTTGGCCCCCATTTACCTCCTCGACTCGTCTTATGACTTACAGAAGTATCGTGAAAGCGAGGTACTGACACCGAAGAATTGATTCAGACATGAGGAAAGAATTGGAGAAGAAGGGGTTGATGGGTGTGAAGGTTCTAGAAGGCGAGGCTAGTAGTATGGCGGGAGTGGAAAGCCAGAGCGTTGATGCTGTGATTGCTGCTCAGGTGCGACCATTGACTTCTACGACACGGCCGACATGGGCTTGATGCGCTAATGTAGGGCCAATTTGCAAGGCATTTCATTGGTATGGCAGAAAAGGCCGTTCTTATTGGTTCCTCGGGCCATTGCTGCTAATCATCCTCAGGTTCGCAAACAAAGACGCCCTTGAAGAGATCTACAGAATTCTCTCGCCCGGTGGAGCATTTGGCATGATATGGGTAAACCCATGAAATGGCTCAGGGGTTTTACCTCAAAAGGGCAATGCTGACTCTAAAATACGCACAGAACATTGAAGACTGTTTGTACTCGATGATTGAAAGTTGGCTGTGAGCCTAGCTGAAGGAGTCAAGATAACGCGCCCATGACATGGAAGCCCACCACCGAATGGGAAGGAAAGCTGAAAGATATCACATGGTCCTTTGGCAACGAGGATGTCCGCTTTCGACACGAGCAGTGGCGAAAAGTCTTTGAGGAACAGCTTAAAAGCACGCCATTCAGCATTCAAGCAGCAGAGCCCCTATTCTCACTGCCACTCGGGGAAGAATCTGTGGAATTCACTCAATGGCTAAGTTCAGACGCTATTTGGGATAGGTACCATAGTAAGCACCCTTTTTGGGTTATTTCTTCGCCTTCAATATCCTTCTTCGATTCTTAGGGCATGTCTGAGGAGCAAGACACATGTCCTTGCCCCAAACATGTCTTCAGACTCGTGAATTCGTCGAGAAAGAGAAGTGCTAAATCCGAAATGGTGTAGCTCTGAGCCAATTCGCTGTACTAGAGGGACAAGAGCTAGCGGTGAGTCGAAAATATAACATCCATGTGTAATCAAGTCTCCAGGCTTACTCCAGGGAAGGACGCGAAGAGGAAGGTCCTTGAGGCAACGGGAGCGGCAGACGTTGGGAAGAATGAAAATGGGGAGTTGGAATTGCATGGGCGTACATACTTCGCTTGGAGTACTGCGGTACCTGGAGCGCCTTTGAAAAGTGGTGGATAGATAATGGTTCGCTTTGATACCTCGCTGCCTCGGTCAAACCTCCCGAGCGTAGTCTTAGTATTGGACCAAGATTTCCACCGCCACCAGATGGTAACGCCTAGCCAGATCATGGTAGAGTTGGAGACAAAATCCGATCGTTGATTCACGAGGCGGAGATATACAGCACTGAGGGAGGGTTAACGAAAAAGCCCGGACTCAAAGAATATGAAACAGAGGGTTACCATTATTTCCCCTCACGAAAGCCTCTCCATAAGAACGGCGCAATTTCCCATCCACGTACTCCTCCGTCTTCTCTAAGGAGATGTTCATATAACCGTCCACGGATATGAGGTACCCTGGAGATCCACAATCTTAGCATACAGCTCTGACATCTCAAACCGGAACTGTATACCTCTATACTCCACTGAGCTATTGAGCTTCACCTTGACTGGCGCTCCAATTATCTCTGTAAGGAAAGAGCTGGGATCAGAGCTTCCGGAATTTGCGCCGTTCTCCATCGATATCTTGGACCTAAGTTTGTGAGGTTCAGAATACTGTGATAGGATGGGATCCAACGAGAAGTTCTCAACTCTCCTTTATTTGAGCTGGGACTTGTAAATTAGGTTTGGTCACAAGTTTCTTTTATTTTACTGACTGTCACTCACTGAGTGAGGTTGACTCTACGCGCCGAGACCGCGCCAAGCGCGCGTTCAGCCGGACTTCAAAAGTTCCTGTCTCACTTTCTAGATCTCGAACAAGCGGACAGACTCGGTATGATCGCCGAACAGCCTACCCAGGGTGCCGTCGGGTCCGCTCCTCGGAAGCGATCTCTCTTCAACAAGCCAAGCTGGAGCAAGCCCCAAGCCCTGAGCAATGATACTGATCTCTTTCACCGTTCAAATCAGGCCTATGCCGATCTTGCTGCTGAAGCGGAGCGTGCACGGAAAAGGAAGTCAGCTAGGAAAGAGAGAGAAAGAGCTCGTCAAAATGTAAATGGAGAACGCGCAGGCAAGAGACGGCGTGTTTCTGAGGATGAGGATGATGAGGACGATGACTCTAGTAGCGATGAAAGTTCGAGTCACTCCAGTCGTAAAGAAGGCAAAGCCAGCCCCACCCAACCCAAAAGTCACCATGTTTCTCCCACAATTTCTCAAAAGCCGATACATTCTCCAAAATCTTTACTCAAGCGCTACGAAGCTAAGGTTGCGGCGAGCAAAGTCGGCCAAGAGCAAAAGCAGAAGCAAAAGGTTTCTGATATCATTGATCTTGAAGATGAGGAAGACTCCTTAGCATTACCCGGGCAAGATACAACCTGGAGTTCTGCGATTGTCAAGCCTGCAGCTCCTCCTGAAGAGGATGACCAACCAGTATCGGATGAGGAGTTCCCGGAGTTGGCTCGTCAGGCCAGGGAAAAGGCCCGAAGAAAACGTCTGGAGGAAGACATAGCATCTACAACCGTAAACCCTCAAGAGGGCCAAGTGTCCTTGCTCCAACCAATGCCTCCAACCTCACAGCCAGATCCAATTCTTCAAATATTGATAACCTCGAAAATCGACAACACAATCCCATTGATCGTTAGCAGAAGAGTGTCGCAGCGATTGAAAGACGTAAGACTGGCATGGGCAAACCGGCAGAACTTTACTACCGATTTCACAGACACGGTCTTCCTGACGTGGCGGGGAAAGCGAGTCTTTGATGTCACGACGTGCAGAAGCTTGGGCATCACTGTTGATGCCATGGGAAGGATCTCCACGAAAGGAGGCTCGTGGGAGGAAGAGGAGGGGCAAATTCATATGGAAGCGATGACGGCCAAAATATTGGAAGCCTACAAGAAAGCAAAGCGCAGCGAGACTACCGGTCAAGAGGATTCGGCCGCGCAGGAGGAAGCCGTGGCGGTGCAGGATCATGAAACTCAAGTCAGAATCGTTTTGAAAGCCAAGGGACTCGACGATTTCAAGCTCCAGGTCCGGCCGGTTCGTCATTGGTGTGTTGATTGCTTGGTACAATGGCTAACAAGCGTTAGTCTACTCTCGTCTCTAAGGTCGTTAATGCTTTTCGTTCTCGGTATCAGATTGGTGGAGATAAGGATGTCTTCATGTCCTTTGATGGAGAGCGATTATCGCCTGATAGCAGGATTGAGGAAACGGAGATCAGCGATATGGACACTCTTGAGGTTTACGCCAAGTAGCAAAGAAATTTGCATTCGAAATGATACATACCCCCAAGATGTCGACAGATGTGGCAGAAATGGGCCTAATATACATTCAACTGCGGTATCCCACAAAGCTTCAATTCTGTCACAACTCTGTCCAGCACTTCTCCCTTCCATACCATTCAACAATCAGTCAGTTCTCGATCTGAAGCATAATGGTGGTTACAATCTCGTAAAAATGCAAGCATTAGGGTCAAGGGTGTGCCAATTGGGCAGACTTGTACCACTGTTCCACAGGATTTGTGTCCTCAAAGGGTCATCAAAGTGCAGGCTTCTGATCTTCTCAGCGCTACAAAACTGCAGGCTCCCAGCCTCAATCTAGTCGTCAAGCTGGGGTTTGTTGCCCATAGCAGTGCCATCAAATTGCAGGCCTCCAGCTCTTCTTAACGCTCAAACTGCAGGCATTAGTATCCATACCAAAAGCCGAAAATCGATTCCCATTTTCATAAACTTTTTGCTCACTCATGTCACTTAGCTTATCTAGCTATGATCCCTTCACAATGATTGTTGACATCATCTTCTTACCCCTCGTGTGTTTCTTGTCCACAAACGTACGTCCTGTTGTGATATTTGAAGTTTCGATCGTCAATGATCGTTGTCGAATTGGGTCATGGAATATCTTGTGACTGGGAAAAGAAACGGAGAGTCTCTACGAGTACTGGCGTTCTTCCGCAGGGCCGACTCCCTTCGAATTTGGCTACTCCGAAGGAACCAACGGCAAAAGCGTCGGATCTCAATTCTCACGCGGGTCCGGCTCTCGTTCCAATATAATCTACTCCCACTTCCTTCGAAAACGTCGCTCCGGAATATTGCCCGAAAGGCTTGGCTCCTTGGTATTGTTGGGTGTATTTAGTTCGTATTAGATTCGATTCCTAATGGCGCTGGTACGATGGTGTTGCCGTGCTTTTTCTTTTCTCTTGGGTAAGCGCCGAAAAGTCGGGCCGCCGTTCTGCCCCACTACCCCACTAAGATTTGCGGTTTGGTCACACGTTTCTTTTCAACTTTGCTGTCAAAAGCAAATAGTCCCTTCGCAAACATTTTCGAATCCATTAAGATATTCATTGAACAACATTCGTCAAGACAAGGTAAGTCTGCCATATACTCTACTTCCGTGCGTGTTGTCTTTGTTACTTCATGCTTTGCGCTTCCTCATCCCGCCCGCAAATCACCATTTATTTTCTCACTCCGAGAACACCTTGCTATTTGATTTGGGTTGACGCCAGTCAATTAAGAGCTTTCGCAGTTCTTCCTTATCTCGGAATTGGTGTCCTCCTTTTCACAGGCTAATCTCCTTTTGCCCCAGGCAGCATGGCAATCCAGAAGATCCACGCACGCTATGTCTACGACAGTCGAGGCAATCCCACCGTGGAAGTAGACCTTGTCGACAGCACTGGTCTCCACAGAAGCATCGTGCCAAGCGGAGCCAGCACAGGGAAGAAAGAACAAAAGAAGGCAGAAAAGCAAGAGGCTAACATTTGAGCAGGGCAACACGAAGCATGTGAGCTAAGGGATGGCGATAAATCCAAATGGAGCGGAAAGGGGGTTCTCAAAGCCGTCGCAAACGTCAATGAAATCCTTGGCCCTGCTGTCATCAAGGAAGGATTCGATGTGACAGACCAGGCAAAGGTCGACGAGTTCTTGAACAAGCTAGACGGAACTAAGAACAAGACCAAATTGGGCGCCAACGCTATCCTCGGCGTCAGCTTGGCTGTTGCAAAGGCGGGTGCTGCGAAGAAGGTATGTCATCTTGGGCTTTGGAGACTTGTCCGCCTTCGTTCGTACTGATAGGTCCGATTCACCAAAGAACGTGCCTTTGTACGCCCACATTTCCGATCTTGCAGGGACGAAAAAGCCATATGTGTTGCCAGTTCCCTTCATGAATGTTCTCAACGGCGGATCTCATGCCGGTGGTCGTCTGGCTTTCCAAGAGTTCATGATCGTGCCCGCGTATGTTCAGGCCTCGGGAAACCCTGCCATGCACTTCTCCAATAGCTGACATCGTTAGTGCTGCTCCGTCTTTCAGCGAAGCAATGCGTCAAGGAAGCGAAGTGTACCAGCAGCTCAAGTCGCTCGCAAAGAAGAAGTATGGTCAATCCGCAGGTAATGTTGGGGATGAAGGTGGAGTCGCACCAGACATCCAGACCGCAGAAGAGGCCCTAGATTTGATTACGGAGGCTATCGAAAAGGCAGGATACAAAGGGCAGGTGAAGATCGCTATGGACGTCGCGTCCAGCGAGTTCTACAAGGAAGACGCAAAGAAATACGATTTGGATTTCAAGAACCCTGATAGCGACAAGAGCAAATGGATCACCTACGAGCAACTTGCAGACATGTACAAGTCTCTGGCCAGCAACTACCCCATCGTCAGCATCGAAGATCCCTTCGCAGAAGATGACTGGGAGGCATGGAGTTACTTCTACAAGACATCGGACTTTCAGATTGTTGGGTAAGAATCCATTGAGCTGTTCGTTCAGCTGGAGTGCTGACGAAAGGACCGTTTCTAGAGACGACTTGACCGTTACCAATCCCGAATTCATCAAGAAAGCGATCGAGTTAAAATCTTGTAACGCCTTGCTACTCAAAGTCAATCAGATAGGTACGCTCACGGAGTCGATCCAGGCTGCCAAAGACGCTTATGCAGCAGGATGGGGCTTGATGGTTTCGCATCGTTCTGGGGAGACGGAAGACGTTACAATCGCGGACATTGCCGTAGGATTGCGATGCGGGCAAATCAAGACAGGGGCACCTGCTAGGTCTGAGCGTCTAGCCAAGCTGAACCAGATTCTCAGGATCGAAGAGGAGCTTAGCAAAGAGACCCCATCCGCCATCTTTGCTGGTGAGAAATTCCGAACATCGGTCAATATTTGAAGAAATGGATAGCCAACACCTAGGCCACCGAGGCCTTCGAACGCCACAAATTACACACCCAGTTGGCCCTCTCCGGCAGCTTCAAGCAGTCCCGTCCGTAGTATTATGAAACCCACTCCCAAAATTGACCTAAACCAATAACAAAAGTAAGAATGAACTTACTCATCCCAATTCTGAGATTGTATCCAGGCTGCCCCTGGAGTACTGGAGGAGTTGAGTATCTCACTACTCGATGTACGAGTAATGTCTCTGTAAACGTCCTCTCCGCATGGGCGCTAGTGCTAAAGCGTAGTCTTTGTCGCACACAACAACTTTCCTTCCTACAGAAAATCATCGGTTTCACACTTCACAGAGCTGGTCTAGTGGTATCACTATACACGACACGCGCAGCAGTGAAGCTGCCCAGCTTTTCCTTTCCGTACTCTTAATCTACAACTGCGGACATGCCGCCAGCAAACCGGCGAAGAGGTTCGTCGGCCCCACCTGATCCCTGTCACACACTTGCTGCAAGGCATTTCCATGGTATGATTCTTGCAAACAGTAACGCTGACGCGCAGATATCTGCCCAATCCAGACGATGACTCCGAGGATGAGAGCTCGTCCGATTCCTCGCCTCCGGCTATTGCTCGACGATCGAAGTTCAATGATGAGGAAGACGACAGCGATGTATGCACATAGACAGCCTCGCTATTTCAGATAACATCAAGCTCAAAATTCATCAGGTTCTCGAGTCATGGGATGCCGCCGAGGACTCCGAGGTCGAACGTGAAAAGGCCAAAAAAGCAGCAGAGGCCAAAGCCAAGGCAGATGCAGAAGCAGCTGCTAACAAAAAGTCAAAAGCGCAGAGGATAGAGGAGAAGAGGATGGCTACCATGCGTAGAAAGGCGGAGGAAGAGGAGGAATCGAGTAGCGAGGAGGAGGATGAGGCGACCGCTCGCGCAAGATTACGACAAACAGAACAGGATTCGGACCTGAAGCACGCCGAGGACATGTTTGGCAACATTGGTATCAAAAAGGATCGGTCGGCTACAAAAGCTGTGGTGGCCGCAGATCCGTCGGATCCCTCGAGCGCCGTGGATCTTTCCGCGCTTCCTCTCTTCAACCCAAACACGAAAGACCAATTCCTGAAGCTGCGCGAGACCCTCACGCCCATATTGGCATCCAACTCAAAGAAGGCCCAGTACACCCTTTTCATGCAAGAATTCACCAAGCAAATAGTCAAGGATCTGCCGAGCGATCAGATCAAGAAGATAGCTAGCGGTCTGACCACGCTGTCCAACGAGAAGATGAAGGAGGAAAAAGCATCGGAGAAAGGCGGAAAGAAAACCAAAGCTGCTAAGAGCAAAGCGACATTGGTAGCCAATCGTGACACGAGCTTCAAGGCGGACACAACAAGCTATGGGGCCGACGTTGACGAGTGAGTCGTTGCAGTATTTTGTATACTTTCCGGTGCTTCTTCTAATATCTTGCAGCGACGATGATTTCATGTGAATATTGTCAACTCGGCATCGGCCACATCCGGATTTCCCAACGAGGGGATTCCTTTACAAGATACAACGAATCCGACTCAGCGAAGCATTACCGGCTTCGGGGGCTTACAAGGCTGCATTGTGTATCTGGAAAGAGCCCTTTGTGTTGCTTTTGAGCATCCGAGAAGACCAGCGTCCCTCCTTTGCAGAAGGCGTTCATGCATTTGATGTCACGTGGATCAGTCAAAAAGAGTCGGGCTTCAACAATGTGATTTGCCACAGTAGAAATCGTTGGCTTTTATTTATCTCATCACCACCAGCTTCCTCGATTGAATCATGACGAGTGAGCACGAGCGGCCTCTGCAATGTAGCAATTCTATCCATAGATAGTACCAGATACACTGGATTAAGAAAGGCGAAATCTGGCGAGGTGCAAAACCCGCGAGTCCGCTGTCACGGCAGGGATGTGAATGGCCGCGCAGAAATAATAGAGGCAAAAACCCCTCCCCCCAAAAAAACCCAACTCCAATTTCCGCCCAAATCCTACCTAGGTACCTAGACTAATCATTCATCCCAATGATTTTCATATTCTCCCCTCTCTACAGACTCTCCCCTCTTCCCACCGTCTTGAGGCCTGCTGCTTTCCGCCCGAATACCGAGCCAAGGGTCTTAGAGCGGATAACGTCTGACCTACCACTCACGCTGTGACATATGCCGGCTGTCAGAAGCAAGGCAGAGCTGCAGACTCAGAAAAACAAGGTCAGCAGTGCCAAATATCCCCTTGGACCTTCAAACTTTTGCTTTCTCTGCTCTCTCCCCAATTGACCTGTTTTTGCGCTGACCATCTGGGACCCACAGCTCGCTAATTCCTACCATGAGCTGTTGGAGTATGTTGCGCCCTTGTGACCGAAGACATATTCAAAGGAATATACTGAGACCGTCGCCCACTACAGAGAGTTCTCGTCGAAAGAATTACGGACAGTTGGGAATTATACATTGGGCCGCCTCATAGGCAAGGGGTCTTTCGGCAAGGTCTACCTTGCATCGCACAAACTCACCAACGGGTCCAAGGTGCAACTTATGTTCTTGGAATCTATAATTATCGCTAAAATATTTATAAGGTGGTGCTCAAGTCAGCCAACAAGGACGACTCGAATCTTGCCCGCGAGATCCATCATCACCGGCAATTTTTACACCCTCACATTGCTCGATTGTACGAAGTCATTGTAACCGAGAATCTGGTCTGGCTTGTTCTGGAGTACTGCCCTGGTGTGACTATGATATCTGATGTTGTCTCTTGAGCCCCACTGATTTTTTGATTTGTTTTCTGGCAGGGGATGAGCTCTACAACTACCTGCTTCATCATGGGGCAATACCCGTGGAGAAGGTCCAGAGTATCTTTACCCAGCTCGTCGGAGCCGTTGCCTACGTACACAACCTTTCCTGTGTCCACCGAGATCTAAAGCTGGAGAACATCCTGCTGGACAAAAATGAGAACGTCAAATTGTGTGATTTTGGCTTTACACGTGAGTACGAAGGCAAATCGAGCTATCTACAGACATTTTGTGGGACTGTCTGCTATAGCGCGCCGGAAATGCTAAAAGGAGAAAAATACGCTGGAGAAAAGGTTGATGTTTGGAGTCTTGGGATAATACTTTACGCACTGCTGACCGGAGAGCTACCTTTTGATGACGACGATGACATGATCACGAAGCATAAGATTCTTTCGAGCGAGCCAAGTTTTCCTGACACCTTTCCGCCGGATGCCAAATCTCTTGTTAGCCAACTCCTCTCGAAGAGACCACTCTTTCGACCTGGAATTGCTGATATTTTGACAAATCCCTTTCTGTCGGAATACGCTCCGCAACAGCAAGCTATTTTAAAGTTGACTCAGCCTCTACCCTTTACTACGAATTTGGAAAAAGAGACGTTGGAGCGTATGCGCAGTGCTGGGGTTGATGTGGACAAGGTCATTGAAAATGTTCTTGCTCAGCGCTGCGATGCTTTGGCTGGCTGGTGGGCCCTGTTGATCGAGAAAGAGGGGCGTAAAGAGAAAAGGAGGGAAAGAAAGCGAAGGGAGCGAGAGATGGAGGCGAAAAATCTTCGAAGGCTTAGCGCTGCTAGCAGTCGTCTGGAACGCATAGCAGGACCTTTAAGAGAAGTGGATGAAGAGGGTCTTTCCCCTTCACCGAGTGCTGATGTTTCACGAAGTCGAGGGAGGCGGGAAAGGCGCAGCACACCCACTCGTAAGTCGACTGAACATATAAGTAGTTGGATTCTACTGAAACAAACAAAGCTCAACTGATTCTTCCTGAGCTTCCTCTGTTGCCTGAAGGGAGCACTCTTGATTCGCCTGGCTCTCCTGTCCCTCCTCCGCCAATCGAGAAAGACTCGATACGTTCCCGTTCAGCGAGCTCTTCTCGGCGTCGACCACCTCCTCCTCCCAAAGAGAGAAGGCAATCCCGTCCAGGTAGCACGCTTCAACTGGTCTCTACGAATTCTGACCTTCTGGCGCCGCCGAACGGAATGTCAAAGAGACGTCCCAATCGTCGGCGCCAACACGCCTTCTTCCACCAGCTGGCATCCATCAAGCATTGGTTCATGGAATCTGCCAAGAGGGCCAAATCCCCTATCTCTAGGAGCGATTCTTCGACGCTCAAAAACTCTCCACAGGAGAGAAAGAGCCCCATCGAGCCCCGCCGTACGCTAAACAATGGGACTCCAAGCCGATCAGCTGCCACACCTACACGCCAGCTTTCTGGCGCTTCATATCCTCGGCCTGGTATACCAAATCCCAAACATAGGTCTTCTCTGTCTCCTGCTCCAATAACGCCTCGGTCCTCGTATCGCCGATCTTCTGGCGGTCTCCGTGGCCGCAAGTCTACCTCCTCTTCAGTATCCTCCATCCGCAGCATTCATCATGTCCATACCCACTCGAAAGCGTCTTCCACCTCGTCTACTTCCAACTCGGTCCACTCTTCTGTTCCCTTTTCCAAAACCTCACGTTCTCCGCACACCTCTGTCAAAGTTCTCCCCGCCACCCCTACCGTGACAGCGTTCCCTTCAAACATCCGCCTCGTCCGAGCGGCGCCTAACTACAATGAACCGGCCAACTTCGCCTCTCCTAGCGGGTTGGTCTTCGCAAAGCGGAAGAAGAAGCCTTTTCGGGGTCCAATGCTCTCCATTGGTAATAGTAATGGTGGCATTCCTGCCGGCAGACCAAGAGATTCCAGTGTGGGTGGCAGCAGAAGTGCGAGCGCTGCTGGAAGAACTAGTGGCGAGATCATCGAGGAGGAAGACGAGGATGAGGTCGAAGAGGTGGATACCTTTAGTCCTCTTGCTCCGGAAGCTGAGGAAACGATTATCTGGGAGGGTGGTAAAGAGGCTGAAGTGGATGGTTGGGTCAGGAGACGGCATGATTGAACACAGCACAATGCAGTGTGACATATTGCCCACCTTTGGACCCCGGTTTCTTAGGGTCTAAATATTGGAGCGGCACATTATTACCCATGTAACATTATTATTCATCATAATTAATCGGCCGTTCTAGGGTATACATCAACAAGTGATATACATGCACTCTCAGCCATTTTTTGAAATGGTCAGAGAAAGGGATCGTGTCCCATACCTCGCGCCTTCGATCAAACTCCTTGCCCTTCAGTTGTCTTGATGTCCTAGCAAGAAGTAAAACTCAGGGGCTGCCGACCGATTATCAACAACTCGTTGCTTTCAACATAGCACAACTCAACAGTGAAACGACCTACAGCGAAACTTTCAAAGTAAGCAAAGTCTTTCTCTGAGCAGATTGGAAATGATATAGCACAAAGTTTGACTGTAAACCTTGTTAGTCAAAAGACTTTTGACCAAAGTTGTTGCGTTGCAAAAGAGGCAGTACTTTGATATTTTGCCAGAACATGTTACCAGGAGACGGGATAGGTACATCTACAACCTAGCAGTTTAGGAACTGTGATTCAACCGAGATACTTTGCCTCCTGGTTTTTCTACGCTAGGAGCTATCTACAAGTATTCTGACAGCCAAGGAAACCATTGTGAAGGAGGCAGGTTGAATTCGTTGATGTTTGGCGTCTCAGCAATGTACTCTTCACGCTTCACATTGTGAGGCCATTCCAAACATCAGCGTCAACTTCGCCTTCCTGTACGATCGCGTCTTGTGCATTCGGCACTCCAATGAGAGCTACCCCTTTCGGTACTGCCACTTCGGTCACATTGAAACATCCAAACGCTGTAACCTTGATCAGCTCCGGGCAGCTTCTGAACATTCCAGCGACTATCGAGGTATCAATCTTCGTTAAGAATGAGATGTTGATGTCCTTGAGGACGGGGTACTGTTGCTTGCCATCGAATACTCTAGAAAAGCTTTCATAGGTGATGTGACGGCATGAGCTGATATCTAACCGTTCGAGACGGGACCCAGAATGTCTAATTAACGCCTCAAAACCCCCAGATGCGAGTCCGACGGGATCTTCGGGACCGTCAGGTACTGCATAATCGACAGAACGGTTGCTGGAAAAGTCGATGAAGGCAAGGGCCGGATTTGACCAATTGGTAAAGAGAGATGCGAACCCAACGTCGGTACAACAATCGTTCTCGGTAAATCGTAATTTGCTTAGCTGGGTGCAATTGGAATGAATCATGGACAAAGCGTCGTCATCGGCATCGCTGAACCCTTCGAGAGAAAGTGTACGAAGGCCTGGACCGACAGATGATATAAGATCGGCAAGGACACCCGGGGTAGTTGCCGTTGGAAAGCGAAGAGACACATGCTCCAGTTGCCTCAACTCGGTCATAACACCAAGGGCGACGTCCCCAAGCCGGAAGCATTTCTTCATCTTCAAGCGTTTGATGTTAGGACAGTGGCGGATCAGACACATGAAAGTATCTTCATCCATGGAGTAATCGAGCCAAGACAACTTGAGAGTTTCGAGCCGAAGCCCACAATTCTCGAAGAATTCTGCCCACTTCCCATTGGACACTAGGTTCGCTGCCTCAAGCTGTAAAATTCTAAGGGGAACATTACGCTCGATGATATAGTCGACAACCTCGTCTTTGAATTGCCCGGCGTTTCGGAGATTAAGATTCTGTACTTTTGGAACCACCGAGAATATTTTGATGTAATCCTCGGTCTCAAGTTCTGTTGAGCGTCAACCAAACCCTGTAATTACAACGAGCGGAACTTACTGCCACAGTCATAGATATCTATAGTCTCAAGATCGGGACGAAGGAAAAGCTCAAGGGTTCGGGACGTAATAACACGTCTCCTGGATAGGATTTGGCTTAAGCGATTCAGTAGAGATTGCGGCAGGTCACCGAATTCTTCGACTTCGTGGATGTTGTTTGCAACTTCCTGTACAGGATTAGGACATTACACATGCTGGAGTATGGCCGCATCAGTCAGGCGCAGTACCTTAATGCAGAGCTCCTGTAGTGTCCTGGAACCAATCTGCACAATACCATCCAAAAGATTGCTCTGGACATGTCGACGTTTGTCTCGACTCACAGCCTGTTTCTTCGACTTCTGATCCTTTTTCTTTTGATCTTCCTGCTCCTTCGAACATTTGGTGCAAAGGAGTCCGCCATCTGGGCCTGTCTTACTGTATGCGGTGACAGTGAATCGTTTCTCGCAATTCTCGCAATTCTCCAGCTGACCAGGTAATGGCTTCCTTCTCGTGTACATGTCCCATGCAACATCATCATTCTCGCCATCAGAGCCTTCATCCTTGCGTTTCTTTTGGCGCTTGTAGTCTTTGCTCTCCTTGATCTTGGCTAGAGTCTTCTCCTGCTGCCGTTTTCTCTTCTTCTTCTGAGCCGCCGTTTCTACACGCTCTTCGTCGTCCTTTTGGTCGATAGATTCACCATTCGCGGTTGATTCCTGTTCCTGTTGCCGTCGAGCTTCCCTCTGGCGACGCTCATAGTCTGCAGAGATTTGAGCAGCAGATATGTTGTTCGAGGCGAGAAAGTCAGTGAGAGCCGACTGGGGCCCCCTGATCTGATTGTTTGCTGCTCTTCGTCCTGCCCTGGGTCACAACGTTAGATACTGTATGCATTGGCGGAGGGACCTCGAGCGTACATTGTTATTGCCACAGGCTACAATTAGTAGTAAAGAAGGCTTCTGTGCGGTTGAGAAATGTAGGTGTAATATCGAACGTCTTGCTCCAGATCCAAAGTGAGAGTAGTGCGGAGTGTGATGTTTGAGAATGTTGAGAACGACGGAGTATGTTGTACTCTTGCTCGTGTTTGATTTGGGAAAGGGTGACTGACTTTACTCATAGCGGGAAAATCACTTTACGCGCCCTCAGAACGCGTCGTAGAAAGTGTGGCAAATAATCCTTTAGATTCTTTAATCTATCACTGGGCGAACCCCTTACTTACTTCTACACTTCCTTTAGAGTCTGCCTTTAATTGAAATTTTTTCTCTCTCCTCGTGGTTTGTCTGTTAGTGTAACAGGAAACGCCATTAGAGAGGGCCATATTTCCAAGGATCCTATTCTGTTCCGGTCATGGCCAGGAAAGTCGCGGCCGCAAGGGCAATTGCCCGCTCGTCCCCTCATCTTCGTGAGTCGCTGCTTGATCATTTAGTAGTCAATCTCGAATACAGCCTGACCATTACTCCAGCCGTGAATCCCGAATCGTCATCTCCTCGTCGAAAGGCAGGCAGACCATCCAATCAATCCAGGCCCAAAATTTCCGCAGCCGCCGAATTTGAAGACATGGACTTGGTTCGAGAGCCTATATATGCAAAGGCGAAGAGGAATCAGCTTCCTCAGCAGGTACTGAAGAAAGTCGTGATTCCAGTCAATGGCCGCTCGTCAATCGCCTCTTCCGTCTCCAGTGTGCGCGACCAGTCTAGCGAGTATGACACACCAGGCACGAGCGTGGCTGTGACACCTGCAGAATCCTTGGTGAGAGAGGAACGATCTTCCAAACGTCCAAGTAGAGTTAGCAGCAGCATACCTACTTATCAGCCCAAGGAACCATCCAAGGGAAAGCGGAAGCGCTTGGAAGTTGACGAGCTCGTGGAAGCTGATGCTCTCTTGGCTCAAAAGTTACAAGAGCGAGAGTATGGCGAGGACCAAGAAGAGGCTCGCAGACCTAGACGAGCTCGAAAAGGTCTGATCGAAGATTCCGAAGACGAACTTTTGCTTTCTGATCTAAGCCAAGAGCATTCGCCAGATCCGGACGACGTCCCAGAACTCGACATACCTATGTCTCGAAGGTCCATCAGAAGAGGCCACAAGGCTTTCCTATCTCGGGCTACTCCTCCGGATGTAGATGGCGATCGGTCCCAAGAGGAGTCCCTTAATGAGGAAGAAATCATAGAATCTCTTATGCCCAAGAGTAAGAGACTGAAGGCAAACCACCGTACATCTTTGCCATCTCGAGCTGCTCGGGACTCTGCAAACAAGTCTATTAAAGACAAGGCCCCCCGCAGAATCCTTGACAGCGAGGACTCTGACTTGTCTGATCATGGCGACGACGCGTCTCTTTTCGGCTCTGATATCCGTTCTGATGCATTTGAAGAATCCGAAGATGCTGGTGAAGAGGTTGATGATGTCGTCGGTGTGGTTAACAGCCCTTTGTCAGCGCCAACCGCCGACCCGGCTACTGGCCGTCGTGGCCGTAGAGGAGCTCCGTCCACCCGAGGCAGACGCTCTTGGCAGAGACGGGTTGAAGATAGGGTAAGTTCAGAGATTCTTTTGAACCTACATGCAGGACTAAGACATACATTAGGCTGTAAGAGAGCGGCAAAAGCTAGAGAAAGCGCATCCTGAGATCATGACCATGTGGACAGATCTTGAAGCCGTCCCTCTAATCAAGCTCACGCAAGCTGTGCAACCCGAGACGATTACGCGTAAGCTTAAAACATTTCAGCTCGAAGGCTTGGACTGGATGACGAAGCAGGAGAAATCTCAATGGAAAGGAGGTCTTCTCGGCGACGAAATGGGAATGGGCAAGACTATCCAGGCTGTATCCTTGATCATGTCTGATTATCCGGCAAAAGACCCTACATTGGTAGTCGTCGTAAGTTTTCGCCGCTTTTATACTGCACAGCACAAATCCTCTTCTTCGATGATTCTGTCGATTCCATATCGGCTTTCCCCCAAAAAACTTGCCTTCTTCTATTGTTATTGAACGCTCATTTGCCACCACCTCTTGTACCTTGTTGATCCTTCTGGGCTACGTCACATGAGATTTGTACTACTGCGTTGACTGTATCCAATGGAACTGACCGTTTGTCGCAGCCCCCCGTTGCGCTCATGCAATGGCAGAACGAGATAAATGAATACACGGATGGCAAACTGCGCGTTTTAATCTATCACAATTCGAACCCGAAGGTTAAGAACTTGAAGGTGAAAGACCTCAGAGGCTTTGATGTAATCATGATATCTTACTCAGGACTCGAATCGGTATATCGCAAAGAATCTAAGGGCTGGAAACGTGACGACGGCCTCATCAAAGAGAACAGCAAGATTCACGCCATTAATTATCATCGACTGATCCTGGACGAGGCACATAATATCAAGACGCGGACTACTGGAGGTATGCACTATAATCCGCAGAGGATTTTCATTGTCTGACCCATTTGCAGTCGCCAAAGCTTGCTTCGCACTCAAGGCAGATCATAAGTGGTGCCTGTCCGGTACACCTGTGCAAAACCGCATCGGGGAGTTCTTTTCACTTCTCCGCTTCCTTCAGATTGCGCCTTTTGCATGCTACTTTTGCAAGAAGTGCAAATGTGCAGAGCTCCATTGGACACAAGACGAAGCGAAGAAATGTACGACTTGCAATCACACTGGCTTTGACCACGTCTCGATTTTCAACCAGGAGTTGTTGAACCCTATCACTCAAGGGGAAGACCATGAGCTTCGTCGGGCTGCACTTGGCAAGCTACGCCTTGTCACCGACCGAATCATGCTGCGACGTATGAAACGTGATCACACTGCTTCCATGGAGCTTCCACCTAAGGAAGTCATCATTCACAATGAGTTCTTCGGCGAGATCGAGCGAGACTTCTCTTCCAGTATTATGTCCAATACCACCCGGGAATTTGATACGTACGTGAGTCGTGGTGTCATGCTCAACAACTACGCAAACATTTTTGGCCTCATCATGCAGATGCGTCAAGTACGTCCTCTACTCAGCTTGCCCTTCCTGATATCTTGACATCTAATTCTTCAACAGGTAGCAAATCACCCTGATCTTATCCTAAAGAAGCACGCGCAAGGCGGACAGAACGTCCTGGTCTGCAGTATATGCGATGAGACTGCCGAGGAACCCATTCGTTCGCGCTGCCATCATGAGTTCTGCCGTAAATGTGCAAAGGACTACGTAAGGTCCTTTGAAGACGACACTCCAGACTGCCCACGATGTCACATCCCGTTGACCATCGACTTCGATCAGCCGGACATCGAGCAAGACGAAGATAATGTCAAGAAGAGCTCCATCATCAATCGAATCAAGATGGAAGACTGGACTTCATCCACCAAAATAGAGATGTTGGTTTACGATCTCTACAAGCTAAGAAGTCAGAAGCAAACCCACAAATCAATCGTCTTTTCACAATTCACGTCAATGCTACAGCTGGTCGAATGGCGTCTTCGTCGTGCAGGCTTTAACACCGTGATGCTAGACGGCAGTATGAGTCCAGCTCAGCGCCAGAAGTCAATTGAGTATTTCATGAATAACACTGATGTCGAGGTCTTCCTCGTTTCACTAAAGGCTGGGGGTGTGGCTTTGAACCTGACAGAAGCCTCAAGAGTATTTATCATCGACCCGTAAGTACCAACTTTATATAGACTCATACATACCGCTAATGCTCATTTAGTTGGTGGAACCCTGCCGCCGAGTGGCAGTCCGCTGATCGCTGTCACCGTATCGGCCAGAAGCGTCCTTGTAAGTATTTTCCGAGGGTTTTTTTTCCAATTCCAACCTGAGATTGAGTGACGAGGGTAGCTGTGAGGGCCAGATTTGCTTTTCTGGGAAGATGCTGACTCCCATAAAAGGTGTCATCACCCGTCTCTGTATAGAGGACTCGGTCGAGTCACGCATGGTGATGTTACAGGAGAAGAAGGCGAACATGATCAACGGCACCATCAATAACGATCAGGTTGCTATGGAGAAGCTGACCCCCGAGGACATGCAGTTCCTGTTCCGCGGAAGCTAGATAATTGTTCGCCGACTATGTGTATTCATGGTCTATGGCTTAGCGTGGCGACGCATATTTCGCGGGGAGTCACTGCAGATACTAGCGGTAGCTTGACCCCGGACGTTAGTGTTTTGCACATGGCGTGGCAGCTTTTGAAGGCGAATGCTAAGATGATGAGAGGAGAGCGAAGATCCTCTGAGCAGTCGAGAGCTTTATGTGACGCAAGCGAGAATCCTTTGCGCCTATAATAGCTGACGAACATCGTATAGCCTCTTTCTCACATTGCTGTCGGCGATTTATATTTCTCTCCATCATGTTAGTGGTGCATGAGAGAGACCTAGAGTGTCATGACGCAAGTACTCTAGTTGAATCGAGGTCTTTGCTCCAGGGTTTGCTCCCATGTCCTCCTTCGCTGCCGGGATTGCCTCTACTCATCTTCCTCTCTGCGCCGACAATGAGTACAACATGAGAGCTTACTGCCACGATATACTCGCTTTTTCCAAGATAATAAAGTCAATGTCCATTCGCCCATTCATTGTCATCTTGGCTCTTACTCTTGCGATGAGCCATGCCGCGCCCTCCAACGGGTTAGCATTTCTGACGTCAAGGTTCACACGGCAGTTGAATACCAGGATTGGGCCCTTTGAGATTGCCTCGGACCTTTCGGGAATGAAGCCGACATCCAAGGCTCCGCATGCCGTGGGGGAACCTCCTGCGTCGGCTTGTAGGTTCTTCATCTCTCTTTCAAGATCTTCTTGGCCGTACGCTGTCTCCATGACTTGTGGAAACATGTCAGCCACATAGCCTAGGCTCTCCTGCGTGAAACGCTCCGTCCCCTCGAAACACAGCCATTGATCGACCAAGGCCGGGCCAGCCTAACCCTGGTCAAGTGAGTCCTGACTGTTGAAGATTCCGGAATCATCTTCTCCTCGTTAGAACAGTAACTGGAGCCTGGGGACAGTTCTGGAGGGTAAATCAAAGCTTCTGGCTCCCAAGAGTGTCTTTCGATCAAATCTCGTTGCCCAGTATGAAATAATTAATCCAAAAACACGTACAGTGGTGACCTGTTTTACGGATATTGTGGAACGGCTTGTGATGGAGCGACCAGTTTTGGTCGGTGCCGCTACGTAGTGCTTGGGTAGAAGGGAGAGATAGAGGAGGTGGAGAGAGTGAATAAGCCGCCGGAAGAGACATGCCTGTTTTTTGCATGGAAATTTGATTGCGTGAGGTGCCTGATCGCCTTGCGTAAGTCCAAGTTTTGATTCTGTAATTTTTTGAAGTTTGCTCTGTCCTCGGAATTCGGCGAAGAAAGCGGGTCGAAAGGCCAAAGTGTGTGGTTGGTGGTAAGAAGATAGATAGTATGGTATGGAAGTGCAGTGTGGCTACTAAGAGAATACAGGAAGTAACGTAACCGCCGTGGGGGACTGAGGAGGTTTCTGAAGTTTTTGTCAAAGGAGAGATTCCGGATCATCCGGATCACCAAAAACATTCACGCAGCGATTTTCTCCGATACAAGCAAGTATATGTAATTAGATAGACTTGCTACTGCCAATGCACCAGTCAGGGTGAAGGAAAACCTTGTGACTGCGGGTGCCAATAGCACTAGGCATTGGTCCCATTCCCACAGCGGTCAGCAATCTTCTTGGAGGTCAATGTCCGACTGCCTCACAACCCAGACCATGGTATCCACTAAGAGTTGACAAGATGGGAAAGAGTCTACTGGATGCTGCAAGCCCTTGCAACGGTGGTTTTCATACCGGGCGGCATTGCAACACGTATCCAGGCTTTGTATCGCCGGGGCAGCTACTCGTACGAGAGGAACGTTCTCTACATTCAGCGTAGTGCACCGGCTTCTCTCAATTATATAGGAGATGTACACAAGACTGAATTCTGGGAGCTTTCCAAGTCGAGGAAATTTCTTATTGCTAGATGTATAGCCACAAGCTACGCCGTCGTCAGGATGAGCTTCATGATCCGCCAGGGTGCTCGAAAATTGTCGATAACTTAAGGCCATCAAGGCGTGATTAGACTTTGAGTGTCATCATAGCCACTCCAATGCTACAAGGAAAGAGGTATTTTATATCTAAAATCACGACAGAACCTCCTTCTCCTAGAGCTTCCCATGCCAGCTTGCGCAATTGTCTCAAAACAGCTGGTCTCTATACTCTAATCTTTTGGTGCTGATCAACGTCACTTCGGTCTTGACTTTCTACGCAGACCTCGGAGTTAGCGTTGTTTATTCGAGGTAGGAAGTAAAGTTGCAAGACAGATCTGAGGAATAGAAAGGTCTTCTTGCTCCCGAAACATGTCTTGCGAGTCAACTTCGTTACCAAACAAGGATCAGCTCCGAAATGTACGTACGATGCGTCTCGATGGGGTTTGCATCTCCTCTAGACTGATCTGATCATCAGGATTCCCACGCTGTTTCCTTCCGCCATGCACGTGCGCATTGTGGCCCCAAGTTGTATTATTCTCGACGCCCGTTTCTTCAAGACGAGTGAAACTTCTAAGGGTACCATCCTCACCTTTGTTGCGACTCCACGTGTACCGCGAGGGGGTGCCGCTGCCATAGTCCTGGGCGCTCTTGTTTCTCGTACCCTTGAACGTTGGGCCATGGTAGGTATTACTGACAAGCCTTTTCAGGAGAGGTCGTAGACTCGGCAAACATGCGCTGACGACGCCCATAGTCGGCTCAGTGGCAGTCCAGATTCCAGCGTTCACGTACCTCCCTTGCATGTTCATCAGACCTCATCTTTTTCCATAATTCCTTGATATAGCAACGAGAAACTTACAGGTAAGGTCAACGTCTTCCAATCGCGAGAGAACGATTAATCGGATAATACTGCATAGGCAAACGCTGCAAGCATAATCAGTACGTTGGGGCTATCTAAGCCGGAAATCTTCTCACAAGCCAGCAACCATAAAAATGGACGTCAGGGTTACTTTTTGCCCCTTAGTTGTTCGCAGACGCCACAGGAGAGGAATTGGCTTCATTAATATCAGCAAAAGTGCGTCTAGTCATGCGTGCTAAGGTTGTACCATAAAGACAATCAGCGCGTCCAATGCGCAATTGACTCCACCAGCGACCAAGAAGAGCAAGTTTACATTCACGCAACGAGCATGTACTCTGTCTTCTACATCCCAAAAGGCATGTATGGGCACACTGAAGTTTGTATGTGTGAATAAAATTCGTTCAGACCGCTGGGTGGACGGCTTACCATTGGAATATGACAATCATTACGAACGTGACTGTAAAACACAGCACGACGGCAGTCATGATGAGCAGAACGATCCGGAGCTGGGCAATAGGAAAGATCCTGCGATAGAACGCAAGACTAGATACGAGACCGCATCAGCAAATCAGACTCGAAGTCCCTTCGTCGGGCAATCTTACATGGAGAGCTTGTTAAAACAAATGGTGAGCCCGAAGAAAAGTTCAAAGACCCAAAGGGTTTGGAGGAACATCGATGTCGCATCGAGGGGCAGTATCCATATGTGCCTACCGAATCCTCGAGGAATCGCTATCTTATGTGTCAGGTGGGTTGGAAGCGGTAATGAGAGTTGACGACTGACATATCAGATTGAGTATAGGCAGGACGTATGAAAGAAGCTTCCCAACTGTCAGACAGACTCCCGGAAACAGAGCACCAAAAGTATGCCACTGACCAAAGCAAGAACAATGAGAAGGTCGTCCCACTAATGTGACGCAAGAGCATCAGTACAATATTTATGTCAAAGCAGATGATCCGACGTTATACCCAATATCCCGCCCTCGAGATCTTCCTGGAGACGAGACGTAGAACGACAAAGACTGTAGGTATTATTATGAAGGCGATGTTCGATGCTCGTATCCTGTCACCCTGATCCGCTTGGAGATTGAAGCCCGGTTCGCCGGTAGGAGGTGCCTCATTAGCCATGGTGTTTGTTGTAGCGTTCGCTCAACAGACTTGATGCGAGCATTGGTGAAGACAGTCGTCAGGATGGGAGTGTACTCGTCCTGTGCCCACACGCATGCTCTCATCCTCTCACATGCAAAAGCAGCAAAGGCAGTCAATAAATCCCGGAGCTGTCGCTTCATATTAATCAGATTGTGGCTTTGGAGTACGCCGCGAGAAGTCGAGCAGGGGTCTGACGACACGGTATCATTTAGATGTTGCAACGATAATAAGATTATACACATCCAGTTACAGTAGTCCAGATGATCCTTACCATTTTTTAGTGAATAAAAGGAAGACCTCTGCTAAACGCGCCGCACTCTCTCGTTCCTAGCAGTATGACACGCAATGCAAGGCTGCACCCTTGTGGTGCCTTGAATTATCTCACAATCTCCCAGTCCACAGTCCACATGAGTGGTTTCATCACGGACGAGCTGTTGGAAGCAGGACAAGTAAGAATGGAATAAAATGGCAGGTGAAGCCGACATAAGATACTGTAGTCAGCAATTAGTTATCCTCAAATCCGAGCTACCAAGATAGTTATGATACTTAAGATAGTGGCTAGTAAGGGACATGTAGGTAGTGGTGATAGATAGGCAGGGTAGGGTCTAGTCTCAGTAATTCAGACTCACGGCTAGCCGGGGTACCTATGGCCAGCCCTACACTCGTGCCTCGCTTCGGGGGCCAATCATATCGCAGGCTTATTACGGTATACCCCTCCCTTAGAGTCTGAGTAGGAAACCCCCGAATCGCTACATTAATCGTTAATTTGTGTGAGCTCACCGTAATAATTACCCCGTTAACGGGAAATCGCGACTTTCTCTAATTTTCCAGCTATTATTACATAGTCTTTTAATATTAATTAAGAAGGTAATAGACCTTTCGAGGTCGCTAAATAAGTATATAAACTTTTTATTATAATCGGATAGCTCGTTATTATCGCATAAGCTTATTCGAATATATATTCTTCGCTAACGATTATAGCACTTATCTTTAGCCGATTATTCTCTCGATAATTAAATTTTAGACGATAGCGTATTATATTTAGTATTATTAAAAGATTATATAACGAGTCGAGTATAATAATTAAATTATAAGTTTAATCGTATTAGTATCTAATGAAAATCGAGTATTAAAGTTATTTCCTCTATATATATATTTATTAACTCGAAGATATATTACTTAGAAGTTAAAGAAAGTATAAAATATATATCTTAAATGATTTTAACGCGCTTAACGCGTTTAAAACGAATTTAAGCGAATAAGAAGACTATAAGAAACACTTAGATACGCGATTTTCTCTTCGACGACGATAGCGAGATATCTTCGAATTATATATATTAACCTCTTTATAACTTATAGAAATATCCTTTCTCCTAACGAATACGAAGTTTTAAAATATTTAACGAATTAGTTTTAGAGTAAAGAAAAAAAGTTATATATTTAATTCTCGGATATAAAAGTAGAGAGAAGAATATTTTAACGTTTAAAGTAAAGAGGAATGTTACTTAACTTTTAATCTTCTTTAATAAGAAATATATTAACTACTAATAGATCTAGAGCTAGATATCTCTTAATAATTTCTTAAAATTTCAGAGTTAAGATAACTAAGCGATATTCGATTAGATCGTTTATAACGATAATATAGATCTTTCTATATTTAAAGACGTCTTTTTCTACGTTCTATATATCTATAAGAGACTTCGACGTCGTGCGAGATATTTTTATTCATCGATGTCGCCGTTACTAATATCTGACTTCACATTAAAAGAATAAATTATCTCCGCTTCGCTCTCCGCTCTACTCTCCGCTATATATACTTACTTACTTACTTACTTACTTGCTTACTTACTTACTTACTTACTTACTTACTTATTTATTTATTTATTTATATCTATCGCCGCGGCGACTCTCGTAAGTCTAATCGTCTAAAGAATAGGGGAGACTATAAAAAATAGAAGGAGACTACGGCGTCTAATCGAAGTAATGAACTAACTAGCGAGGCCACGGCATTTTCCCTAATACGTCGTATCGTCGGTTCGGCAAGTACTATAGTAATTACCTCGAGGATTAATATACTAATAAGAGAATTTTTATATAATATCTACGCGTTTATTAAGATATATAATATTCTTAAGTATTATATCGCTATTATAACTAAGTTAGCTAAGTTTTTTAATAGAATAGAATTAAATATCTACTTTTTAACTATTATATTATAGCTTCTAATTTAACGAGAGCCTATTTAACTATTTATTCGACTTTTTTCATATTACGTAGTTACGCATTTTTATTAAGAATTATATATACGTAGAGTATAAATATTACATATCGGATAATATATCAAAAAAATAAGTCTTAGTAGAATTTTCTACTTAGACTCACCTTAAGGTCGGTGAGGCTAAGCTGAGACTAGGTAGGGTCGTAGGTGAAACTCGATGATGATCTACCTTAGGGGCCGGGAAGGTGTTAGGAACAGTCCCCACGGGGGCCCTACGGGGCCTCTGCGGGCAGGTATTTAAGTCCAAATAGGGGTGTCTGACTGTCAAGCGCAGACACCCCCGGAACCAGCTTTTTTAGCTGAGTTGCTAACAATAGTGTCTGCGCTTTGTTTCCGGGTCGGTGACAGCCTAAAGAATCTGGCTAGCCACCCCGGAGCGACACTAGCCATAGCCGAGGGTGACACGCTTAGTCTACTGAGGGTCGGGGGTTCGAGGACGCTTGAATCCCCCATCAAAAATCAGAAACTTGATTTTTTCAGAGGGTCGCTCGGGTAATAGTCACGCCGAAGGCGGGCCCCGAAGCCGAATACTTTCGGGCAGGACGCCCTATTCCATTGAGGACATTTCGGGCAGAACAGCCCTATTCCATTGAGGACATTTCGGGCAGAACGCCCCAGGGCCAAAAAGCCCCAGAAGCAGACGCCCGGGAAAGAAACCCCGAGGCTGGCCAAAAAACAGGCCTGAATTTGATTTGTGTGCGCTAAGGCGGGGTCACAGGCCCGGAATACAGCCCCATTCCCACATTGTACCGGTGCGAAGGCGGGCCAAAGGCCTTTCACTTGGTAGCCCCGTGGGCAAAAACCCCAGTGGCAAATTTCAAGCCCCGCAAAATGAGCGGGCATTTAGAAGTCTTCGGGGGAGTAAACCCCGGAGCACAGGGCATGTTGTCCTTGAGATCGTGGATCTTTCGGGGAGTGAGTCCCCGGAACGTTGCGATTTTTGCACCATCTTCGGAGCTCGAGGACGAGCCCCCTAGAGGGGGAGGCATTGTTAGAAACAGTCCCCACGGGGGCCTACGGGGCCTCTGCGGGCAGGTATTTAGGTCCAAATAGGGGTGTCTGACTGTCAAGCGCAGACACCCCCGGAACCAGCTTTTTTAGCTGAGTTGCTAACAGAAGGTCGCACTAAGGCTATTATACGTACTCGTCTTCACTAGAATTTGCAATCTCTAAAACTTAATCTTTATAATTTATTATTTCATAATAGAACGAGTAAAGGCCTATGAATTAAATTTATAATTATTTTTTTAATTAGAGCTATCGAGTAAATAGATAAGCGATCTTTAATAAGCGAACTTTAATAAGCGATATTTGAATTCCTTACGCTTTAGTAATTATAAGACTAAATTCAAAAAAAAAAATCTAAAAGCTCATATTTCGTTCTATAATTTAAAAACAAAATTTTAAAATTTTAATAGAAAATAAAAAAAATATTCTAAAATTACATAATGTATATCTATTTTTTAATTAGAGCTATTCGACTATATTTTTTTAATAATTATAAACGCTAATTTATTTATTCGCGATAATTTAGTCGATCTAATTAAAGAGCGTAGTAATTCTAAATTTATAATTAGCTATATATATTTTTTTTTAATTAGTATATATAAAAGAATAAAATAAAACTAAGTTTAAAAATCTTAAATTTATATATATATCTAGCTAATTATAAATTTAGAATTTACTACGCTCTTTAATTAGATCGACTAAGTTAGTTTTATAATTCTTTTATACCTTCTTATTAAAGATTAAATATTATTAAAATTCGAATTACGTAACTCTTAGCGTCTTAACGATTATATAACTACGTTATATAATATATCTTAGCGCGTCTATATTAAGTCGCTCTTTTCTTTTATAGAATTTAATAATTAATATAATTAAGTATTTTATCTTTATATTTTAATAGATTATAAGTTTAAATTATATTTAATAACTATTTTAATAATAATATAATCTATCGCTATAATTATAATTAATTACGAATATAATAGAAACGAAGATATAGAAGATAGCGTTATAATAGCGCCTTAATAGATAATATCTTCTAGTAGATTTCTTTATAGAATCTTAATGAATTATCTTATATTTAATTTATAAATCTACTATAGTAATAATAATTAATTTTCTACTATTATAATAATAATAGTAATATTAGATTACTATATAGTAAGTATTATATAATTACTTATTATATACTATACTTCTAATATATTAATAATTCTTACTATATTAAAGATTTAATTAGATTCTTAAATTCTTATTATTTTCGCTATATTTCTTTCTATATTACGAGAATCTTAATTCTTTAATATAAGAATCTCACTCTTTTCGAATTATCCTTTTTATATTATAAGAATTCTAATTTTTTAATATAAGAATCTTACTCTTTTCGCTATTATCCTTACTACGTTATAAAAATCTTAAAAATTCTAATTCTTTAATATAAGAATCTCGATTTTTTAGAATAAGAAAGCTATTATTAAGCTAAATTTATTATTAATTATTATAAATATAATAGAAAGATAGAAACGAAGAGATAGAAGATAGCGCTATTATAGCGCCTTAGCAGATAATACTTACTAGTAGATTTCTTTATAGAATCTTATTATCTTATATTTAACTTATAAATTTATAATAGTAATAGCAATTGATTTCCTACTATTATAATAATAATATTCAAGAGTAGTATAGTCTTTCT